TTGTAATATAACATTTGGTTTCTTTTAAATGTCTATTCATGACAACAGAAGTTAGTATATTACTCACATTATAATTGTTAGAATAATCTTGCGAACCTTTTGTAGATGTACTTGGCAGATGTACATTATTTTCAAACTTGGTTGTATTATTAGCTTGCACAATCTTTTGTGTCTTTTGATCTTTATTCATACAGCTATCAGAATTTGTAGCATGTTTTGACATATGTAAGAGAAATGCGTGTTTTGTGTTATACCTTTTAGTGCACATATTACAAAAATATGCAAATGTTTCACAAACTGCCTTTGGTTCTTTACACTCTTGATTAGTTTGATCATTAATAAAACCGGAAAATTTTAATTTAGCAATTGGTGAAATATCATTTAAGTTTGAATTGTTTTTAATTTTCATTTTACTCATTTCCTTCTGTTTTACCTGTATGTTTACTATAAAATTATTCTTGTTTGTTAAATTCATTTCCTTTTTATTAATACAATATTCCTCTATATGATTATTTGTGTCTATTGAATTTTCCTCTACTTCATTAGGAACTTCTGCTATATTATTATTTACCATATTAGGATAGAAATTGTTGCTTAAAGCATCAGTTCCTACAGTTTCAGTTATTAGTCTCTGTTTATATGATTTCATGTTACTCATGGAATCATCACAATTATAATGTACTTGTTGAATATGTCTTTTGAAATTTCCCATACGACTAAACATTTTTAAACAACAACAGCATTCAAAAACATATTTTTTGTGACTGTCTTTACCATTTAATCTCATATCCTCTCTGAGGTTAATAATATCAACCACAAATTGATTTTTTGAAATCGATGAGTTTCCTTCACATTGTAAATGTACATCCATTATATGATGTTGAAAATGTGATAAAGAATTCATGTGTAAATTACAAAGTGTACATTCAATTTGTAATGGTTCATCTTTTGTAAAATTTGTTTTATTTGAAAATTGTTGCAAGAGATTAAGAACCTGTTTACATTTAACACAAATTGCTACACTTTTCCTTACTTTATGTTTCAGTTTGTTAATATTAATAATTCCTGGTTTTGCTACCGTTGTTCCATTAATGTTTCTTCTCTTGTTCTTTATAAAGAAGTTTAAAATATTCTGTAATAACTGATCACTTTGTAATTTCGATTTATTATTTTGCAACGTTTCTGCTTTACTAATTTCATCATTTGTTGATATCCTACATTTATTTGCTTCAAACTTTAAACTTTTAACTTCGTTATCAATATTTTTATTAGAACGTATACATTTGTTTTTGCATACTGACTCATGATTTACAAATGTCCTGTCATTTTTCTTACTCGAAATTCTATTCAAATTACTTGTTTTTTTTAAAGACATATTTAACATAAGTTTATTCTCATTTACTTGTTGACATACTGCTTCGGTTTTAAAATAGTTCACTTCGTTTGGGAGATTTGAAATACTATTTCTCTTAGTTGCTTTCTTCCTTTGTAAGCTTTTTTTACTAAATTTATTTATTGAAAGAAAATTATTAACACTAAAATTAGTATCAACTTCCTGATTTAGATGTATACCTTTTCCCGTTTTTTCACATAATAAACCATCTGTTCTTTGGTTCTTACAGTTTTCTAAGCTTTTGTTTGTAAGATATATTTTATTATTCTTTATTCGGGTAATTTTATATTCCTTATGAACAGAACATTGCGCTCCTTTAATATGTTTAGTTGTACATTCTGCTTTGTTATCTTCTGGAGTATGCATTTTATTTTCTATATAATTTGGAATATGTATTAGTTGCGATAATTCAGACAAAGGGAGATCTTCCATTTTAATTAATGGTATTACTAATTTCTTATTATTTATAATTTTTTCATTTGTTCTAATATTACTTTTTCTTTCTTGTGTAGTGATGTTAAAGGAATTTTGAAAATTTTCCCGTTTTAATGTGTTTGTGAAATGTGTTTTTCTCATTGTTTCAGTAGTAGTATGTTCACATTTTTTTAAACAATTAGATGTTTTCTGTTTATTATTTCTTATTTGAATATGACACTCTGATTTTATTATTTCTTTTTTTCTTACTTTGCTATGAACCTTCGCCTTACACTTTTGGATTTCAACAGATTTATTAATTTCGTATTTGTTTCTCTTTTTAATCTTCATTGAAAAATTACAATCGTTCTTTAATTTAGAATCAACTAAATCTTGAAGATTGGTGTGTACAATAGTTTGTGTAATATTTTTATTTTTTTGTACATCTGAAGATTGTTCTTTTTTATTTTCTCTTACAGAATGTTGTAACTTTCTCTGTTGTTGTACTATATTTAATATTGAATGATCTTCATTGTTTTTCGATACTTTATCATAAGAAGAATTATCAGGCAAATTACAAGAGAATACCTTAGATTTACTATGAAAATGTGTCATTTGCACATTATGCTGAACTATTGTTTCTTCTTTAACTTCAATTATATCTGGTATTTTAGCTTCACTTGACTTTCTTCTGGTATCACAGTTTCCAGAGGAGAATACCGATATATTTTTATGAGGTTTGCATAAACTTTCTTTGTTTATACATGCGCACTCTATAGCTTTTGTTTTTGAAATATCTGTAATTGAATTAATAAAATTTGTATTTTTTTGTAATTCTTTACAATCTTGTTTGTCCATTGATCGTGTTCTTACACGATTTTCTAGTGAATTCAATACGCATTCTTTCCTTGATACTGATTTTACATTTTTATTTGTTTTTGTTTCTTCTACATGGTGTTGTAACATTGTATCATATGTAAAATTTTTATCACAGAAGTTAGGGACAATTATTGCAGTTTCTTCTCCGCAATCATTTTCACAACATAGATGTTCTGAATGAGACTGTGCCTGTGTTTTATTGTGCAACTCAACGTGATTTAAATCTTCCTTCTTGATATTTTTTATCCTTGGAATTTTTAGCATTTTATCTTTTACGATCCTTTCTTGATGTATTAAACTACTTGTACATTTTGTGTATGAAGGTACTAAATCATCTTGATTTGCTTCAAGTGTATGAGTTAGGTTCATAATGTTAACACTGTTTATGGTTCCTGTTGACTTCTTTCTTCCTTGAGAATATTTAAGAACAATTTTTTCAGACTTTGTTTCTTTTATGTTTGAGTCCTTTTGTTTTCTTAAAAGTGTACTGTTATGCTTCTTTACGATAGTTGCTAAACTCTTTTGCTTTGATTTTGAAGGCATTTCAATAACACGATGAACATGTTTTTGATGACGTTCCACCATATCTTGATGTGACGAAGAACCAATATGTAAATTACTATCAAATAATTTAGAATTACAACATGAAAGAGTAGTATGTCCAACAGACTTTGAAAATTTATTTAATTTTTCATCACAATTAGTATCAATTGTATTAAATAAATCAGCATGTCTTGACTGGTTTTTATTTTGTGTTGATCTTAAAGTCATAGATGTCTTTGTATTCACTTCTGTGTCGTATACAGTTGATTTTTCCATGCTTGTTTTTTTCTTTTTCTGTGTATCTACAATGTTATTATTCAATGAACATTGTTCTTGAAGTATATGAGTTTCCATGTGATTCTCAGGATTATACAAATACTTTCTGTGTTTAAATAAGTTTAAATCTTTCTTGATTGATTTGTGGGATTTCAATTCAGAATGCAACTTTGATTTTGTAAGTTTTGTCATTATAAAATTATTATGAATAATTTATTTCTTTAAGTAGCAATAATCTTACCCCCAAATTGTTCTTCTCATAGTTGTATCCTTGGATTTTTTTAATCTCTGTGTATAAAATTTATTTTCTTCTCATATAATAAATCTGAAATTACATATTATATATACATCATTTTTTTAGTTACTTTTCAAAAACTGGTAATACTATTTAATCTACAAATATAGTAAAGAAATTTATCTTAAAGTGCTACATAAATACAGTATAGTTAATTACAAATGTGTATTATTTTCAATGACTTTACTTTCAATCATGTTCATTAACATTTTCGTATTAATATGTACCTGTGTAAGTATCTCACAAAAGCTTGTTCTATTTAGATTATTCAAAGTTATAAATATGTTTAATTTATCAATGTAAGACATGAATGCGTTTTAAAGTTTTAGTTATTATAACTACTTATTACTTAAAATGAATAGACCTTTCCCTCCTGTTTGTTTATACTAAACTATGACAATATTGCTAAGTAAAGTTCATACCATTAAATATAAATTTGTATCTTGAGAATATGAGCTCATATTGCCCAACTGACACGAATCCCACGAATCCGTATTAACCATTTACCTACATAGTATGTTCGCCGACAAATAAAGGTTACAAAAAACAGTAGGTACTTCCGTCTACACCACGATGATCTGTGATCTGCTGTGATCTGTGGGCCACAGACTGTGGCGCCGATCGCAGTGACTGTCAGACAGTGTCGGATCATGTCCAATCATGTCAGATGCCGATGCACGATGCACGTACTACCTTTCACCAGTAATGAAGTCGTCCAAAATTCAAAATTCCAGTCTATATAAATTGTTCGACAACTACTGTTTAATTACTTTTTCTTAATTTTATTATTTCTACTTAATATTCAACTAAATAGTTTTTTTACCTAGGACCTTCAAACAATCGAAAATCGAATATTAGTAATTGTTTTAAAAAACTTGTTTACCACTTATATTTTTGAAATTCTATCTATGAACTAATAAATTTGCAAAAGATAAATATACCAACGGTGCTATGAAAATTTGACGATATAATTTATACGTAACCACTAAAGCATAATTTCAGTCGACTAAAAACTATCGACTAAATAATCGATAGTATGTTGCGACTAAATAGTTGTTAGTCGATAGTTTTATTTATCGATGGTGCCCATCACTAGGCTCAGCCCGCCCAATGCAGAACTCTACTGTATATACGACCGAGCTCCCCTCCCACTGCGATGTGCGAGCAAAAGAGGAGCTACTCCAGCGCTACTTCTGACTGTCTGATCTTCGGTCTCATTATATATGCTGTGTGGCAACTCTACCGAAAGTAACAGAAAGTAGGTGTCCCTTAGTGTCCATTGTCCATTTCTCTGCACTGTAGTGTGGTTGAATCCGGATTTTCTTTATTTCAAAGTAAAAAGAACAGTAGAAATGGCTGCGTGGAGACAAGCAGGACTGAAGTAAGAAAATTCTCTTAAAAAATACTTGTTGTTATTACACATTAATATATTAAAAGAATGTTATGTAACTTCGACAGTATTTTATTAAATACACAATTTTCTAGTATAGTAATAGAAAACATCTATATTTTAGTTACATCAATTATTCACAAATTGCGGCAAGACTTGTTAGGCAAGCTCTGAAGCCTGAACTCAGGACAAAAGCTTCAAAACGCGATGAAGTAAACGTAAGGTTTACTCAATGGAAAGATGGTAAACCTGCCAGTAAGTATATTCAGAAACTGTATTACATTATTTAGTTAATTTACATATGATTTTAATCATTTGATTATTCATGTCAAACCAGTAGGTTAATACATTGATTAGCACACACAAATAATTTATTTTTGTATTCATGGAAATTACATTTTTAGTAGTATATCAATATCACAGGGGAGTTTGGTTCCCATATTTTCCATCCAGTCCCACATTACTTTATATATATATATAAAGTAATGTGGGACTGGATGGAAAAAAAATGTATATATACATATATATATATTTTTTTTTCATTCTGCTTATAACAATATTCGTTTACGGCAACATAATTTCTCTGTCCCTTGAATGTCGCTATAAACGGACTCCATTGTATATCCATGTAATTTTCCACTATGAAAAGTAAACATCTGTGTGGATGCTTGAACGCATTATTCTAAATTATAGTGATACTTCTTATTGTGTTTTGAAAGTTGTAAATGTAATTTTTTAGAAATAAAATAAAATGAATGAGTTTGTTAAATGGGTAACGGATGATCCCAATATATTTCAGTCATCCACTACATGAATTATCATTCACTGTATTTACCAAACATTGTTCAGCCAAGGAAATCATTTATTCCATATTATTTCTAATAACAAGATTTTTCTACCTTTATGACAGCAACTTTTGATACTATATACAAATGTCAGACACTTTTATTTGATAATATTTTTTCACGAAGAATGAATACAATATATAATTGTAGTTTTCTTTCATTGTTTCTTTGTCTTGTACATTTAAGTGAGACGAGTAATATCTTCTTTATCAAATGGAAATGAAAAAACTAAAAAACAAGACATTTATTTTTTTTTTACATCTGTAAAAATATACATGTAATTTACACTTGTTACTTTTTTAACACATTCATGACAGGGCTGTTTTTGTTTTCTTCGGTGTGGGGTGGGTCTATTATTTATACTTTAAGTACTTAAGACACAGTCATGTCTGTACCACCCATAGTACATCCCATTTTGAACGTGTTAATGGAATTTTGTATATTATACACAATCTAAAAAGTAAGAGTGTATATTAAAATATTTCTAAAATTAAATGAGTTATGTATGTAGTATTTATTTACTTTTGAAGTTTGTTTAGTAGTGAGGAATATATCTTTATTCTGATATTTTTAGAACAATCATTCTAACATTTTCATATGCAAGCTTTTCAGTAATAATCAGACATTTTCTAAATTTAGATGCCAAACTTGTTTTCTATTATTTCCTACTGTTTTGCGTAAAAAGAAGATGTAATCCGTCTTAGTCATATGGTTCATTTGTTTAAATAATGATTTATTACATACAAAAATGTTTAATTACAGATGAAAAGTAATAGTGACATAAGCTTGTAAGTTTACTATTACCATACATGAGATATAAGAATATACCTAACATTTTATGGGAATTGGAGTCCCACGAAAATCACGCTGGTTCGAGCGCATTCCACATAAAAGTTTTCGACTTCAGGAACTACGTTCGACACCGTGATGACGCACAGCACACATACACGCCCGTGATTGCATATAGAGATACATACCTATATTATTGTCCCCGTTTTCACTAGCAAAGAACTGAAATAATACAGGGGCTTCTGATGCCCCTGAAGTATTGGACAGAAAATTACATTGCATGTTATGTAGGCCTATTCTTATATCTCGTCTGTGCTATTATGTTCAGTACTCATTTGAAATATGCGTGCACTTAACCTTGTGTGACTATTTTGCATGATTGTCATTTATACAGAGTGTTAAAAAAATGTGAATTGAGCACTTAGAATATCTGTGTAATAATCTTTTAACGAGCTGAAAAAATATACACTAAAGTCTTAAGATTGAATGACGGTCATTTCTACTTTTAATCTCTACATCGTCAGTCGCGTTGATGGTATTTTCTGAAAAACAGTAAGATGATATGATAATCTATAGTAAGAGTAGTATTGTTTGTGCAGGCTTTCATTAACTATAAAAGTTTATACAGTCACAACATAATTGACTAGTATAAGTAAAGCTAAAGAATTCAAGTTCTAAATGTCTCGATAAATTTGTCTTATAATCCAGTAAATTTATCTAATTAACATACTAGTTTAAAATGAAAAAAAAAAATTTTTTTTCATTAATATACATTATTTGCTCGATAAATCGATCATGAATTATTTGTTTTCAATGTAGATAAACAAGTAGTCACTGGGTGATCAAATAAGAAGAAACGCAAACCCCATAAAGAAATAACATTATATGGATAAATATTGTAATTGCAATTTTATATGATTCAAGCATAATAACACGAAGGAATTTTTTGTGTATTAAAACATGTAACAATACTTTCTGAAATTATACATGCATATAAAATTAACAATTTTACCATAGGCATGTCATTAACAATATAATGTACTATTAGAAAAATTAGAGCGTTTTATTTTTCTTTATTAACAAAAGCAAGAAATGTATTAATTTGCACAAATTACATTTTGTTGACAGTATCTGTTTTTGTTGCAGAAAATGCCTAAAACGCGGTATCACAGATGAGAGGAAGTCATCCTTTTCCTAGGTTCACACATCCGTACACATTATACATGAAAAAAGAGACAACAAAGCTTAATAAAGTAGTAATTTATGTATAATAATTCTACACATGCTCATCTGAAGTAAACATGTTTATTGTGAAGTTACTTTTTTTTTCCAATTCAACCTACCTTTGATGAGTGACAAAGCATCACCTTATGGTAGGGCAATGCGCTTTGCAGTGTACTAAAAAGTATGGTTTCAATATTATGTACATAGTTTCTGTGGGCGTGTTTTTATTTTGTGCTTTACAGTAAAGTTGAATAATACTTACCAATAAATTCTGAAACGAGGTCATTATCGCTGTCACCGCGCATTGTACCTGTGATTTCTTCGTCTTCTACCATAGGTAAAAACAACTGAACAAATTCGGCTGTGTATGGCGGAGCTATTGCTTCTAAAACCTAATGATTTGTTTGTTATAATTAAATAATTTAATATCTTGCATATTAATGAAAAAAAAAACCAATTATACCTCTGTAACGAAGTATCTAATTAAAGATACGTCTGTATCTCCTCGTTGCCAACATTGTTTGATATAACATACTACAGGTACCACGCAACCTTTGCTTAGTAAATTGACCATTCTGTCGATTAACATTTTTTTCATTTCCAACTATACAACATGAAAGTAAAATATTAATTCTTATTAATTATTACCTGAACGATACGAAATACTAAACCAATAATCACAAATCATAGGTGCGATTCACATTAATGGTTTAATACTTATTGGACATATTAATTACTAATCGGTAATCCTCTTTTGACATAATAACAACGATAATGTAATTTGGACACATGTATTTGCAACAAGAATCGTAAAGTAAAAGATTAATAAATCTACACTTTTTTGTAATGTATTTCAGAAACCTACGTTAAACTTTGATCTTAATACTTAAAACAGACCTATCTATGGGAGAGATACTTTACGCCATGTAGACTTCTAATGAATTAAGAATCGCTTGTACGTGTCTTCAATCGTAAACTTGTTAAATGAATCACAGTTTGCGCTTAAGATTGGCATAATTATTTATCTACGAATGAATGTAAAAATTTATTTAAAGCTCTTTTCTTCAGGAAAATCACGCATTTTCTGTGTTTCTACGGTGAGGCCAGAACTAAACATTGCTACACACACTCCGGTTTGCCTGAGCAGGCTATCCCGGTCAGGCATATCAAACGATTTTTCGTACTTGCTCCGGACGTCTGTACAGGTCAAAATAATTGCACAGTTTTGTCATATGTACGCCTGTGCAGTCGGGCTTAATAGAAGAGGAAAGCTAAACTGTTCACGAGTGTACGCGTGGGACAGGCCCTTAATTGTAAGAAGTTTAAATAAAAATCTGAATATATAGAACATAGATTGTTTGTTATTGACTCTATAGGGAGAAGGGGACAATAATGAGCGAATGACTTTATCAATGAAACGATTGCATAACGACTGCACTGGTATTATTGAGTCTTACAATTAGTAGGACATAACAACACCACATTCGCGATGAAAAAATATTTCAGTCGTGTAAAAAGATCATCTTTATTGCATATCAAAATGGATCCAAAATTGTTAGATTTCCTACTAATAAGTACTTTGTCATGGAAAACTTGAATTGTAACTTATTTAAAAATTATTGGACGTACATACCTGCACAAGTATCTCCAATTCATCTTGTTTACTTTCAAATAACTGTACAAGTAGTTGTAACACTTTTGGATGTAATAGTGGATGGCAGACTACAACTTCATCGAGCAATGCAAGATGCACAGGACAATGTTCTGTGCATAATTTAAAATAGGATGGCTCTGTTACAGTACATTCTACCCATCTAATTACACCCACACTTACGACAGGAAATCTAAAGGAAAGTAGTGTAATATAAAATTTCTTATTATATAATATATGTAAGATCATAACACTGTATGAACTATACCTTATACATTGGTATAAAGTATGTAACTCAGCTACCAATTCAGTAGATCCTTTATTAATATTACAAATATTGTGAACTTTTTCAATTGCTTGAATAGTTGTTTTTAATTCATCTTTATTTAATTTACGTGGGTGTCCTTTTTTAGCTGAAACATCACAAACACTAGCTGCATAAGCCAATAAGTATATATACTTTGGCTTATGTTCAGGATTAATTTTTACACCCGGCTTAAAAAGTGCGTCAACTAACAATTCTGCAATTAAAAACAAATTGTAAGTTTCGTCATGTTTTTAAAAACAATGTTCTTGTATTTCTATAACTATTAGGTTTATTTGAATATTCTGTCCGTTTTGAATTAGACATGTAATATTTACATTGTAAAACAAGAGACTTCTTTCCTTGTAACCGTTTCTTTATATACATATATAATTTTCTATTTATACAATGTTCAATTTATCATGTGGTTTTTTTTATTAACACTGAAATTTTCAATTGAACTTTGCAACCAAAATTTTGGCTATTAGAGTTAGGTTTAGGATAAAAGTGTATAGGAGAATAGTATAGCTTGTTCTTTTCCGGAAATGATGCTATTTGTCCCGTCTTACTATGATTAGCAAACACTCAGATATTTTAATTTCCGTGAACCCCCGAAACCGCAAGAAATGACGTTCCGCACAACACAAATAAGATTCTTATATGCAAACAAAAAATCATTAAGATACACAAAAAATTAGATTTTAAAAAATGGTCGAGCAACGATATTGGACCACTTCGCTTAGAATGACCCTCAATCAATTTATGTAATATTCTTTGTAAAAATTTATACACAAATCGTAAACAATGACTATAGAAAAAACTTTTTTATACGATTCGATATACTTTACGGATAAATGATTCCAGATAGATGATATAAAGTTTTTGTTTATATGTTTGACAATTGTTGAAAAAATAATGTCCTTTTTGCTTCATTCCTAACATCTACACTTTCAATACATAATCTTATTTCACATGAAAAATATCCTTAAAATTAATCCTTGTACATAAAGTGTTAAACCTTTAAGCTACCGTTTTCTTGGTGCTCACAAGTAAGAAACAATTACTGCAGTAATTCTGTGTTGTTTATACAGCTTCTAACAATGGGACTGCAAGATGTATTTCGCACTCATTTTAATGAATCTTCATAGTCTAATAGTGGACCAGTAGATTATAACCCATGTAGGTAGCTGTAGTTTCGATTCTCACAGAAAAGAATCTACCCCCCTCCCCCCGTAATGATTCCTCAGCATTATCAACGTTATGGAGGAATTATTATAATTATGAAACGGACAGAACTTTTAAATGGACTTTATAAACTTATATTCTTACCTAAAAATTGTGGATTACGAAGTAATTCTATTGGAGGTGGATCTGCTGTGGAATAATTTCGAAATAATACACTAATGTCCGCAGGATTTAAAGTATTCCGTGATAACATAGATGCCAATGCTTGACACGCGCTAGGGCTACTCGAAGCTCCATTTAGTGCCATTGTTATTGGGGTAACATCATGATGACTAGAAATATGTAAGTAAATAGTTAAATACATAAGTATATTATCCAATGCCGATTTAGTATATTAAACTCCTTTTCCCTTACTTTTGTTGAGCACATTTGGTGATTTCTTGGGAAAGCCTTTTCATCATGAATCCACCACGTGATTCTTGAGCAAGGATTTGTAACAACACTTGACTATAGACGTACGTGTGTTGTCCGTGACATACCATTTTCTACTAACAAAACACGATATGTACATAGTATGGTAGTGTAAGTACGATTTACAATTTCCAACACATTTTGCACAATTTAATTATGGAAGTATTTGAAGAATTTTACCAATTTAATTTTATTTTGCATCTTGTAATACATGCCAGATTTATTATTAAGCCTTTTGTCGTAAATATGTAACAAGTCAGATTCATCAAAAGTATCAATGTGGTTAAAAAAATCAACATCGTTTTGCATTATACCCCATTATTGAAAAAGAATTCTACAATACAGGAATATAGTTTTAAAGGGAAATAGTATACATAAGTGTAATAAAATGAAATTTTCTTAAAACTTTGTTCTCTTGTACCTTACTTTCAATATTTTACATTGATAATTTATTTCAAATTACTTGCAACTACTACCTAATATTTAGTCATTATCTAGAATCAGATAAAATCTATTACCATTTTTAATGTGTTTAAGAGCATGATTATAATAGACTCTCTGAATACAGAAGGCTAAAAGATTCTTCAATTTGTACTTGTACATAGATGGAATGTATGTACATATATTCCTGTTTGTTTTATCTTTCCAAAACAGTCTTAGAAATTGCATTAAACAGAAGACCATGTTAGTTCATCATTTAAAAAAGTTTAAAATTAGCAACAGTTAGATTCTCCTTAAATTTTAAAATCAGCAGAAAAAAGTAGTCGGGTCAATTGTATTGCCACCTGGGTCATTTTTTACCCCCTATTTAACTTGTGTTCAAAATATTAGGAGTTTCCTATCAACAGCATGGTACAAGAACTTCATTATACAAGGCCATTACTTTTTAATCGCTTTCATGAGCATTGATCTTTACAGAAAAAAAAGTGGAAAATGTACGATAACAGATATAAACATTAAAATCTGTTAACTTTATTTTCCTAGTGTTATTATCAGAATTTTTTCAGTTATAGTCCAGACATAACCCAGCATATATGACTAAAGCTATTTCCATAGAATTATCAATACTTAACGATATGACATCAGGTGAGGAATAACTCAGAAAGTGCTACAAACTTACCTTTAGAAACTATTAGTATGGTCACTTCTGCAATGAACCCCTCGTATATTGAATATATTCATATTACTAACCGCACATTCCTGTATACTTGACTGCCAATCTTCTGTATGTTGTAAAAATCCAGCGATCGCAGTTTTTAAAACTCGTGAAAATACTTCAATTTGTTGTGCTGCTGTTGAGATGCTTGTAATTTCACCTTGGAATCCTGCATCTGATATGAGCTATGGGACAGACAAAAAAAGATGTCATTCAAATATAAAATCTGACGATAAAATAGATTTTAAGCTGTAAATAAGTCTACAATACCTTTATAGTAAAATTTAGCATTAAACAATCGGGGTATTCTTCAGCAAGCCTATAAATAAGAGATCTCCAAGTGGGATGTTGTATCATTTCTGTCAACCACGCAGGGGTCTAATGCAAAGGATAAATTTTTAATGCATTATACATTCAACAGTATGTTCCTCTTATTGTTAAATGTATGTAAAGCTTAATGAACATACTTCACCCTCTTCTGTAAAAATTTTATCTGCTTTTTTGGGATCAAAAGTTTTCAATATCATATCTTTCAAATTATTTTCCACCATAGCTTGAACATCTGAAACTTTCACTCCAGCAAGAATGAGCCATTCGGCAAGAAGATTTGCCATTTGAGCACATGCAGTGTAATTTTTTGATAATAATTCTATTACTTGCTCAGGATTGCCACCAGCTTGAAAATATCTGGAAAACAGTAAAATTGTTAATACATGAAACTATGCATAATATGTCATATATAATATTAACCCTGTAATATTCTTGTGGAAATTAAATGTAAAATAATATATAAACTATTTCAAAATATGATAACAGTGCTACAATAATAATTATGCAATGTATTTACACTGATAGCACTGGAAATTCTAAGTTTATTTGCAAATGTATTGAGCATATGAAATTGTCAGAAATTTCAACTATACATACATGTATTTTCAATAATTAGATTACAAATGTTCGCACAAATTTCCATTTTTAAAAATTAATTTAGCTTCTTTGTATCATATTTTGTAGTATTTTCTTAATAAGGTCACACTGCTCAGAAATAACAACAAATTTACATGTTATTTACTTCGCCGTTTTGAGTCATTTTACAAAAAAAAAAAAGACCTACCTGGGTATCTATTTATAACTTACAAATCGACCATTTTTTATTATGTAGATATTTTACTAAGTTGCACCTCTCTTACTTTATTAAATAAACAATTATGAAAACAATCCATTATGACAACATAATTGATTTTTTTTCATAAAAGTCATTTACATAACATCACTCAACTTACAGAACTGTTACTAATTTTTTTAATTCCTAAAAAACTAAATTGTTTCGGAAACATGAAATCTAAAACCTTCAGCAATTCTAAAGGTACTCATTGTTTTATTGAATATGTAAGATAACTACTTCTAGAATCTCACAATAACAATTGTGATACAAATCAATGATTTGTGAGACAAGAAAAAAGCTTGTAACAAACAAATTTTACTATATTTAAAAATATACTCTACCTCTTAAGTTGCATAAATATACCAGGTTCCATGATATAATCAGGTGTCTTAAACTTATCTAAACATTCATTTAAGATTTCTTGAGGATTATCAAAACTATCTTCTCCTCCGCAATCTTCATTTGTTCTGGCCATTTCATCTGTCCAACCACTATGATTTTCATCATAATCAGATTCCATTTTGTCTAAAAAATTTATAAAATGATTATATAATTTGGTGCAAATAAATAAATAATAATAGGAAATATGCCATATAAAGAGGTAGCAATGCCTCAAAAAGATCAAGAATAATTTTATATATGTATCCAGTTAGTAAAACCTGTAAACCCAAATATTGTCCAATGCCTGTTATAAGGTTATGGCTACAAGTTAGATGCAAGATTTGTTATAAACAACTTGCATGCACATTGACAACATAGGCAGCAAATTGACAGCAACCACAGTAGCATATACAGCAAATTGACTTGCACAAACCTTGTTCTGGTTATGCCTTTAATTTGACATAGGTCATGTTGCAAGACTTTCTGCCAATTTGCTTTACCAATTTGTCAGCTGACATTGCCTGCAAAACCCAAGTCAAATGCGGAAACAGGTGGCTATGGTTTCTTAGACAACTTTTGTCATTTATTGCTGGCAATTTGCTCGAAATTTATACACAACTGGTTATCCGGGTAAGTGCTATGCACTGAATGTTGAAATTCTTATTAAAAATACTTATTTACATAACAGAGCATTTTGTTATTGTCAGTCTATTGTAACTTACATAGAACAGTATGCACTTTTACTTTATGTAAAAATTATTATTTATAAAAATAATTTTAAATAGTTTCCCAATATAAATAGTATCAAGAATTGTTATATTTACATTAAAATCACAAATATTTAAGATTGTAATGTAATAAACACAAAACCTTACCAACTTGTATGCATACATACTAAGTATTTATAGAAAGTATATACGATTAGGTTAGGTTATGATAAACGCTTTTCTGTATATGTATATAATATTTCCTACTATGAAGTACTTACTTTTATTTTTTTATAGCAGAAATTGTATCAATGAATAAAAGTTCTTATGTACTTTACAAACAACGTAAGTACATATGTTATATGGTGTCACAGCCGACTCTATCCTCTCACACTCTACTGTCTCTACTGCCAAGTTGGTAGAGTCTACAGTGTAGAGTATACATATTAGGACTGCATACTATGCAGTGCATAGCAGCAATGGATAGGCAGTAATACGCTAAGAAAATAGTGCATAGAATTTTGAACCCACACGTGGCAGTAAATGTAAGGTATACAAATTTTTTAGTTGTTATTTAATGTTTTCATATCGTGGTGTTAATTATGCTGTTATTATGCTGACTACTGTACTATCACTATATTAGGTAAAAAAATAATAGGTAGTAGGTATGTTTATATCAGTCATATACATATGTATGTATAAATATTATTTAAAATGTAAACATATAATAATAAGTAATTAATTAAGTAAATTAATTATGTATATAACATTTTTTATTCTTTTATCGTAATTTTTACAGGTTATATCAAGAAAATGCATACAATATACTGTGTTTATATTTTTGTAACTATTTGCATTGTCATACTTACAAGAGTATGCTTTATGATACTTTGCACATTTAGAAAAGAACAAAAACAAGTTGTTCATGTTGATCGTATCAAAACAATAATAATATTAGGGTCTGGTGGACACACTGCAGAAATGATAAGAATTCTTAATTGTCTGAATTTTAAAAATTATTCACCCAGAATATATGTACATGCTGATACTGATGTAATGAGTAAAGAAAAAGTAAAGGATTTAGAAAAAGATAATACAGATTATAAAATAATAAATATACGTAGAAGCAGAGAAATTCATCAGTCATATTATACATCTGTTTATACTACAATTTGTGCAACATTGGAATCGATACCACTCTTGTGGACAGAATGTCCAGATTTAGTTTTATGTAATGGTCCAGGGATTTGTGTCCCTTTGTGTATTGTCACATTTTTGTTTAAAATATTTTGTATTACACAAACTACTATAATATTTATTGAAAGTTTTTGTAGAGTTCAAACACTATCATTAAGTGGAAAAATGTTGTATTACATAGTTGATTATCTATTTGTACAATGGCCAGCATTAAGTAAACCTATGTACAAAAAATCAATTTATTTATACGAGTAAAATAATTTTAATACAAGCTTTATTATTTTTAGCAATATACCTTTATCACTGTTGAAACATGTATAATTACATGTTTATCGCAAAGCTGATTCCATGGGAATTAATAGAAGTCATAGAAAATGATTTACCAATTAAAATGAAAACACATTTACCACCAATAATAGAAAGATTAAAAGCCTTCAGTGAAAACAAAACGTAAATAAAAGCTTTTATATGTTATTCGGACTTATATTATTTCACAATTGGAATTATAAAATTTTCGGCAATGTTATTTTATGTAGAAAAGTCATTATAAACAGACCATATAAATATCTCTCCTTGATTTGAAAATGAAAAAAGTATTTAAAATAAAATTTAAATAATACAGACAATCAAATAGTTTGAATTATTATGACAAGTAATATTTGTTTTTAATACGCTTGTTGCTATTCTTATAGTAATAGCATTCATGTATACTAAAATTCGAAAATGATGTAGAGATAAAAAATATAAAACATTTAATTGGAGTTTAAAATATTACACTGGGCGTCAAAATTAAGGGACCACTAAAATTTGCCGAAAATATGGGTTATTTTCAAATGACTATATCTCCGCGAAAAATAGTTATAAAAAATATTGTATACGACCATTTTGTAGCCTGAAGTTTCTCGTTTTTGAATCGGGAATTCAAAAATTATTTTCATGTAGTTTGTTCCTCCTTTTTTTAAAGATGAAGCGCAGCAAGCGAATGTTAAAAAATATTGGTCAACTTTGAGAGTATGCGTGGGCTAAATAAAATTTTTTCTGGTAATCCCAATGGAATACTTTTAGAGAACAAACTTTTCTCTTTAATTTCGATTTTTTAATTTTGTTGTACAATTTTTATTGGCTGAGGTATTCGTCATCATATGAGAAAAGGCACTTTCCAATTTGAGCGCCTGTAACTTGCGAACGCATGATCGTATAGAAAATTCCAAAAGAATTTTGGAAAGCTGAGAGACTTCTCTTTAAAGGTCTTCAGTTGCCAATTTGTTGAAATTTTTCTTCGTCGTATACAGTCCATTTTAAAATAACGTAAAATATTGCATAATTACCATTTTTCACAAAACACGATGCCATTTAAAAAAAAATCGTGGAATCTTCCATGTGTCCACGTTTTTTTCAAGTTAAAAGTACACGTAACCCCTCTGCCAAAGGCCGAACTGATCAGATCTTTTTCACCCTATGCCCTCGATAGTGAAACTTGCGATATGGTCTGAAAAATTGGTGAATGACTCTTTTGCGGTACGTTTCCTCTTTAAAACGATTTCGCAGCGTTTGAACTGTTTCTTTTTTAGTTTCACTTTATTTTAGAAGAAAGGAGAGATTTCAGAAATTTAGCAAACACATTTCTAGCCAATCTCTTCGCAATGACAACAAGTGCACAATGCGAAGTGATGAGAGAGTGCAGATGCTGTGTACATCCTACCCTTCCTTAGTTATTGTGATAGATGCACTCTTTTTTTTACTGAACTTAATTTGCTTTTTTTTTTACCGAAATTCTTCCTTTCCATTGCATCTCCTCGCCGTGTAATGAGATGAGTACCCTGGCATCTGCCAGCGAGACGGTGCGCAGTACTAACGTTACAAGCCAACGTCTATTCTTGCTACGCTTCATCTTAAAAAAAAAGAGGAACAAACTACTTGAAAATAATTTTTGAATTCTCTATTCAAAAACTAGAAACTTCAGGCTACAAAATAGTCGTATACAATATTTTTTATAACTATTTTTCGCGGAGATATAGTCATTCGAACATGGCCCATATTTTCGTCTAATTTTAGTGGTCCCTTAATTTTGACGCCCAGTGTATATACAAGGGTGGTGCAAGAACTATTGCCACCTCAGATATCTTTGAAACTATAAGGTTCACAGAAATATTTGTTTAACCAAAATTGCACAGTACGAAGAGAGCCATCCGATGGTGCTAGTATTATTTTTGCAGGTGGAGGTACTTTGGATATTTTAAGTTAACTTACATTTTTTTTTAATGGATCGGTATGTTTTTATTTCTCTAGAAGGATAGAGAAGCTTAAAATGAGTTCAACGACCTATTACATAAAGTCATTGAAGGTCATAGAAAGTGTTGACAGAATTTTTTCGAAGGAGCTTCCAGTACCTCCAAGTAGTTCCTCATCGTTACATTGTTAGTTCACTCCCACCACGACAACAAGATTTAGGTAACGAGAAACCAGCGTTCTAGGAAAACATGTGCTTTGCAGAAGTGCAACAAGCGAACCGTCATGCAGTTTCACTGAAGCGCGTGCCCCTTTAATTTCGAGATAGAAAACAGACATTACGTGTATCGACTTGAAAGGGTCCGAAGAGAAGAGGACCATCAATGTACCCATTGCTTCGAGATAGAAAGCAGAAACTACGTTGTTTTCCTCGAGGAGCAGGAAAAAAAATGTTACCGATACATGTTGAGTTGACGCTGTTTGGCCCTATCCTAACTTTTTTCAAATGTTTAAATCATGCTCTGCTATCATAATATTGAATTTCTTAAAATAAATTGCAAAATTATCGGTTAAAAAATATTTGTTTCACCTGAAATAATTTTTATTAAGTACTCTTATGTCTCCACTGTAAGCACCCACGAAGCTCATTTTGATCAGTTACTTAGTTTAACAGTTTTAATTTATTGAAACAAAGTTGACACTATACTATAAACAGCTGTAAAATCAACAATTACAAAAATTTTGAATAATCCTTTCAAGTACGTTTATATATCACTAAAGACATATCCAAGTTTCAACTGACAATAAATCAAAATTACTCCAGAAAGTATCCGACTTGTGTGGAATTACCCAAGGCGGAGTAGTGAGCCCTTGTGGATTTTATCAAGTAGTTAAGTTTAATGTCGTGTAACGATTCGTATAGAATGTTACAGAAAGTTTTAGAAAAAAATAATTGCAGCACAACGAGGTATCGTACGTCACCACTATGACTATAAGGTACGGGGGCCTTTCCAAATGGCTACGGCACTGACGGTTATCGACTGAGTCCGTGAATCAACTGACCCACGGGTCTTCGCAGTACAATAACCCATCGCCCCAGACGTATTTCACCTCACATGTTCAACGCACATGTTTTTTCGACAACTAATAACTCGAAAACGGAGTCTTCAAGGCGATTTTGTTATTCTTGATTTCTATCTTATTTTTACATGTAGAATGACCCATAAAAGGTTCTGACACCGGTACCCGAACACCCGTATACAATCATTTACACAATCGATCACACTTTCGAAATAACAATTCAATGAAAAAATTTTCATGCAATTCCTGTTTATGTATCCTCATTTCCTTTACTTTTATTACGTTTTGTGATAAATTTTGATACGTAATTTGGTCAGTTGACCCTCCTGTTCTCCTTATTTATTCTTCATGTTTGCATTCCTTCGGATAAAATTTAGTTCAAAAGTTTGAAATAATTTTTTCTTAAGAAATGGGAAATACACAAAAAGTAGATATAAAATTTAAATGCGTTGGATACTAAATAAAAATATTTAAACGCATAATAGTTACTGAAATACAGTCTTCATTCAAGGTCATATACATATAGAACCGAAAAGAACAGCAGGATTATATGTGACAGCGTTCTGTGAGCAAAATTGTGAGTTTTTATATTAAAGTTATTCAAGGTAATAACTTATTTTTTTAAATTTCTTTACCATTTATTCAAATCGGATATGTTGTTAGTACATAAACTTTTTTCGTACCATGATTGCTGTGCCGAGTATTAATACATACCTAGATAGCACATGACACCTTGAAGACGGCTTAAAGACGCCTTAGACCTAAAATAGCTATAAAATGGACGTCTTCAAGACGTCATGTGATATCTGAGTTTTATAATCATATAACTATCAGAATTTATGATTCTTATTTTATCACAATAAAACTGTTATTTTCCTAATAATCGAATGCGTTTTATTAAATACGGTGTTCCCAAAATTGTGGTACAACCAACTGGCTGGTGATTTTACATACAAAAATAAGTGGAAAGAAAAGAATAACATTTTTTCATTTAAGGTTTCGTTTTTGAGATGATAAAATTTTAAAATATGCTACAAATTAATTTTCAAAATCGATTTTCTTAAAACAAAATCTTAAATGAACAAACTTTATCAGTTTTTTAATTTATTTTTTCTCATAGAATTACCACCCGACCGGTTGTATTATGCTTTTGGGGGCACTCTGTATAAGTAATGAAATAGTGGTTTGTAACGTCTATACATTTTAGTTAAATACAAGGTAAAACACCCAAGACATGCAGTTGGTCCTGTTAGCACAATTCTTTCACAGCGATTTTGATTTGGAGTACTCTAAACTCTGAAGCCTAGAACAAGTGGCTAAACAACTTCTACGTCGTAATAGAAAACAGAGTTTTATATAAAATTTCTTATATTGTGTCTAAGATGATGTTCAGTATTCTTATTGGGCAAAACTACTTGAATTCCTCACTTATCTTTTTATTACTACATCCGTGAGAGATATTTGTATGTTCTGTTTTTAGAGATTCATTTTAAGCATGAGTACAATTTTGAATATAATACCTAGTGTAGACATAGATTTCATATAGAAATCAAATAAAATATACATGTACACTTTTCTTTTAAAAAGAGTCTTAATACTTTTTTTTCAGAGATTTATCAAAAAAGTGGGTAAACAATTCGCTAATTTTAGTTGAAGCATGTTTGGACAAAACATGGGAAACATTAAATTCAGGATATTGGAAGGATGTTCCAATAGAGTACAGATACTGTTATTCACTATGTACAATTTTAAAGGTATTTTAGCACATTTTTATTAGAGATTCTAGTATAATAAATATTGAAAAAGACTAAATTTTCTTATTTATAGGCTGTATTACTGGAACTTCAACAACATGACATTGATGCTAAGGAGACCACGAATAAAGGGATTTTATTAAAAGATATTGTTCAGCAAATTGATAAAGGTATTTTATTGGGCTCACCACTTCCAAATATGCCTTATTTATTACCAACAATAGCTTCACATCTAAATAATCATACTGACTGTAAGTATTAATGAGCCAAAGTACATCTAATATATTAAATTTATTCTAAAACCAATAAATTATATATTTCCATTATAATATTCTGCAGCAGAGGTATTGGAGGCATCAACATTAAAGGACTTAATTAGTGGTTCTGAAAGTTTACTTGAATTTGTACTTCCTGGCTTTACTAACATTATTCAGTATAATGAACCATCAATGGAATTATTTTACAAAGAAATTTTCAAGCCAAAAGTTCCAGCATTATTAAAAGGTTATTTAATTTTTTATATTATTCATAGAATATTAAAAATTATGTTTTGCTAAATTGATAAAGTACATACATTAAACAATATAATTATTTACTATTACTGTTATTCTAGCACAACGAATTACAGTCTAAATAAATATAAATGTATTCATAGAAAATTTTAATAACCCTGATAACCAGTTGTATACAAGTTTCGAGCAAATTGCCAGTAATAAATTACAAAAATTGTCTAACAAACCATAGTCATCTGTTTATGCATTTGACTTAGGTTTTGCAGGCAATGCCAGCTGACAAAATGATAAAGCAAATTGGCAAAAGGCTTGCAAGATGACCTACGTAAAATTGAGGTTAAAACTGGAACAAGGTTTACGCAAGCCAATTTGCTGCATATGTTGCTCCCAATGTGCGTGCAAGTTGTTTATAGCAAATCTTGCATCAAACTTGTAGCCATAAGCTTACAAGTTTGAAAGTGTCAGAAACTGATTTATTCTGTTGTTTGTTATATGTACATAATAATTCCAGGTTGTATTAAACATTGGAAAGCTTTAGAAGAATGGCAAAACATAAATTATTTAATTTGTCAGAAACTGATTTATTCTGTTGTTTGTTATATGTACATAATAATTCCAGGCTGTATTAAACATTGGAAAGCTTTAGAAGAATGGCAAAACATAAATTATTTAAGCAAAATAGTAGGAAATCGAACGGTACCTATCGAAATTGGATCACGTTATACTGATGAAGATTGGTCTCAGCAACTTGTTACATTTTCAGAATTTTTGCAAAAACATGTACTAACAAAACATGAAAAAGTTGGATATTTGGCTCAACATCAACTTTTTGAGCAGGTTTTTACATATACCTATGGTACTTATTAAGTTTATAATAACTTTATTAAACATGATAGTAGCTATACAATAATAATTCTAGATTCCTGAATTAAAGTATGATTTTACAATACCTGAATACTGCAATTTTTCGGAAAATGAAGAAGTGGAACAACCAGACATAAATGCTTGGTTTGGACCTAGTGGAACTGTTTCGCCTTTACATTTTGATCCGAAAAATAATCTGTTGTGTCAGGTATAAACATTGATTTTTTATTTAAATTATATATTACTTCACAAGAAATGAAAATACTAAATCATAGTTTAAATTCATAATTGTCAAATAATATTAAATATGTTAACCCACTGAACCATATGTAAAGTAAAACTCTACCCCAAACAATTTTCCTCAGTAAAATAATTTTTTTTTGTTACTACTTTGCTAAAAACACATACTGCATAACAAAACTAAAACATAATAATTTAGAATAAAAGAATTGTGATCAAAGTTTAGAATATGTGTAAATATAACAAATATTGTGTCCCAGAGGATTAAACAATATATTTTAAAAAGTTTTTACTTGAGAACAAAAAGTATTTATATTTGAAGTGATTATTGCTTTTCGGGGTTTAGGTATTTGGATATAAAAGAGTTATCTTGTATCATCCGAAGGATTCTCCTAACTTGTATCCATATGATACAAGGTTACTCAACAATACAGCGCAAGTAGATCCTCTGAATCCAAATTATGAGAAGTGGCCAAACTTGATTAAAGCCAAAGGTTTTGTGAGTTATTTGAAACCAGGAGAAATACTTTATATTCCTCCAAAATGGTGGCATCATGTAACATCTTTAACTCCAAGCTTCTCAATAAGCTTTTGGTGGAATTAAACATAGTCTTTCAAAATAGCAGAAGAGGATTTGAATTATTTAACATTAAGTAAATATGTATTGATATGTATGATGCATAAAAGCATTTTTAATAAAGAAATCTGTGATATAATGTAATAATAATAAGGTATTTATAATTCGGATATAGAATTTGTAAAGTTAATGCATATTCTTAGGAGGAGTGATTATTCTATCCAAATAGGTATAAGTCTTATTCTAGTAATATATGTTATTTTATTTGAAACTCTTGTTACAAGTAGTAATAAGTTGTGCCATATGTATACAATAAATATACTTTCAGAGTAAGAAATGCAATGATTATTGTTTAGAAAGAATGTCTTCCTTTTTTTACCGGTGAGAAAGTTTGCATAATTATAATAAATACAAACTACTAGCACTGAAAATATTTGTATTCATGTATACATGCAGCAAGTTGAATATGTAATAATCTTTCTTCTATTCTGTACTCATTCTTTTTGTGTACACTATTTTCTTCCAATTTCTTTTACATTCTATCTATTTGTATTTCACTTGCTTCTTTTTTGTATTACAAAACACAATATAATGGAATTAAATTAAGTATAAATATGAATTATATTCTTTATTTTGTTTGAAGACATGCTGATCAAATATGACTCTGTTGAGCATAATTTTTTCTTCAACAAATAATTGACAAATTTTAGCTTAGTCTTAAATAAGATGCTTTAACAAATGATATTGAGAAGTATACTCATTTCCTTAATTGAAACTTGAATTATGACTGTTCCACTGAATACAATTTTGCTAAAAAGGACAAAATCGAAAGATTGAATGGTTTCTACTGTATTTGTGATTTATTTTTTATAACTTGCAGATTGAATTTTCTGTTAAAAATTAAATATTAAGAAACGTTTAATTGATTTAAATAAAATACGTATATACAAATCACTAAAGCAAATGTAGCACAAAAGCGTGTATGAGAATAAAACACAATGCTATAAATAACCTCTGACCTACGTTTTCAGTATGGAGCATAGAAAATATACGTATATGCAAAGTCTGTCAAACGAAACACACAGTTATTATTTGGGAATGACGACAGAGGAAGCCTTTCCACCGATCATTAGGCTCCAGGTAAAAATGTGTGCGATACTACTTATCAGAAAATATATTACATGTTCGTGTTTGTGTTTAATATTGTAACTTACTTGAAATATTTTCAGTTACGTTTTCTTGGATTTGTTATGCATTAAATGAAGCAAAATTCTTTTAAATTTTCTGCACAAAATGCTACAAAAATAATACTCAACAAGTGATACTTCGAATGTCTTCTTTTTGTAAACGTAAAGTTGTATGACATTGAAATTTTAATAATACTATATTTTCGATTGATGTGACGTGACAACAAAGTGTTTAATACATTTTTTTGAAAGAGGGCTAAATGGTCTATCTAATAAGATAATATAGCGCTTCAATTACTGTGAAATAGTATTTACATTATGTCGTCATATTGGCCTTATTCCAGTGTATAAGAAGTTCATAAATATTTTTAGAAAATTCATATAACAAGCATATTATTGTTAATTTCTTCAACAAACATTTAGTGAAAGAAAACGCTAGCTCTGTATACTCAATTTTACATAAGCGAAGAAAAAACAGAATATCTTAGATAATTTTCTAAAACAGAATATAAAAGACGATATATTATATAGTTTGTTGGATGCGTCTCACTGTTAAAAACAGAAAGCATTAACCGTCAGCTGTTTTGTTTTAAGTAAAACACATACTGCTTAGTGCTTAGTGCTTTCAAACATACCATTTGCCCGAATGTAATAATACTAATAAACGGCTACTTACTGACTGCTTTTATAATTTTCCTTAACCCATCACAATATACATTTAATTATACATATATTTTTCATTATAGTATTATTGTATTTGTTTTTTACAACGTAAAATAAATAGAAAAAGTTCCTCTGAATTAAAATATCATAAAATAAGTATAATAAATTAAATTTTATTCCCAGACAGCACACGACGCCTTCAAGACGCCCAATTTACGGCTATTTTAGGTCTAAGGCGCCTTTAAGACGTCTTCAAGGTCTCCATGTGCTATCTGTGTGATAGCACATGACGGCTTGAAGACGGCTTAAAGGCGCCTTAGACCTAAAATAGCCGTAAAATAGGCGTATTTAAGGCGTCATGTGCTATCTGGGTTTTAACCCATTCCTTACAAATGGTTGGATATATATGTTGATTGATTTTTATTTAATTTTTCATACATATCGTGATGTTATCTGGGAAATACATATACTATCTGTGCAAGATACTTTGGCCTAAAGACACATATATTACGTTAAAAAGTTATCGATCGATATTGTTTTTGTAGTTGTAAGCTCTTTATAAAATGCTAATGTAAATTTGATGTTATCAAAAATGTTCTATGCACACGTACGTAACGTCATTTCTAATGTATGAGTGATCGTTTCAAAATAGGGACATTCAATATGAAACACCGGGTCATGGTATTTCATAATACGTACAGGTCCTTACTTCAATTTTTCAACCATATTATTTAGTTATTCACAATATAGATAAATATACATTTTATGGCTCATTACGTGATCACAAAACATTGGTCTATCGAATGGTATGCACACTTTGAAGGTTAATACATTACATTTTTCAAATTAGATGATCATCGATCAACACCATCTAAAACCGTTTTATAATCGGTATGTTTACCTTATTTACTCGGTCGGTAATTCGCACATGGTGGAACCCGGTTAATCTTAATGCGTGCGATTGTGACACTGAGAAAGAGAGACGATAGGTAACAGACGGAATAAGAGTGTGCCGTCGTGTTAGATAGGCGCTTGCGCAACGTGACGATAAAGAATGGTGAATCGGTTGACTTGCCGCAGGTGGAACAAGGACAGTTTATAAACGGGGGTGAGGAAGGCAGCGATGCAACCCCTATTTTCCCGTAATCGTTGCCGCTCGATTCTGCGCCTTGGCCAGCATACGGGGCGGCTCCTATACTCCTGTTTGCTTTTAGCGTTACTCGAGAAACGCATGAATGGTGGTTTGACGTGCGACGAAAAAAAAAACGAATTTCCGTGTCCGGCGGTCGCTGGACAAGTGAAAGAAATTCGAAGGGCGGTGTCTGGGTCTTTTGTAAAGCACAATGGTTACGGACAATACTAGCCAGGTACAGTTCTGCAGACCTTATCCGTGAAAAGCAACTGCCGGAATGTTGCCGGTATTCTTTTCTTCTCCTAACCCGATCGAAGGGTGTGAACATCGACGAGTGATACATCGAAAACAATAACTTTCTGTCGGTTTAATATTCTATCGATTTTCATGTCTGAACGATACTATATATATATTCATTATACACGGCACCGAGAGTGCACCGAAATTTCGAAAATTTTCGGAGGTTCGCCAGATAAAAGTGCTTGTGAAACGAAGTTGTGGGGGGCGATGAATATACGCGAGACGAACGTATATATACATGAAGGTTGAGGTTTCATAAGCCGGCTGCTGCCATATGAATGCCGCAGTAGAATTATTTGTAAAATGCTCGTTGAAATCGGTTATCTGTAGGAGGTTTCGAAAATGAAATTCAAGAATCCCATGAAATTAGGATCGCTGGTAAAGTACAGAATTATAAGCGATACAAACCGATCGTATTTAATGTATCTTATTCCTTGAATATACTGTAGGGTAATTACAATTTATTACAAATTTCAAAATAATGTAATAGAAGCATATAGTACGTATATTACATTGCAGTTTTTTTTAATCAGACGTCCTTTTATGAATAAGTAAGCAATACTGTTTTAGATGGTATACAAAATTGAATGTGTTCTTATACAGAATTACTTTCAAAGAGTAATCTCTAAACCAAAAATAATAATTTTAACTTTCCTGTCACATTTTTCCAGGTTGTTCATTTCTCACTAAAATGAAATGTTCAGAAACTTAATGTTACGTGTGAAGATACTAGAATATTAACTATTGACATTAGGTATTAAGCGGCTTTTAAATATTACAATTCTGTAATCACTTTGAATGTCTGGTATTATCCAGCTATGTTTCAAACCATTCATTTCAGTTGTCGACTTTTCGAGTCACTATATGAATATATTGTGTGTTAAATATTAAGAAATGTCACATTGTTAATTAGTAAGTTTAATACTGATTTTTCGTTTTATGCTTAGGCTGACGACACGACAGCATTTCTTCGCGCTGCTCGGTCTGGAAACCTTGAGAAGGTGATCGAATTCCTCGATACCGACTTAGATATTAATACAGCCAATTCGGTAAGTAATAAAATAATCTGTTAAATTCGTTGTTACGTACAGAAATAATTTTCCTCTGAAAATAATGCCAGAACCTTCGTTTTTTTTTCTTGGTTATGGTGGCACAAACGAACTTCTCTCTGTTATTTCCTCTGTTAGAAGAATATTATTACAAAGAAAATTTCCGTTTCTTCGAATTTCCAATAAAGTCTGTTAATTTGTCTTTTTATTTTTAACTGTTCTTCATATTTTAAGTAAATTTTATGTTCCGATTTCTTACGGGTTTGAATTTTTGCGGGATACTTTTCAGTGTATCTCTTTGTTTTAAATTTAATAGGATAAAGCGCGGATATAAATATTAGATACAAAGTTCATTACTGAAACACAAGGAAAACTTCTGTTGAAGAAGAAAATCTTTATTTAAGTCCATATTTTCAAATTTATACAAACATCCAAAATCTATTTACAGTGTGCTTTGGGCCTAAAAGATTCCACTTGATTGTGTTAGATAAATTTAAGGTTCTTTATGAGGGAACAACTTGAAAATGCAAAATAACATTTTTTCATACAGGGTTTTCGCTTGGGGAAATCCATTCGTAGTTGTGATAAGTAGAAACTGCAAGCAATAAACAGACACTACTGAGTACTATTAAATATTGAATTAATCGAGTCCTATTTACTACCACGCGTACATAAAAAATTTCAAATTGACTTCTCTCGAGAACAATACGCTACTTGCAAATATTTACTTTAGAATTTTGATTAATTTTGTCACAAAAAATCACTGGCTTATTGATTTTACCATTTTATTAGCCCTAACAGATTACCTTGTGTATGTCCACATGATCGAAAGATGCAGTGATCGATTATTTTTATTTTTTTCTTCCGGTTTGCATCCAGTCTAAACGTAACGGGCGAAAAAAGACAAAAACAACGAGGGATGATTTTTCATCCCTTAGTCGATCTTTTCGATAGATTCTTTATATTTTTCATTATATCTTCATAAAAGTATTACTAATTTATTAACGATATACGTTCTAATTGAAACTTGTTCCAAATTTATACAAATTGTGTCCATCTACATCGAATTAAAATTCCCTTTATATGTATTCCGTAAAATAGAGTAACACGTGGTCCATTTGAAATAGTTTGAACAAGATACAAAAATGAAATATAAAAAAGTATAGACATTTAATTTTCTACAAACGAGTCATTCCTATATCCTTACCCCAGATAACACATGGCGCCTTAAAGACGCCTATTTTACGGCTATTTTAGGTCTAAGGCGTCTTTAAGCCATCTTCAAGGCGTCATGTGCTATCTGTGACTTTAATTGCTTTTATTTGTCGGTACTTTGAAATCGAAGATACATTACATTGAATAAATTAAGTATTGATAGTAGAATATCTGTTAGGATTGAAAGCCAAAAAGAAATGAAAACAGTTCTCACGGAAGTAGCATAGTTAACGTTAAATATAGGGGGTATGAGAGAATTTACCCCCCTAAAAATCTTAAGTTAGATTGCAGTTGTGAATATAGTATCATTACATTGATTCGATTTATTCATTTGACTTTGTATTTTACATTTTAGAATGGTTTAAATGCTTTACACTTGGCATCGAAAGATGGCCACGTTGAAATAGTAACGGAATTATTAAAAAGAGGCGCCAAGGTTGACGCAGCTACGAAAAAAGGAAACACTGCTTTGCACATAGCTTCCCTAGGTAAGTGTTCTATTCGTCGCTAATATTGTGTCAAATATTCTATGTTATGCATTTCTAGCTGGTCAAGTGGAAATAGTTAATATTCTTATCCAATATGGAGCCGCAGTTAATATCCAATCACAAAATGGTTTTACGCCTTTGTACATGGCTGCTCAAGAGAATCACGATCAAGTCGTTAAATTATTACTGAGCAATGGTGCTAATCAGAGCCTCGCGACGGAGGTAAATATTAAAAACTGATTAATTTCCTTTTCCTTCAATGTCGAGGACAATATTCAAAGTCTTTATGAGATCTTAAGGAAATTATAATCCTTGCGATTTACAGCGAGGAGCATAAATATTCGTAACTAAGAATGCTAGAGTAAAATAAGCTATATTTTCTATAGTATTAATTATACATAAATTCGTGTATTCGTAATAACTTCTAAAGTACGCATTCTATGAAAAAACGTTTTATAGAAAAATTGTATGATATGGAGAGATACAATGTGTAATGCATATATTTTTTTTGTAAATGGAGATGATCGTTTTTTTCAAATGGAATGCTATATTTTTTATGCCAAGATATCGAAGAGCGTTAAATTTTGAGTAAAACAGTACTGACTTTTATAGTACTTTTTGTTGGTTTAGTAGTTAGTTGAAGATTCAATACCAGCAAATGTTTCCGTAAGACCGCGGAGTTTACGTGACGATGTTTTCTCAACATGACCGATTCTGAGTATGGAATTGTAATCGCCTATTCTGTCCGTAATTCAGTATTGAAGTTATCGTCAGTGTTGGTCAGTTTTGAGAAGTTATCATCAACAACTCGACATTACGCACAGATCATTTTCAAGAAATAAAGTGAAATTATTCGTTAATTACTAGTTTTACGGCTAATAAAGGTTAGTACTCGTTTACTCAAAATTTCACGCTTTTCGATATTTTGGCATAAAAAACATAGCATTCCATTTAAAAAAACGAAGTTGACCCTCAAATCTCCGAAAGGCTTGCACTTAGAAAAAAAATATATGCATTACATATTGTATCCCTCCAAACCATACAACTTTTCCCTAAAAAGTTTTTTTATACAATGCATACTTTAGAAGTCATTCAGGGTTAACAGGTTGCGTGGACCACCCTATATGTATGCATACATACATATGTATGTACCTATACAGGGTGAGTCACCTAACGTTTGCACCTCAAATAACTTTGTTGCTTTTAAAGATACGTCAAATGTTGTAAGGGCAAAGTTGAATGGTTTAATGGGGCTCACAAGATACCAAATAAATTTTTGATTTTAGAGATATCAAGGTCACCTTCATTTTTTTAAAATGGAATCATCTTTTTAAACACCTACAATGATAGTCCCGTTCATTAGGAATTCAGTGACTATAATTATTCAAAGCCATTCAAGGTCACGGAAAAAAAGGGTGGTTCCATTTTAAAAAAATGACATAAAAACAAAAATTTTTTTGGCGTTGTGCGAGCCCCATTGAACCATTCAACGTTGTCCTCGAGACATTTAACGTATCTTTAAAAACAATAAAGATATTTAAGGTGCAAACGTTAGGTAACTCACTCTGTATAGTATACATACGAAAACTTAATTATACAATTATAATGTACGTAAGGCACGAGTACTTTTGTTCCTCTCTGTACATCGTACCCAGATAACACATGACGCCAAATGACGCCTTCAAGACGGCCTAAAGACATCTTAGACCTAAAATAGCCGTAAAATGGGGGTCTTCAAGGCGTCATGTGCTATCTGGGTAATTTCACAAGTATTTACAAGAAAGTGCTTGTCACAAAATCTCATTTACAATCATTTTATAGGATGGTTTCACGCCTCTTGCCGTGGCAATGCAACAAGGACACGATAAAGTTGTCAGCGTGCTTTTAGAAAACGATTCTAAAGGAAAGGTCAGACTACCAGCACTTCATATTGCTGCGAAAAAAGATGATTGTAAGGCAGCAGATTTGTTGCTACAGGTAATGAATACTAGAATTAACTGACTAACATCTTCACTATCATGTATTAGTTTTTTTGGGCTCTTATTTGACAAAATGCTTTTTTCAACAGAACGATCACAAACCTGACGTCACATCAAAAAGTGGTTTTACACCTTTACATATCGCCGCTCACTATGGAAATGAAGAGATAGCCCGCTTGTTAATAAAGCGTGGCGCTGATGTAAATTACTTAGCGAAGGTAATAACAACCTTATATGTATAACAATCTGCATAGATACGTACACTCTGCCCCGGTAAGCATATTACCCCTCAAAGCCTGCCCTACGTCCCAGATAGCACATGACGCCTCGAAGACGGCTTAAAGACGCCTTAGGCCTAAAATGGTCGTAAAATAGGCGTCTTTAAGGCGTCATGTGCTATCTGGATTGACTCCCAGTCGATTGTACAATCAAACACCTCTTTTCTCAACAGTATAGGGAGCATGCAATGTTCTATCTCTCATGCTCTCACAATCATTATATGCACTAGCTCTCCTTTTTTAAGTTCGCGCTCAAGTGATTGCGGGCTTGATTCGAGTCTATAGAAAAAGGTAGGGGAGTGACACAGTAACATACTAACCGGGGGCAGAGTAACGTATTTTTTATTTCTACAATGTAATATTAATTACCACACGCTGTTTATTCCTTTTATTAGCACAATATAAGCCCGTTACATGTTGCGGCCAAATGGGGTAAAAATAATATGGTCAAAGTATTATTAGAAAATTCTGCACAAATCGATGCTAAAACCAGGGACGGTTTAACGCCGCTTCATTGTGCAGCAAGATCTGGACACGAACAAGTGATTACCACACTTCTTGAACATTCTGCGCCTATCAGTGCACGAACGAAAGTACGTAAGATATTTTTGATCAAGAGTAATTATATGTAGATGCATTCAGTAATAGCAGTAGTAGTAGTATTATAATACTTTGTACAAAATATATTCAATGTATGCGACACTTTTATTAGAAACACAAATTATATTCTTTTTTAGAATGGTCTTGCACCATTGCATATGGCATCCCAAGGGGATCACGTCGATGCGGCTAGGGTATTGCTGTATCATCGAGCTCCAGTTGATGAAGTTACAATCGATTATTTAACATCTCTTCATGTTGCCGCGCATTGTGGACATGTTAGAGTTGCAAAATTACTTCTCGATCGAAAAGCCGACCCGAATGCACGCGCTTTAAATGGTTTTACACCGTTACACATCGCGTGTAAGAAGAATCGAATAAAAGTCGTCGAGCTGTTACTGAAACATGGAGCATCAATCGAGTCTACGACTGAGGTAATTAGAGAGAAAAGATTTTCTACTTTTATTTTAGTTATTATCTACAAGTTCGATGCAAGATTTGCTGCAAACAGGCAGCAACATAGGCAACAAATTGGCTCGCGCAGACTCTGTTCCGTTTTTGTCCCCAATTTGACATAGGTTATGATGCAAGACTTGCTGCCAATTTTCTTCACCATTTTGTCAGCTGGCGTTGCCTGCAAAACCCAAGCCAAATGCGGAAACAGATGGCTATGGTTTTTTTTAGACAACTTTTGTCATTATTTGCTTAATTTTCTTACCTAGTAATCTTTAATGTACTTCTAAACATCTAAATTTCCATGCTTAAATAATCCATTCTGCACCTACAGAATGAAAATCTTTTGTTGTGAACATAAAAACGGAATTATTTAATACGACACAGTAGGCGTGCTGTATGGGATGATTCAGAACGAATTTAGAAGGTCTTTTGAAGGTCTTTTACAGTAAAAAAATGTCAAACCAGCATAGACTCTATTCTCAATACATAGTTAGTAGTTACATTTGTATAAAATTTTATTGCTGTCATAGTAAAAACACATGTTTGATATAAAGTGATCGTTGCTAAAATAAAACTTAAGAATATAAAATATGATATAGTTACATTACAGTTTAGAAGAATAATTCTTTCATACAATTTTTATGGATGTGTATTTCAACGTTGGCTGTCATTTCTTTTAAATTTCATTAAACATAATAATTAAAGGGATTTTAAACTGGAGATCATGGCTATACCATGTTTGCACTTTCACTATGATTGTAGTAAAATTTTAAATTACCGTAATTAACATTACACATCGTGCAGAATTATCCCAATCTTTATAGTTTCTATAATAACAGTGGTACTGTCAAGTATGGGTTAGGTTTCTATATAATTATTAATTACTGACATGCAGCAGTAATAAACAGGGTTTCCCATAACTATGTAGTGGTGCAGACACAATGGTGGCGATTCTATATAAAAAAATAAATCAAAAACACAACTTGTATAGTTTTCGAGATAACAAAGTTTGAATTTTGAGCATTCGCTCCATTAGAGCATCGCATCTAGTGTTGCCAGATTTTTTAGAAGATTCCCGCAAACACAGTTGTCTAGAACTTGCTAAAGTCGCAATAATGCTGTGAAAAAAATGTTAAATTGAAGGTTTTTAAATTGAAGTATTTATTTCCGTATGATATATTCAAAAACTAAACATATACATATATATAATGAATTACACACGTAAAAAAATATATATACATATTTACATATACCCACTCAGCCAAATCGGCACAGTGATATTTTGTCCAATGCCTCTTATAAGCTTTTCTAATCAGATTGGGTACAGATTTGATGCAAGATCTGCTATAAACAATTTGCGCGTAAATTGGCGGCAGATAAGCAGCAACTCCTTCAACATAACCTAGATTTAAATTGATCTACACAAGTTCGTTAACCTAGGTTATGTAGCAGGATCTGTCACCAATCTGCCGCCAATTGGCTTCACGGTTCTGTCAGTAGGCTCTGCCAGCAAAACGCAAGCCAAATGCGGAAACAAATGGCTATGGATTTGTAGACGGATTGGTCACTATCTGTTGCCAATATGCACGCAAATGGTTATCTAGGTATTTAACGATTAGAGTGCGAACTCCCTGAAACTAGGCAATCTGCAGGCAATCAGCATACACAGGGTACCTCAACAGAGAGGCGTGCAAGCCGTAAAAAGTCATTGAGGGTCACAAACATAAGTCGTAGAAACTGTAAGCAATTGGACAGTATTCGTTGGCATGAAACTGTCACTTTAAAGATTTTTGTACAGAATTAAACTTGCCTATTGTATAAAATTTTCACGGACCAAAGTCCAAACAATTTGCACACACAGAGCATCATCGAAAAGTTTGCTCGCACATAATGAATACCCACTAAAGAGTTGGCCTTTGAGCATTTCATAGACTAGGTAAGTTTAATACTCTGCAAGAATTTTCAAAATGACATAGATTCCTATAGCCTATAGTATCCTATATTCTATGAGTAATGTTTGTGGTCCTCATTAACTTTTTACGGTACTATAGGCTCCTCTATTCAACTGATCTGTGCTTCTCGATTGTTCGGGGATTACCTAATTTCAGGTAGTCCGCAACTTAATCTTTAAATGCTTATAACTAAAAAACAAAGGGTCAACGGCAATTCTGCTTTTTTTGGTGTTTTATTATAGCATGTAGAATCTTCTGACATTTCTTATTGAACACTTTGTATCTACGCGATTGAGTTTTAAACTCAGTGATATCGAAAATGAATCGAGTTTCGACAGAATTTTATACTACATTTTCGGCTTGTTTTCTCATGTACACTCATCACCTTCTTGCTTGTACCGCTAGCTATGGTAATAATACCTTTATCATTTTTTTACTCAATTGAATTTAAACATTTGGGTGTAATGCTGTAAGAGGTGTACTGAAATATTTTGACTCACTGTAAATATTGAGAGTAGGATCTATCTCCACTTCACACTTTTTACCCAAATCAATACGCCAAAGATATTTTCAAAGTTTTTATTTTTATTTTTGTTTCGAGTCATCCTATGTAAATTTATTCGTAAAGATAATTCCGAGTTGTATAAGACACTTATTTTGACGTAAGAACACGTAACGATGTCTATTTAAAGTCAGTGATTCAAATCCAAGATCATAAAATTTATTGATACAAGCTGTCTCAGCTAAGAACACCTAAACTCTCTTATTTTTAATAATATGGGAAGTGTCTCAAGCACGGTGCGAATGGTTTCAAAAGAGGGAGTTTCGTAAATAGAAAATTTTTTTACGATAATTTTATTCGAATCTTTTAAGGTTCTCCGATATTTTTTAATGGAAATCGTATATTTTTCTTTATTGTATTTTGAAGCACGTGTTTAGATGCATTCAAATGTGTCTAATTTATGATCTTAAGGTGTCCTTGAATATTGAAAGAATAATGAAATTCTGAGACAACTTAGGATGATAAAAGAATTATTTTTTATGTTACAAAGGCTTAAAATGGTGTCTATTGGTGGTGATGCACTTTCTAAAATAGGAAATTCGCAGATTTTTACGCTTCCTCAAATACTTTCTAGCTCCGCTAGGGGAAAAAGTGACGTAGGGGAAAGACCTCCTACTATGTTTCTACCTCTTAGTATTGGGAATTAGTGAAATTTATGCCAGAGTAACATCCAATTTAACATTTATTTCTGTACCTGAAATCAATTTACCATGTGGTAGGAGGCCCTCCTCTTACGTCACTTTTTCCCCTAGTAGGAGCAGGGTCTGCTCGCGAGGGCACATATGGTTCGTACCTACTTGACCTCTAGTCAATAAAACATCATATTGATAATTGGTATTAAACACCCGCTAATACATTTTAATAATGTATAAAAATTACATCTATGAAATTCAACGACATTTTCATTGATGATTCATCATTATATTGTAAATAAAAAATATATTTTGGTTAGTGTTATAACTCCACTGTGCTCGTTTCTGGTACGTTTGGCAATGTTATTTTCGCACGCATATCTATATACGTGGTGTGTGTTCAGTTTTCTCGCGTATTCAATATTCAATATTTTTATATGTAAAGTTAATTATATCCTCGTGCATTATAATTAGAAACTTAGAATTCACTAAAACACAAAAAAAGTAAAATATTTTTTAAATGTATTTGTATTTCGCGGGTATGACCCTACTTTAGCAACATTGTCATGTCCTCAACATACTCTCAATAACCTACATATCCAGGACTTTATTGTCAAATATCTTCCTGGAATGTTCGGTATGGTACGCGATTTAGTTCATTATCAGAAAGCTCAGGATTTATACTTTCAGTACTTAGTTTTTAGTTAGCACTTCTAATTTTTGTGAATAGAAAAGATAATACTTCCGGTAGGAAATCGTAAGACTGTCATAAGAGCTGTGTTGAAAACTCAAGTTTTGACAAGCTTTTTCTTATTTATTTGATCGGCGACCGAGTCACAAATTTTTGTTGTGTGTGTGTACTTCGTTGTAATAAACAATCTGTATGAATTTTATTTAATTATCTAGTCTTTCGAATTTGGCACGAACCACCTTAAGCAGGCCATACACGGTGAGGTATACCTCAAGGCCTGGTCTCATGAGGTCGTCTCACGTTAGAGGAGTTGAGTTTCTCGAAGTCTCTTTGTAATTTGTCTTACTGTATATTCAAAGTGTTGTCACTCCATAGTATGACACATCGTTGGCTACGTTTTGATCTCCTGTTTGTAATGGTAAACAAAACAATAGGGCATTCCATTTAAACAAACGTTACCATTAGAGAAATCTTAAAAGATATGACCTTGAGATGACTTTCAATCTCATAGCCTAATTCCCCCCCTAAAATATACTAACTTTCTCCTGAACTATTTTATTTTTAACGTGACAAATAAAAGAATAATTAAAGGTGGTAGAGTTAAGTAGGACGCCCTGTATATGTATAATGGTATGTATAATAGTATACAAGGGTGATAACAAAAGTGGACTTCCTCCTCCTTTGACAAGTACTATCCACCTTTAAAGCTTTGAACTCTTTTTTACTATCCTGTTTACCTCCTCCTACTTCCCACAGAGATGCGAGGAAGTATTACCCCCCTTTATTTCTTTTGACATGTTAATTGCCGATTGAATTTTGTATGTCTTGCCTACGGCGCAGTGGTCGGAATTGAAAAATCCAGTGACATTTTGATATAACGTTTGAACCGTAGGGGATATTGATGTGACGTTTGGAATGTGTAATTTAACAATGTTAACTTACAAGTAGGTGAAAAGAACAAAATTACAATAACAATTATATATTTTAACAGTAAAAGCAATAACAAATAAAAGTTCAATTGAACTGCATTTCTTTTACAAATCGTCAATAATTAATTCTTCAATGAACTAATAGTACATGTTTCACAAGATGAAATTTTCGACAGGTCACAATACTAAGAAATATAAAAGAATTTTTTGGCCCAGATACGCGTGTCCAATACTGTGCACAAGACCTTCATCTAAGAATATGATAGAACATGTCTGCGTTTTTCAGTAGATTCTACAATTCGTATAAATTTGAAATAGACTTGGCAAATTATTTCACGACGACTAAGGGGCTAAAGTCGATTAAGCATACACCTTGTAGGCCTAAAAAAAATAGGTAAATTTAAACATTTTTTTTCTTAGGTAACTATTGAGTAAAGTATTTCGATCATTGTGGTCGATGTTAGGCAACATTTTAGCTTTATTTCCATACATTAGTTGTTATGTAAAATTACAAAATGGCGGAGTTATACAACATTGTCTACCGTCTTGTCTGGCAGAACCTTGCCAGGTGGAATTTAACAGATCTACGAAATTATTGATTCGCTTAACTTCCAATTTGGACATATTATTCCTTACGGAATTACCCATAATGCAGCGTACGATTTTTAAATAATTTTAAAGAGTAAGAAATTGGCAGCTTTACAAACAAAAATTTTTGTCACTGAAAAATATCAACTTCGAAAATTCATAAAAATTTAAAATATTAAAATATCGAAAATGTCGTATGTTACATCGCAGATCATTTTTATAGAGAATAATGTTTCTAAATTTGAAGTTAATCGGATGAATAGTTTCGGAAATCTGTTAGGTGCAAGCTGACAGGGTCCTGCTCATAGACACGTACATATGTCTATGTAGTCCAGTCGAATTAGCCTTTCTTCAAAAAATAACTTGAAGTAGCTATGTTTTTACACGAAAATGTTCGGAAAGTCATTAGAAATGAATCGTATACGTTTGAGACTCATGAAAAGTTGGGGAACATTGTTAAAAGAATTCGAATAGATTTGAGAAACATGTTTTTCGCTTGCAGAAGGAAATGACAAAGTCAGTAATAACTTGAGTAAATATAAATTAAATTTTAGATCAATGTGTGCTTAATTTTGGTTGCATGGTAATGAGGACCATATTCTCTTAAAATTTCAAACCTCTATGGTCAAATCCCTTCGAGTATTAAACAACTGAAAAAAAACAGCCTATTTCGACAGTTTTAATTCTTTTGCAACTTAACGTGTGGACGGATTTTAATATACTATATCTCACTTTGTAGGTATTTTTAATACCTAAATTTTTTATTTGACCTCTTTTTCTCTAAAATCTTTACATTTCCTTCTGCAAACGAAAAACATGTTTCTCAAATCTTTTCGAATTCTGTTGACAATGTTCTCCAACTTTTCATGAGTCTCAAACGTATACATTTAATTTCTAATGACTTTCCGAACATTTTTAAAAATGAGGGTTTTGAAATCTAAGTCGACTGGACTATTGGTCCTGCTACACATGCTGGAAGACAATGTTGTATAATTCAGCCATTTTGAAAACTTAAATAATAACTATATACGGAAATAAAATTAAAATGTTGCTTAATATCCCCGAAAAAGATTCTAATATATTATTCAATAATTACCTGAGAGAAAAGATTTTGAATTTACCTACTTCTTAAAATCTGCAAAGTAGTATGTATGTCCCCTGCAGAATGTGCATCTACTGTGAGAATAACCGATTTACCTTATGTTGTATTTGGACTCGTTTTTATCATAAAATCTGCACTTGATGAGTTTCTATTGCGGTTTTATATTCTACATAATAAAACAATTTATATATACAATAAACAATATGTTGAGTATTAAGTAAACATTAGTGGAAAAATGATTCATTCAGTTCGCTTCTTTTGTTGCTGTTGAGCAGCCCATTTAAAATATTTCTTGAATGTGATGGAGTTCACTAATTTGATGGTATTACACAAAATATCTTTTTATGCTTTACTCAGTTTATATGTTATTTTAATAATTTGATGGTGATTTAATGTAACCAGTAATTGTAAGAAGTTCATGAGTTTGTTTATTATTAAAAGACTGGTTAATAAATACTGTATTAACCAATACAAATGATCATTTTTATGTGTATGTGTTAATGCATGTATATTGTAATATTTGTATATATTATAAAAAAATATACATGTATATATATATGCAATATGCATTGTTATATTTAAAAGAAGAAATAACTCCTGTTGAAATTTGTCAAACTACAAATTCAGAATGTTAACGAACAATATCTATATTTTACAGTCTGGACTAACTCCATTGCATGTGGCCAGTTTTATGGGATGCATGAATATCGTGATATTTCTACTGCAACATGAAGCCAATCCAGATGTGCCCACTGTTAGGGGTGAAACACCTCTACACTTGGCAGCTAGGGCTAATCAAACAGACATTATTCGAATTTTATTAAGAAATGGAGCTAAAGTTGATGCTCGAGCACGGGTAAGTAAATGAATCAGCTAACGTAAAGACAAAGGACTTTCTCATAATATTCATGAAACTCTTCTCTAAATATCATGGAATACCATTGTCGCATGATAAAACATATAAATAATGTACACATAGAAATAAACATTTGTTCCTTTGCTAGTGTTTACCGTATTATACAGTCTATTAACCAGTCTTACTTTTATTTACGTTTGTGTATTTTTCATTCATTGGTAACATTTTTATTATTATTATTATTATTATTATTATTATTATTTGCATGATCAAGATAAATAAGTAGCGTATTATAAATTTATCGTAATAATTGATAATAATACGTTTCTCACTATACATATGTATACATATAGTATTATTATACATATATTACATGTTATACAGTGAAATTGTGTCGTGTTTTAGGAGCAACAAACACCACTTCATATTGCATCGCGATTAGGAAATATTGATATTGTTATGTTACTTCTGCAACATGGTGCAGCTGTGGACACTACCACGAAAGACATGTACACAGCGTTACATATTGCATCCAAGGAAGGCCAGGAGGAGGTAATGTATAAAGAAATTACAGAGATAGCGGATTATATCTGCACGCAAAACGAGATATACTTATTTTGGACAAGGCTTCGCGAGTTCCTTATATAGGTCTCGCAGTTGTAAAAATTTGTTATTTTCTTGTTATACATTTATTTCTGTATATTTCCATCCTCCATCATTTACACTTCATTTCGCATCTTGTTAAAAAAAAAAGTTTTCTTTATGTTCATTATAATTTATGTTAAGTTATTTACATGTATTGAATTTTAATAAAACGTTTCGTCATATTGATTACTTTTTATGTTGCCTTACTTCAGTGTTATATTTTGCACGTTTTTAATAATAACATTCGAAATTAATACCATTTACTTATTATTTTCATCCCCATTTTCTGTTCAGATTCCCTACATACATCGAAATTGTTTATTTGTATTTTTTATGCGAGAAATTAAAAAAATTTTCATTTGTGTGTAACGAGCACAATATAATTGTACTATTCGACAGACTGCAGTAGTCTCTGCGAAAGTACGATCAAATCCCCAGCACAAAGTGCGAATGCTATACAGGGTGGTCCACGCAACTTGTTCACCCTGAATAACTACTGAGATATACATTGTATGAAAAAACTTTTTAGAGAAAAGTTGTATGGTTTGGAGGGATACATTATGTAATACATATATTTTTTTTGTAAGTGGAAGCGTTTCGGAGATTTGAAGGTCAACTTAGTTCTTTTAAATGGAATGCTATATTTTTTATTGCAAAATATCGAAGAGCTTTAAATTTTGAGTAAAAAAGTACTGACCCTTATTACCCGTAAACCTAATAATTAACGAATAATTTCACTTTGTTTCTTGAAAATGGTCTGTGTATAATATCCATCTATCATTTTTGACATGCCTATAGTTTCTGATATTTCACGTGCAATCGTTTCGTTTCGTCATCCTTATCGTTTATTCTTTCAGAAACTGGGTACAGCGATCGGTGTTATCTTATTTTCCATTGTGACCCTTAAACAAAACTGCAAAGTTCACATATAACAATTGTACTTTCGCGGAGACTACTATATCTTGTTGAAGCACTTACTTAGTATTAATTAGATGTATCACTTTGTTTTTTGCACTATGTAAATTGTAGAATGTGAGCGTAGTATTACTTTTAATACTTAGCGTTTGCTTTATCACTTTTAGCTGTTATACGTTGAAGGTAAGCTATGCCTATTTTTTCCCGAGTGATTTTGTTAATAATTTCCTACAGCATATCAGGATAATTAACAAATTTTTCCAAAAATTTTATTCGAAACATATCAATTTTTGATTCGAAGAAATTTTCAAAATGTTTTACTAGTATCAGTGAGTTTACCAAGGGAAGGCACGAATATGAAGTCCCTTTTACAACGGCCTTAGATGCAAGTTGTGGTACATATGTATAATGCTCCAAAACGGTAATAAGGTTTGTCAGCATGGACCTCCATTTTTGAGATATTTTGGTTCGTTTGGTGCATTTAAATATTCACTTCGCTGTTTATAAATATATGAGAAAAACTGTTTAAAACAAAGTAAAAGCTATTTAAGTAAAAGGTAAACTGCAAAATGGTAAAATGGAAAATTTCTTCGAGATTTCAACGTTATTTATCAATGTTTCTTTAGATGGTGTCGTACATTGTTTTATACTGTTAAGGTGGATAAAAAGACAAACTCAATAACCTTAACAATGTACCATTTACATCGCTCAATCTCAAGATGTGGCTTAATTCTTTATAACATACCTGGATCATTTCCCTCAAAAATTTGTGTGGTAATGATATTTAATAGTATCTCGAAGCGTATCGGCGAAAAAGTACGTAAATGCAGTCAATAGACACTTCTAGTAACTTTCACCTATTTTCTCTGTTACAATGATAATATGTATGTAATACTAAAAGTATAATTAACATATTGACTTCTACAATGATCATTGGTATTAAAAAGTAAAGTTTCTAACCTGTGACGGCAGATACATCGAACTGCAAAATTACATATAATAATCAAATAAAGTTATTGGATAACTTTATTTCACTTGGAAACAAAAATAACTAATTGAAAGATTTTTATGAATGGTAATTAATTAGTGTTGGGAAGGAAAATAATGTTATTTAAAATGTTAAATGAACTAGTTTCTATGCAGTTAAAAACATTCAAATCCTATTTTATACATCTCCTTGTGAAAATCCTATTTTGACAAAACCGTGGTATTCCTCAATGTTCCCAATTATGGTATGTAAAAAATGTTGGATGTTTCTGTAACTAGTATAATTTAAATAGGTCGTGCTTGATTCGTAGCTAAAACTTTACATGCCATTAGAACATATCTTTTCGTTATGCTTGTCCACTTGATGCGAAAAATCAAGAAACATTCGTGTTCTAACAATATTTTTACTTTCAATCCGTGAGAAAGCGTATTAAAGATACAAACAAACATAGATGCAGTATGAATAGAAAAACCACATCTAACGATATAGAAGTTTAAATTACAGTGAACTCTAATTATATTGCCACTAAACATATTGCCACGCGAGACACTTCTCTTTCACGCATACTTGCAAGCACAAAAATTTGCTCTCCCACCAATGTTGCGTACGCCGGCGCACCAGCACGATCCAGCTTTTGCGCAAGCGCTGAGGCCAAAGTAATAACGATAGACCTTAGCATGGGGTAGAGGGGGGGGGGCTCTGAACTCATTGCCATTTTACTCCCCTACAACCCCAACCATGGCAATATAGTTAGAGTCCACTGTAGTTCCATTTATTTAGAAAGGTCTTCTTTTGCAGACATTTTTGTCATAAATTCTTAAAGAGTCGCATCAGTGTTAATTGTAGGTCAAGGTCTGTGAAATATTTATAGCTTACCTGCCGATCGATTTTTTCATTAAGGAAACAGAGTATACATATATTGATCCATTAGGGTAATTGCTTTCGGGCTATTGTAATGTATGCATATTCGATAATTGTTGCCCCTTTTCTTTACTAACAATATTAGACTTGTATGCAGCAATTTCTAAACATCTAATATATCATTACTAATTAACTCTTACGTAAATTTGCGCAATAACACGCTTTTCCGTATCGGCTATCCAATTTGATCGATGCACAACCGATGTACCGCGTTACTTTTTACCTCACAGGCCATTGTTTCTATTTCATTCATTAGGTGATCCCATGAGTAGTGCAGTTTTTTCGGTATGTATGTTACTGAGAATAAACAAGTTTTTTGTGAGTACAGTAGTCTCACCTTAAAGTAACGCTGTTGGGGCTGTAGAGTCGCCTTTTGCTGAAAACGCTACTTTAACGTGAGTCTACTGTAATTAGTGATTAATATATTTTCCACTTTCGTGCCAATTCGTCAATGCAGTACAGTAAAATCTTCAATAGTACCCAAAAATTGGGACTGGATTCCGGGTATATACGAAGTAAAGGAATCGATTCTAAATATAGAATTAACGCTGAACGTAGGAAAGGACAGCGAGTGAAAAATAAAGAGGGACTGAGCGTCGAGCCGATGACAACGTTTACATGCCAGCGTGTCGGAGAGACAACATTAATGCAACGATGCAATTTTTTTAGTTTTTATTTTTCAATAAAACTTTTACTAACGCATTTGTGCGATTTCTTTGATTAAAACAAGACTAAACACGATATAATTTGGATGACACTCACTTATTAATATCAATTAAGTGCCATAAATGATCAATAAGTAAATATGATTCAAATTATATCGTATTTGGTATCATTTTAATCAGAATAATCTCACAAATACGTTAGTCAATGTTTTATTGGAAAATAATACAAAATTTGCATCGTTGCATTAGTGTTATCTTACCGACACGCGAGCATTTAATCTTTTTCAGGCTCCCGCTTGGGAAGTTGCCGCACACTGGTCCAGATTGGAGAATTGAGTGACATTTGTCTATAACTTTTGAACCGTAAAAGATAGCCATAGGAAATTTGCGCTAAAAATGTTTAAAAATGTCCCTGTTTTAATGATATACAGGGTGTGACAAAAATGTTGGAGGATCTGAAAATGGGAGACTCGTGAGGGGATTTGAAACAAGTTTTTCCTTAGCAAAACCGTTATCCGAGGCTTTGATAACGAGATATTATCGAAAAACCCCGACCAATCAGAGCGCGAGTCTGCCAGCCGAGTTCCCGCGGTAACGTTGGCTACGCGCTGCGATTGATAGCAAAGTTTTATTTTACGTTATAATTGTTTCTTACTAAGCGTATTAAATAAAAACTAAAAATTTTATTATAAATTTTCTTAAAAAAGATGTCTCAATTACCAAATAAAGTGTTAAGTTTTCAATTTTCATTTTTATTCTTTAAATATACCTATATTTTAAACAATTATACTTTCGACAAAATGCCTTTACTAACGTGCTGTAGGAAATGTATGCATTATTTAATAAATGAATGCATTTACTATAAATAGTATACTTTTTAAGTAGTTACTTAGTTACTTTAGTTTACTTTATAATAGTGTATTTCTGCTAAAATCGTACATACACTGACTGGTAAGTGTATGCATTTACTAAAATCACGCTTTTAATGTGTACAATATACCTATCTATACCTTGAAATTATAATTTGCGTTTTATAAGATAAATGAAAAAGTAGCTTTAAGTAGTTAAACGTAATTTTATATGATCTTAATTTTTTGTATCCGCAGGTGGCAGCTATCCTTGTGGAAAATAACGCTTCTCTTAATGCTACAACTAAAAATGGTTTTACTCCTCTACATATAGCGGCGAAGTATGGCAATATGAGCGTTGCAAAAATACTTTTACAAAGGAACAGCATGTTAGACGTCCAGGGAAAGGTTCGTACTATGAATGTGTATTATTTTTCATAGAATAGACTTTTTACTTTTCATATGGGTACTCTATGCTTAGACCCCCATCTTTTCACCGGCATTTTTTTTTACTTCCTGTCGATTGTCTCTATTTTTTTCTGTAAAATGTATTGAAATTGAAAGACATAAAAGAAATTTAAACTTACAATTAGATCTGGAATTTGCCAGTACTGAAAACCGTTTGAACTTTTGATTAATTTCGATTAGCGAATATCCTGAATGTCGCTTGGCAAATGCCGTGCACACGTTCCCGACGGATATTTTCTCTACTAGTTCGAAGTAAAAATCGTTTCGACACTTTTTCTCGATGGTTTCTTCTTCAACAATGTCTACAGAATCTGATACAGTGTAGCAAATTTGCGCTAGGTAAAGAACTTTCCGTAAAAATGCAAAAATAGTGCATAGAGAATACGCACATCGGTTCTTTTTTATACATTCACGGCTATTTACAACCATTAAGAATTACACAATTTAATAACTAAATACACTGCTGTATGCAGGGATCTCTTCTGTATTTTTCATTTTGATGGGCTTTTGATGCAGCATTGGTTGGCCAACAGTTAGAATTGTCACCCTTTTTTGCAACTGGGCCAACACTCATACCCAACGTAGGGCCTACGTCACTATATACAATAAACCAACAATAGGAAGACAGTCGGCTATACTACACTTCCATAAAATCCTATACAAACATTTGACTTTTTGTTTTTGAAATAAATTAAAGAATATCAGCAAAAAGTAGTGCATTTTCGGTGTGCTTTTCACTTTAAACATTATTTAAACATATTTAGATGTCTATAATCTAATAACAATTTATATCATTTTGTTCGCAAAAGTCCAGAGAATTAATTCTTGTAAAAAGAAACTGAATAAATATTACTGTAAAAGCACAGCACAGCTCCAAAGTTGAAAATTTGCAATTTGTTTTAAATTTTATTTTTTCAAAAACTGGATCTGATGGAAAGAAACGGTTTGCAGATTCGTATTCAACTCATGAAGATCTATCAGAGACGCTTATTAGAAGTTACAAAAACGAAAAAAAGGTCAAATTTGTTGAACAGTGTAATTATTATAAGTTATTTCCAATCTTCTGTCCCCCGACTCTATTTTCACAAAATGTCGAATGTCAAAGGTCAAACGTGTTGCGCGACAATAACAAATTGTGAGTATATTCATAAAGAAAAAAACAAAAAATCAATTTGAAATATAATAACAAGTTTTTGGTTGTATGCAACGTTTTTGACGTCTTTAAGACGATATTTAAATGTTGGCAAACTTTGGGTGGGCCAATGTTGTATGTATTATCATTGTAAATTTCTTGTTAATTAACCAACTACATTAACTGTAGGCCCAATATTGGATATTCGTTGGCAAATTGTCATAACTTTTTCGTCGTAGGCCCTATTTTGGGAATTTGTAGGCAAAAACACTAACTATATCTGAATTACTAACTCTCAACTGTTGGATACCGTTGGCCAACCATAAATGCTACTAGGGTCTTTAGAGAGGCACGTCCTTTGATTTGCGCCGCGGGAGAATAACCCTGTATAATAAGTAATTCGTGTAGTATGTGTTGATATAGTAACTGAAAAATGTTTCAGAATGACATCTCTCCTTTGCATCTGGCATGTCACTATGACCATCCAAATGTAGCGAACCTTTTACTAGAGAAGGGTGCATCTCCCCATCTTGCATCGCAAAATGGACATACACCTTTGCATATCGCAGCTCGTAAAAATCAGGTAAGATGTTTTCATTGTATGTTACGTCTGTGAGAGAGACAGAATCGAAATAATTACGATTTCCGTTACGGTCAAGTACTAAGAGATGACTGAAATACTATTTATAGTCGACATAACCCTAATGCATGGGATATTTAACCCCTTCGCACCGGTGGACGAGAAATCACGTGGCGAGATATCTCGTCTACCGGTGCGAAGGGGTTAAATACGTTTATAATTACAGGCAAGATTAAAATTTACATAAGAATTACGATTGAGAGTTTACCAGTTATCAATTACGGTCGGAAATAGAAATTTTGGATAACCAGTAATTAGTTGCAGTATTATTCCACTTTAGTTTCAGTATGGTTGGAGCAGAAGAATTAAATTTTTTAGATACCACTTGCATGATTGATATTTTGTACCTGTTTGAGCAGATTATGTCTCTATTTCAAAGAAAAGATAGAAAAGCTCATTCCTCAGATTTCAGGGAAAGATTATAGAAGACATTAACACTAAGGCCCGTTACAGAGTCGAGCGGAGCGTCTGCGATTTGGTCGCGATTAGTCTTACTTCATTCGTCGAGTGCCTCAGTAGCATATATTATAATTATTACACAGGGTGTAACAAAAATGTTGAAAGTCCCGGAAATGAGAGACTCGTGAGATGATTTGAAACAAGTTTTTCCTTAAGAAAAATGTTATCTCAGGCTTTGATAACGAGATATTAGCGAAAAACCCCGACCAAACAGAGCGCGAGTCTGCCAGCCGAGTTCCCGCGGTGAATTGACTACCAATCGCAGCGCGTAGCTAACGTTACCGCGGGAACTCGGCTGGCAGACTCGCGCTCTGATTGGTCGGGGTTTTTCGCTAATATCTCGTTATCAAAGCCTGAGAAAACATTTTTGTTAAGGAAAAACTTGTTTCAAATCATCTCACGAGTCTCTCATTTCCAGGACTTTCAACATTTTTGTTACACCCTGTATTATAGCCTGTATTGAAGTTCTTGTACGTAGTTTTGTTTTATTCAAGTATCACCGAATTAATGGCTAAAATTGTTGCTGTGTTTTATTATTCACACAAAAGGAAGAAAAAAGAACATCGAATCCTCCGTGCTCCGTTTGACTCTGTAACGGGCCTTATAATATTTTGTCAAATTGTACGGTTTCTTGAATTCCATTAAGAAATTAATTCAATAGAAACTCAAACGGTAAATATCTCCTAATAAATATTTACAGTATATGAGTCAGTAAAAATAGATAATTAATGTTTGTGTATGACAGAACAGTAGTCGTTTTTGTGCACATGAATGGTCACGGATAGTAAATGGTCGTGTGTCGGATATGGCACACAGGACAGCAAAACAAGAGAAACAAAGACATTTATACATATTCTGAAACATAATATCGATTCGATTCTCTTCGATTCTATACTATTATTACTAATACTATTATTATTATACGTAAAGTTAAGTAAAATAGTACAGATTCGTAATTATTGATATGCGATGAAAAACGAAAATTGCCTTAACAGGAATACGGGTTTTCTTTGAATTACAGTTGAGTCATTCTACGTCAGGTTGATCACTCTTTGTACTCGAACTTTCAAATTTTTTTAAACTAACGTGTCTTGAAACATATTTTTTATTTTCATAATTTTACCCTCGGTTCAAGCGTTAGAATATTTAGAAAAAATAAGTCCATATTCTATGATCTTCCCACTTTCAAATAGGGTTCCTTAATTCGCGGACATTCATTAGTGAAATCGTATACAATACAGCAGCAGTGCATTCAATTTTACATTTACACGCATACATTTTCGCAATAATATTCGTAACTTTCATGGAGGAGTACAAATTGCCATTCGGAAATGCTGTGGCAAATCTTAGTAATTAGTTATTCTTTACTAACAAAATAGTTAATTTACGTAACACTTTCTAGATGGAGATTGCTTCTACTCTTTTGGAAAATGGAGCGAACGCAAATGCCGAATCGAAAGCAGGATTTACCCCGCTGCATTTAAGTGCACAGAAAGGTCATTATGACATGACGAATTTATTAATTGAGCATGGAGCTGATCCCAATCGCAAATCAAAGGTTCTATGATACATTGTATTTACATAAAACTGAAGTCGTTGCACATGAAATGGGAGGCAACTGTACTAGTGATAAATATATTTGACGTTACTTTTACGAATGAAAATTAATAACATAGCTTCTTTTTTAATGCAAAATTACAAAAGTTCAAGGTACCGTCTAACATAGAAATAAAATCTATTATGTTACATATAAAAGTTAATTAAAATAGAGAATTAATCTTAAAGGCCATTTTCTCCACGTGCATTAAAAAATGGTCATTTGAGCTAACTCCATAAATAAATTTTATAAAGATGCATTTAAGTTTCTGCTAGAAAGTACTATTTAAATAGTGATGACAATATTTGTTGAAAAGATAGTAGCAACTAAAAGTGTCTTCGAAGAGTCATCTTCAAATTCAATATAATAATTACGTAATTAATGCAACACATATGTTAGCCTAAACGTGTTTAGAATGGAAACGAAAGCTGTTTACCAAGCGTTATTTTGTCATCGAAGGATTTATTGCCTAAATGTTATAACTTTATCATCTGTATACTTTATAATCATTTTGCCTCGGAGTGGGGTAGACAGGGGTGCCTTCTGGTAAGAGTATTCTCACCAGAAATCTATTAAAAATCGATCCTTCCTATTAAAAATCGAAGCATCGGTAGAGTTTCTAATATATATTTCAATATAAATGTCCATAAAGTCTATTTAATCCTACTTCGTTTAATAAAATTCGTATGATGTTCAATATAATATCATGTGTCAGTAATAAAATGGCCATTTCATGTGCAACAACCAAATAGTTCTGTATTTCTGTACAAAGATAACGTAACAAGGAAAGTCGGCATGTATTAGTAATAGAAGCAAAAAATTACATGGGCCAACTTACCTGACCTACCATCTTACCACGGTTTATGGGTATTATATTTAGATATTTTAATAATAATTGCGTATGTTTGATATATCTCATTTGTTATGTTATTCATGAGATAATACCCAAATAGCACGTGACGCCTAATGACGCCTTGAAGACGGCTTAAAGGCGCCTTAGACCTAAAATAGCCGTAAAATGGGCGTCTTTAAGGCGTCGTGTGCTATCTGGGTATCATCGGAGCGCGAAACAGCCCAGATAACACACGACGTCTAATGACGTCTTGAAAACGGCTTAAAGGCGCCTTAGACCTAAAATAGCCGTAAAATGGGCGTCTTCAAGGCATCATGTGATATCTGGGAGTGAATTTCTTAAGTTGGGCTCAATTTCGCGTCGTCCGCTCGGATAGAACTGCTTGAAACGCTGTCGGGTCGGAGTGGTTAACATGATTAATATAATAAATTTTCAATATTTACTTTATAAGTATGCTTATGTTTTTTCTAATATAAATATGTTTATTTTTTCCTAAAATAAATATGTACAGAAATATTACTTTTACTCCGAAATGGTGGTACAACCGAATTTGAAAACCTGCTACCTAGATATACACATACAATTGAATAGGACTTACAAGGAGTGTATTTTAGGTGTCCGCCTCCGATTGCTTTGGTTTTCGGATATGTTTTGGAGGACCGAAAAATAAGAGATACGTATTTCTTTATAGCGGCCCGTTTTCATATTTAGGGGGTAAAACCACCCCTCAAAGTTTCGACCCGGAAGTAGTATCTCGAAAACCAGAGGAGATACATGAAAACTTCTAATGGACGAGGTCTGCGGTTTTTTATGTAGAATAATATGGTGCTAACAAATTGTCCAAAATATAATTTGTTTATAACAACAAAATTTCGGATAGAAATTTCGAGTGATGGTTTAACCCCTTCAAGTCGCGTCTCAGCCGATAAAAGAAATACGTGTCCTTTATTTTTGACTGCTTAACAGACATACGAAGTTTCATCAAAATCGGAGGGGGATACTTCCGTGCAATGCTTGTCCCTTGTGAGATATACACGTAGCTTCCTCCAAAAAGGTTCTCAAAATCATATTTTTTTGTTATAAACAAATTGTATTTTTGACAATTTGTTAACACCAGTTTATTGTACATAAAAAACTATGAAAGCCACCAATTGAAAGTTTTCATGTATCTCCTCTGGTTTTCGAGATAGTACTTCCGGGTCGAAACTTTGAGGGGTGGTTTCACCCCCTAAATATGAAAACGGGCCGCTATAAAAAAATACGTATCTCTTATTTTTCGGTCCTCTAAAACATCCGAAAACCAAAGCAATCGGAGGCGGACACCTAAAATACACTCCTTGTTAGCTAACGCGTCTGTACATTGCATTCTGTTTCTACTTATTCCCAGATAGCACGTGCCTTGAAGACGGCTTAAAGACGCCTTAGACGTAAAATGGTTGTAAAATGGGTGCTTTCAAGGCGTCATGTGCTATTTGGGTTGTCACTATGTATACATAAGCGTTATTAGATGAATTTTAAAAATTGATTGTCTTGGAAATGATGCTTGGTACGGAAAGATGTTGTTCTACCTGTTCGACTTATTTTTGTATTTAGAATCACATCCTTTCGGATTGTCCCACCATTTCAAAAACATCCTGTGTATACATCCAGATAGCACGCCTTTAAGCCGTCTTTAAGGCGTCATGTGCTATCTGGGCAACGACAGAACTAATAATTAGTTGTTTCTTTAGAATGGTCTTACTGCACTGCATTTATGTGCGCAAGAAGATTTCATCAGAGTGGCTTCGATTCTCGTGAAAAATAATGCAAACGTAGAAAGTCAAACCGAAACTGGTTATCGGCCAATTCACGTCGCCGCGCATTTTGGGAATCTCTCGATGATCCGATTCCTTTTGAAACACAACGCAGATATTAACGTGAAAACTAATCAGAACTACACCCCGCTTCATCAAGCTGCTCAGCAGGGCCATGCTCATATTGTGACTGCATTGATAGAAGGAAAGGCTTCTCACAAATCCCGAACTAATGTGAGTAAATATTCATTTCCGTTTCTTTCAGTATTTGAAATTTATTTACACGATAAAACCATAATTTCCTTTTTTTTTCATAAATTCTTTTAGGATGGTTTGACTGCGTTGAACATAGCACAGAAATTAGGATACATATCCGTCATGGAAGTATTAAAAGGATTGTCATACGACACAGCGACACCCGATAATAAAAATTGGGACGAGAAATATAAAGTTATCGCGCCTGAAAGTCTACAGGAAACGAGTTTCATGTCAGACTCCGATGATGAAGGAGGTAAGAATTATTTTAATCTATCGGGCTGTTCAGGAAATATTATGCTTCAAAGAATTTTAATTTATTAAGTAGCAAGTGCAATAGAAAATAATGTCAGCCTTTCAGAATAAATTACATTATGATTTTTTGTGTCCCGTTGTCGTTCTGCAAGCGAGTTTACTCCTCTTTTCTGTATTAAGTCCAAGGTCAATGTCCCTATTTCTAATCATGTAAGGGTGCTGCTATCGCAGAAATTGATTTTTATTATTTATGTATGCAACAATCGACAAAAAAACTTACTAGATATAAAATGTAAGCCTCCCTTTATAATTAAATTTAAATAAAAGTATTTTTAAAAACATTTTAACTCAACAATAGTCAATATAATATAAAGTATAAAATGCCCCTATTTCTGCTCAGAGAAAATGAAAATGCTCACATTTCTGTTTACGACTGTGTCCCTATTTCTACTCAGCGAAAATGGAAGTGCTAAAATCAAACTTCGGCGAACAATGTTAAATTCACAAAACAATGTTATTCTAAAATACAATAAAAGACAAAACTTTCATCAGCAGTAACGAATTTTCTATTTTATTCTTCATTCAATGAGATACTTAAGAGAAAACAGAAACTCTTTCATTTGCTCAGGTCTTTGTAAATTACTTTATAAAATGTCATTTTGCATAAAAATCCGCACTCTACTTATTGAACTTTTTTTTTTTTTTATTTTAGGAAATACTGAACTATTTTAAATTATTTTTTGTATAACTAATTTATTACTTAGCTTTTTATATTAAATGAATAATGTACGTAGTAAATACGGATATTGACCTTGCCAATAAGTGGACCACTATTTTTTGGTGAAACGTACTCGTTTCGAAATAATTCAAATACCTATCCTATTTGAACAATATTCCTTATTTGTACCCATCATCCTCCGCCATTTTGACTAAACATAAGGTAGGAAAGGTGTTCTGAATCCAAAATGTATTGTCATCATATTGTAACTAAATATAGTAAATTGCCTGTTGGTGCATTTAATAGAAATTAGAATAACAGGAAACAAGGGGATTGAACCTGAAAAACATTTTTCAAGGCACCCTAGTAGATGTAATCCAGTGTATTACAGAGTTTTTCCAGATAGCACATGAAAGACGCCTTGAAGACGCCCCTTTTACGTCTATTTTAGGTCTGAGACGTCTTTAAGCCGTCTTGAAGACGTTATGTGCTATCTGGGGTACCTATAGATGTTTGAGATTTCATTTAAGACTTTGATAATTTACTTATGAACTCCTTGGAAATTTTCGAACTGTGTCGCACTGATTTCCATAATTCGCTTATCAGAATGCACAGTTATTTAAAAAAATATTCGTCACAATTCAATTATTCAACACTTGGCATAAATTTAAATTCAGTATTATTATTTCGTTTTGTTTTTTTACGTAGAATCGTCACATCTCCGTTTGTACCATCAATTACAGGACATTGTGTATATTGTATAAAAAAGTTTCTAAACTGAAGTTAAAGCAGCAACTCTTCGTGCGACATTCACGCTTTTTATCAGCAGTTACACTATTCGATTTTTAAAGTATTTGATGCATTGATTGCGAATCTGCAAACCGTTTTTCTCTAGCACGTATAGTCTTTGATAAATTTGATTTGGAAGAAAATTCATATTTTTCGAATTCAAACCAATTTATCGGCCAAACTATAAAATGTATTACATTTCTGTTTACACGAAAAGAATCTGTAGACTTTTTCAAATACAATGATTTATCACAGGCGTCGGCAACCTATGACCCGCGGGTCATCAAATGACCCATTTGATAATTTCAGGTGACCCGCTTGAGTTCCGCAAATAAAGTATAATATATACAACTATAAAACATAAACATGAAACAAACACTTTGAGAAAGTATAAATAATTGATTAACATTTGTTGCCGACGCCTGATTTATCATATAGCACATTACGATTGTTTAAATATGTTTAAACTATGATTGAAGTGGAGAGACACCAATTTCGCACTAATTTTTAGGGATATTTTTCAATTTATCTCAAAATCTAAGGGTCTAGCCTAAATGTTGTGTAAACTTTTACTCGTGAAGCAAAAAGTTTCGATCATCGTTCTTCCCACCATCTTGAAGAAGAATTATCGGGACCATTTTTAGAGTTTCTGTAATTATTGTGAGTAGTACTTAGAAAAAAACTATTGTATTTTTAATAATGATTGAGTGAAAAAGACTGTTTCCATTTCAGTTTGGAAACATTTGGAACAGACCGTGTATTTGTTTGAAGAGCTAAGAATATTTACATGTTCGGTAAAAGAATTTTTACATGATGATAAAACGCGTTTTGGTTTGTAGGTTCAGATGCATTGATTAGTGAGCAACCATATCGCTATCTTACCGCGGACTTGATGAAAAGTTTAAGAGATGATTCGCTTCCAATTGATGTTACAAGAGATGATCCGATACATAGACAAGGTAACACTAATCTTCCACTATTGCTGTCAAAGATCACGATTTAATTCTGGTATTCTAATATGTTATTTATTATTAGTTGCAAACGAAGGGAAACAGGAGTTTACGCAGAGCAATAATTACTGTCTGGCAGAGAACTTTGATACGGACGGATATAATCTGGGGTACGTATACATTGTTTATCATACAAGGTAGAATTAATTACTTTTGGAGACTTAGCCAAATAGCACGGAAACGTCATATGTACGTCTAGAGAACGTACGTTCCGGACGTTCGGTACGATGATACGGTTTCAATTTATTCATTCTGTGCAAGGTGATAGAAGTTAGGTTAGCTTGGTTTGTGTTCAATAAATAAAAGATTAACTTTATTATTAAAGTTAGTCCCTGTTAATAAATAAGATGTTAAATGTTCTATCCCAGATAGCACATGACGCCTTGAAGACGTCCATTTTACGGCTGTTTTAGGTCTAAGCTAGGCGCCTTTAAGCCGTCTTCAAGGCGTCATTAGGCGTCGTCTGCTGTCTGGGATAAGAAATTATAACAAAAATATATGTCTAGGGGCTATGATTTGTGTGTACATTGTGCTTATTATTTTCAAAGCAAAATACTGATTCTGTGTTGGTTACAGACTGTTTAAGAAACAAAATATTTGTTCAAATTTTCTAAAGTTTCTGCACAAAACCACTAATGTCGTTACACTACTTTATTGATTCTCTATAGAATGACACCTTGCTCATGGGGTTCCATTATCCTGCACGGAATGACATTGAGTCAAAATTACTAACGAAACCATCCGATATTTAAATCCTTCGAACATTCGTAAGACTTAAGAAACGGACATTCTTAGAACATCCGAAATTAAAGTGTTGAGAACATCCGCAATTTAAGTCTTACGAACATCCTAGGGATGTCCAAAATCGACGTAGAACATTCTGATATAAACTGGACATGAAACGGATGTCCGTTGTATGTACGGTGCTATCTGGGTAGTAATGCATTACCTATACTATAAACAATATAAAACTTCTTATGAAAATTAATATTAATTAAAATAAAAATATTTTCATTTCTAGCCGACTTCATTTCAGATCGTAAGTAAATTTGATTAACATTTCAAGAGAATTTAGTTAAACAAATAAAATTACACCGTTAGTCACATGAACTCTACATTCTTAATTGCACCATTTTGAATTGTAATTTTGTATACAGTATTTTTGCGAACTAGAGATAGAAACTCAAATCGTTAATAGAATTCATTAAAGGAAGCAGAATAGGTCTTGATAAAAATTAATCACTAAATTAATCGTTTTCGAAATGTTGAACACTTCTAAGATATTTCTTGTTTGTTAATAATTATCTCCACAGCCCTATTGTAATGTTTTTATTTCTTCTTAGACAATTAAGTTCTGGTCTCAGTAAAAAATTTAAGTTTCAATAACACTGTTCAACACGTAAAATTTTTTGCAATTATCAATAAGCGTTTCTGATAGACCTTTATGAATAAGTTCGTAATCTACTTGAATACTGATTATTATTTTTATGTATATTTCATTGCGCACACCTCCAGGAATTGTATTAAATTTCGCACCTTTTAGATTTTTAGTAAGCTTCTTGGTGGACGCACGTGGAGGTGCGATGAAAGGTTGCAGGCATAGCGGTGTGCGTATCATTGTGCCGCCGCGCAGAGCAACAATGCCAATTCGTGTCACGTGCAGATTGGTAAAACCTAGTAAAGTAGCAAATCCTCCTCCTTTAATGGAGGGCGAAGCTTTAGCAACTCGTGTTATAGAGATGGGACCGATTGGTGCGACATTTCTAGGGTAAATATTTCCTCATTCGATGGATCATTTCTAAAACCGTAGTCATGAAAATCAGACATTCCGTTTTAGACCCGTTTTAATCGATATACCGCACTTCGCATCGATTCACGGCAGGGGCAGAGAGATTATCATCCTTAGAAGTGAAAATGGAGAAACGTGGAAAGAGCACGACAACTCGGTCGATAATGACGACACGTTGTTAAATACTCCATATGGTATTTTTAATATATAAGAAAAATTTAATTCCACATTTCGACTATACCTGTTATTTCCCATTGTCATGGTCACACATTTTAAGAAGTATTTAATATGCAGGGTGGTCCACGCAACTTGTTCACCCTGAATAACTTCCGAGATATGCATTGTATGAAAAAACTTTTTATAAAAAAGTTATATGATTTGAAGGGATACATTATGTAATGTATATTTTTTTTGTAAGTGCAGGCCTTTCGGAGATTTGAAGGTCAACTTCGTTTTTTTAAATGGAATGCTATATTTTTTATGCCGAAATATCGAAGAGCGTTAAATTTTTAGTAAAAGTACTGACCTTCATTAGCCGTAAACCTAATAATTAACGAATAATTTCACTTTGTTTCTTGAAAATAGTCGGTGTGTAATATCAAGTTGAAGATTCGATATTAAAAAAGATTTCCATAAGAACGCGGAGTTTACGTGACATTGTTTATCAACATGACCGATTCTGCGTATGGAATGGTAATCGCTTATTCTGTCCGTGATTCAGTATTGAAGTCATTCTTAGTGTTGATTAGTCTTGATCAGTTATCATCAATCAACTTGATATTACGCACAAACCATTTTCAAGAAACAAAGTGAAATTATTCGTTAATTATTAGGTCTACGGCTAATAAAGGTCAGTACTTTTTTACTCAAAATTTAAAACTCTTCGATATATTGGCATAAAAAACATAGCATTCCATTTAAAAAAACGAAGTTGACCTTCAAATCTCTGAAAGGCTTGCACTTACAAAAAAAAAAATATATATTACATAAGTATCCCTTCAAACCATATAACTTTTTTATAAAAAGTTTTTTCATACAATGCATACCTTAGAAGTTATTCAGGGTAAACATGTTGCGTGGACCATCCTGTAATTCTAAAAATTGTTGAACATCGAAGCAATAAAAATGTCGTCGCTATTTGACTTTACAGATCCTCAAATGAGTGCTACTCATTCCGGCAGAATTACTCGTATAATAACAACAGACTTTCCTCAGTACTTTGCTACCATAACAAGAATCAAACAAGAGGTTCATGTGATTGGTGCTGAAGGTGGTATTCTAATATCAAGCGTGGCTAATCACGTTCAGGCAGTTTTTCCACCTGGAGCATTGACGAAGAAAATTAAAGTCGGATTGCAGGTAATTATAATCATTATTTGATCGAAACATTCTTTTTATACGAGGGTAGTTGCTACAGTACGAGTACTTTGTTTCTTGTAGGCTCACGTAATTCCTGCAGAGCTTACAGCGAAATTGTTAGGCAATTGCGTTGCAGTCTCACCCGTGATAACGATCGAGCCAAGAAGACGTAAATTTCATAAACCCATCACCCTCACGATACCAGTGCCTGAAGCTGCAAACAAAGGAATGATAAATCAGTATGGAGGCGAAACACCAACGTTGCGTCTGCTTTGTAGTATTGCAGGTAAGCAACTGATTAAATTAACGTAAACAATGTTAAATTTCTAATATCTAATTTCTCTAAATTCCTCAAGTAAGGGGACAAATTTGATGAGTGTTTCCTTTTTATTCTTCTGTTGTTCAAAGTTTCTTACAAGTAACAAGTCACACAAAGAAATCGTTGTGAATACCTTAAGGGGGTATTCTAGACTAGAATGCCATTTTCTTAGGGTTTTATTTGTTTCTTCTTTACAAAGAAATCACGACTTTTTGGTATCAATCTTCCACACACACATTTTATGTTTAAAGAATATTCATCCCAGTTAGCACATGACGCCTTGAAGACGTCCATTTTACGGTTATTTTAAAAATTTTTGGCATCGTGTGAGCTCCATTGAACCATTCAATTTTGTTCTTAAGACATTTGATGTATCTTTAAAAACAACAAAGATATTTGAAGTGCAAACGTTAGGTGACTCACCCTGTATAAATAGTAATTTCTGAAGGAACAATGTATTGTAATAATGAAAAGACTCCCATACGCGCTTAGTGATCCATAAAGAGACACTGTAACGCGTGCGACTTCGCTCAAGGAAGTCATATTGAACTCTTTCTCGAACAGAAAACTTCGAAACCTCCAGTTTTAGAAATAGAGCAATTAGAAACCTTTGTTTGTGTGATGTTTTTATCTATTTTAGACAGGGACTTCTACTGAAACATAAAATGCCGGTATTTTCGATTGTACCTTCGCCCTATACAGGGTGTTCGACTACTAGTGAGAAAAAATTTAAGGGGTGATTCTTTGAGGCAAAATAAGACGAAAATCAAGAATAACGAAATTGCGAAAAATGCTTCGTTTGTTAGTTATAAACGTTTAAAACTTGACCCAAATGATGGCAATCCGCGCACACGGAGTGTCAGAAGATCACGGCTCATCAGGGACGTACAGTCACTTTAAAGACTCAACGACGTGCAGGAAAAATCGGTAGAACAGCTGTTTACTTACCCCGTAGAAAATGTCGATAACTTGTGCCCGCGGTATTTAAGTCGAATCCACCTGTATCGCATTAACTTTGATTAGTCGATAAAATTTGCAAGAAATGTAAATATCTTCTTACAAATATTATCGAGTAGAGAGGGTTAATGCCCACTCTAGTTGTCACGTATAACAATTGTCGTGTCCACGAGTATCCATGAAATTAATCCGCACATGCACGTACACCACAGAAGTGCGCGAAAAGTATCCACACACACTGCGCGATTGTCCCGTCAGCGAAAAATGTTCACACACTGCGCGATTAATTAGACCCGCGAGCGGTTCCTTTGTTGGGTTTAACACTCTACACGTTACACAAAACTAACACTCAAAATAATTAATTTATAACTATTTAACACTAATTGTTAACCTACACTAATTAATTTATAACAACTATTTAAAACTACTAAATTCTAACACGCAATAATTAATAGAACCTACAATATTTAATAAAACCTGCAATAATTAATAAAACCTACAATATTTAATAAAACCTGCAATATTTAATATAACCTGCAATAATTAATAAAACCTACAATATTTAATAAAGCCTACATAATTAATCAAATCTACAATATTTAATAAAACCTACAATAATTAATAAAACCTACAATATTTAATAAAACCTACAATAATTAAAAAAATCTACAATAATTAATAAAACCTACAATAATTAATTTGCACTATTTATAACGACGACGTACGCGACACTACTAAATAATCACTACTTAATCGCTAAATAAACTAAAACTTAGTTCTCCGAACATGAACTCTATTTGCTCGTAGAATGCAAAGGCCACCGTTCGGAAAGGACAACTGATATTGTTGAACTGATCCTCCCTCGTTAGGATCGATGTGGCGTAATAAATAGGTAGATCCCCACTCTTTCATGGCCAATACTTTTTGGGAAGGAAAAGCTGCATGGGAAAGTGTCTTGGAGGTCGCGTTTCTTTTCGTATATTCTTAGAGCAACATCTGTATTTTTGTGCTGAACGATGTTTTTGAACGAGTGCATGCGTTAATTGCTTATCTTCCGAAGCTTCGCCCGATAGGATAATATCCTTATGGGCATTGCACATTTTATTACCACTTCGATCTTACTCCAAGTGTTTGAGGTTCTTGTATTCGCAAAAAAATAATATGTAATTAACATGGATCATACAAAACGTGTAATGATATTAGAATGAAACTAAGATGAAATTTGCCGCACAAACCTGCATTACGATGCATAAAGAAACTACATAAAATAAAATAAAGAAAATTGTTAAACAAATACATTCAGTGTAATATGAACCGTTAGTAACATGGAGTTTGCATTCGACGTTGAAAGTTGTATTTACAAGTTATTGTCAAGAGGGACTGCCGAAAACACAATAGGCAAGGTCTTCGTCGCTGCCAGTAACACGTTACAGGCAATCCGCGGGTGGTCGCTCTACAGAAGACAAAAGACAGTATTATATTGTCCAGACTCGCCCATTCTCGGCATCGTGGTCAAGTGGCCCCGAGTGATGTATGAGAAAAAAATACAGATGTTGCTCTAAGAATATACGAAAAGAAACGCGACCTTCAAGACACTTTCCCATGCAGCTTTTCCTGCTCAAAAAGTATTGACCATGAAAGAGTGGGGATCGACTTATTTATTATGCCACATCGATTCTAACGAGGGAGGATCAGTTTAACAATATCAGTCGTCCTTTCCGAACGGTGCCCTTTGCATTCTACGAGCAAATAGAGTTCATGTTCGGAAAACTAAGTTTTAGTTTATTTAACGATTACGTAGTGATTATTTGGTAGTGTCGCGTATGTCGTCGTTAATAAATAGTGCAAATTAATTATTGTAGGTTTTATTAATTATTGTAGATTTTTTTAATTATCGTAGGTTTTATTAAATATTGCAGGTTTTATTAATTATTGTAGGTTTTAATCATTATTGTAGGTTTTATTAAATATTGTAGATTTTATTAATTATTATAGGTTTTATTAAATATTGTAGGTTTTATTAAATGTTGCAGGTTTTATTAATTATTGTAGGTTTTATTAATTATTGCAGGTTTCATTAAATATTGTAGGTTTTATTAAATGTTGCAGGTTTTATTAATTATTGTAGGTTTTATTAATTATTGCAGGTTTTATTAAATATGGTCGGTTTTATTAATTACTGCGTGTTAAAAATTAGTTTTAAATAGTTACAAATTAATTATTTTGAGTGTTAGTTTTGTGTAACGTGTAGAGTGTTAAACCCAACAAAGGAACCGCTCGCGGGTCTAATTAATCGCGTAGTGTGTGAACATTTTTCGTGGTCAGGACAATCGCGCAGTGTGTGTGGACATTTTTCGCGGACGGGACAATCGCGCAGTTTGTGTGGATACTTTTCGCGAACTTCTGTGGTGTACGTGCATGTGCGGATTAATTTCATGGATACTCGTGGATAGGACAATTGTTATACGTAACAACTAGAGGGGGCATTAACCCTCTCTACTCGATAATATTTGTAAGAAGATATTTACATTTCTTGCGAATTTTATCGAGTAATCAGAGTTAATGCGATACAAGTGGATGCGACTTAAATACCGCGGACACAAGTTATCGATATCTTCTACGGGGTAAGTAGACATCTGTTCTACCGACTTTTCCTGCACGTCGTTGAGTCTTTAAAGTAACTGTACGCCCCTTACGAGCCGTGATCCGTTGACACTCCGTGCGCGCGGATTGCCATCATTTGGGTCAATTTTTAATCGCTTATAACTAACAAACGAAGCATTTATCGCAATTTCGTTATTCTCGATTTTCGTCTTATTTTGCCTTAAAAAATCGCCCCTTAAATTTTTTCCCACTAGTTGTCGAACACCCTGTATAAGACCTACCCTTATAGAAATCGAAAAAATACCGGTATTTATTTTAGTTTCGGTATAGCTTCCTAGAGCACATGACGTCTAATGACGTCTTGAAGATGGCTTAAAAACGCCTTAGACCTAAAATAGCCGTAAAATGGACGTCTTTAAGGCCTCATGTGCTATTTGAATTTGATGGCATAATACAGGTATCAAAATTATACCGGTTTAAGTCCCTGATTTTAGAACCTATTTTAGGACACCTTGTACGTACAAGTACTCTTACATTTCAGAGTTTCATCTAGATTTTTTATGTTTCTCAGATGGAGTTACTTGATTCCTTTTCATTTTGTAATATTTTGTATGTAGGTGGCACAAGTGAATCGAAATGGGAAGATGTTACTGGATCAACACCATTAACGTTTATGAACGACAAAGTATCCTTCACGACAACGGTCTCTGCTCGATTTTGGTTAATGGATTGCCGAAATATAGGTGCAGTCTCGAAAATGGCCACCGAATTGTATGAAGAGTCTTTATATGTGCCGTACATAATAAAGTAAGTGCTATTATTAAATCGTTAAAACGTGATTCATTATTCGATTTCTCTTATAAGTAAAAAAAAACATAAATTTTCTGTGCAGTTTTGTAATATATACAAAACGAACGGATGTATTTGAAGCAACACTAAGAATACTGTGTATGACGGACGGAAAGGAAGGAATGCACACATTGGAAAGGCAAGAGGAGTTTGTCGAAATTGTCAAAAGTCGTGATGTTGAAGTAAATATTGTCTATTACATAATTTTCATCCCATTTTACTCAGTAGCATGCAATCATAGAATTTCTTAATAATTATACTCAAGCATATTTACACTATTTTAAACTATGTATGCATTGTTTATTACTTTTATTATATTGTATTCTTGTTCGAAATATTACTAAGTTTTTGTTCTCCAACTTACTTTACTGCTTTTCAAATATGTAAATAAACTTTTCATTATTTTTCGTTATTTATCGTTCAAAATTTTACTAATGTATTATTTTAATGTGCATGTGCAGATGTTACATGTATATTTTAATTATGCTTAAGTATTGTGTTATTTAATGTCAAGTTAAGCTTTAAATATTTTTAAAAACAAAGATTTTTATTTGGAAAACTGTGTATTCGTACACCCACGAGCAAAGTCCGCTTCCGTTGGGAGAAAAGCAGCGTAGAGGAAAGACCCCCCACCACTTGACCACAGAAGTCACTGAAATTTACGCCACACTTACATGAAAGAACCACATTCAGTTTAACATTTATTTCAGTACTCGACAAGCAATCAAATTTGCGCGTTTGAACGTTTGAGGGTAAAAGCGATGTATTTTATTGTCAGTGAAATGAATAATAAACACAATTGGTCACCAGTCTGTCAACAGCCAGCGTGTATCGGTCATTGTTCAGTGGTGCTATCGTCGTCCATTGAACGATTGGCGAAACAATCTCCCCCATTATAGCAGCAACGTAGGGAAGCCGACTCTGCTCGATTGCGCGGAAACCGTCGCATGAGTCTGTCCTTTTCGCACTTGTGGTTGTCCTCTTTTATGGCACATTCTCGTCTTGACGATATTTCAAGGGTCCCTGTTTTTGGTCGACACGATGAGAATGGCGGTAAATGGGAAAATACATGAATCGTATACCGGATTATTCATTGAGCTAATAAATAATTTACAGATAAAAAATTACTTTCTTTCCCTAGACTGGTTAGTATATTCATCAGTACCCCAAAATGCATTTCAGGTTAATGGAACTGCGAGAATTGTAGAATATGTGAGATGGTCGGATAAATCTCTGAACCCTTTATACGCAGTATCATGAGCTTGTCGAGTACTAAAATAAATGTTAAACTGAATGTGGTTCTTTCATGTAAGTGTGGCATGAGTTTCAGTGACTTTTGTGGTCAAGTGGTGGGGAGCCTTTCCCCTACGCTGCTTTTCCTCCAACGGGAGCCGACTTTGCTCGTAGGTGTACCCTCACGAGCAAACTCGGCTTCCACTAGGGGAAATAGTGAGGTAGGCGAAGGGTCTCTTACCAATTAGTTTTGGGAGTTACTGAAATTTATGCCAAATTAACATTTGGTTTAACATTTATTTCAGTACTTGAAATAAATTTACCAAGTGGTAGGAGGTCTTTCTCTTACGCCATTTTTTCTCCTAGCGAAAGCCGAATTTGCTCGCTGGTGTACACCCGCGAGCAAACTCGGCTTCCTCTAGGGGAAAAAGTAATGAATTCATGAAAAGGCCTCCTACCACTTGGTATTGGGAATTAGTGAAATTTATACTAAATTATCACTCAATTTAACATTTATATCAATACCTGGAATAAATTTACCAAGTGGCTGTAGGTAGTAGAATAGTACGCAGACCGAACCAAGAAATAAAAATAAACATGTGCCACAAATGTTTAGATGAAACAGAATACAATTGTTGTTTATTGAATACAGTGGAGATTAAATGATAACTAGATTACGAATATTTATACAGATATAAACATGACGATTAGATGGTACTTTATTTCTTGTACTAGGAATTTCATCAACTGAATAGTATCAGTGAATAATATTTTACTACGATGTACAAGGTAGAAGACGCTTTATTGGCATAAACATCCACAATCCAATGATAGAACCTGTTAAGATTTTTATGAAAACATTTCAATATAATTAGAAGAAAGTTATGAAACTGGTTTTGAAAAAAAGTTTCAACAATTGCTTTATATTTATTAAATCTTCTTTGTTAATGTTAAAGTTTGCAATTATTATGAAACTTAAGAATTTTTATTATAACTAATTATTTAATTACTGTCTGTTTGCGGTAGAAGTTGGTTTCGACTCAGCTTAATATACGAATTCACTAAACATAAGTAATACTATACTTAATCCGCCCTCAATAATGTCAAACAGTAAAATCCTATAACACTGTTCAACAAATTTGAACTTTTTTTCGTTTTTGCAATTGTCAATATGCGTTTTTGATAGATCTTTATGAGCTAAATACGAATCTGCAAACCGTTCCTTTCCATCAGGTCCAGTTTTTGAAAAAATCAAATTTAAAACAAATTGCAAATTTTCAAATTTGGAGCTGTGTTGTGCTTTTACAGTGATATTTATTTAGTTTCTTTTTACATGAATTAATTCTCTGGATTTTTGCGAACAAAATGATATAAATTGTTATTAGATTATAGATATCTAAATATGTTTAAATAATGTTTAAAGTGAAAAGCACACTGAAAACGCACCACTTTTCCTGATATTCTTTAATTTATTTCAATTATGTGGGCCACCCTGTATATTTTATTTAAATTCATTAACATTTTTAATATTATTTCTTAAATAGGATAGAAATAGAGTCAGAAAAATTGTATTAGGAACCTTTATGTGACCCAAAAATCAGGTTTAGTTCCATCACTTCGAGACTTGTTGAACAGTGAAATCGATATGAAAATGTGGCGTTCCTTAACGTTGGAAGTTTTCTATCATGTAAATGTGCTGCCTTTTAATTTGAAAGATAGAATAATTTCTTAAGTTCAAACGTAATATCTAGCTACTAATGGACAATTTATTGTTTTTAAGTTTGGCACACTAATATGTTTTGGAATTATTTCTGCAAAAATTAACATTGGAACTATGTACCAAACTCGTCAAAACGACGGATATCAAATTTCTTATTTTACTATTATTGAAATTGTACAAGTGCTTTTGTCGGAATTTATGATGAACTTTAAATCAGTATACACTTTATATTGTATCGTATTGTGTTGTATTATATATTATAAAATTTAATGTACTGTACATTCAAGGCTGGTAGTTCTAGAGTTATATAAATCCAAGGCCGAAATTTCAACCGATTTTTAATATTTTCTTTATTTTTTATAATATATCCGTTCTTAATCATGTTTCATCGAGCATAAAGTTCTTAGGTTCCTAGTATTTCTTTAAAATAATATTTTAAAACATACGAATATCACATTTGCTATAATGATTGTTTTAAAATAATATTTAAAATAATATTAATAGTTTAATATAATATTTTAAAACTAATGAAAATCACATTTATTATAATGATTGCGCGTATTACAGGCTCTTGATGGAAAAGATCTGTACATTGAATTTAGTGGGAATTTGGTGCCTGTGACAAAGTCGGGTGTACAACTGAAGTTTACTTTCAAAGCTTTCCGTCAAAACCGTCTGTCCTTCCATGTAAAAGTAAAAGATCCATTACTAGATCCTGTAGCTAGAATGCTCTTCATGCGAGAACCAAAAGTCGCGAAAGGAGACCCGCCACAGCAACCGATTTGCGTGTTGAATATTGTTCTTCCGGAAAGTACGATCAAGATCGAAGATTCAAAGAAATTTAAAGGTAAATATCTGAAATACTTTCGTTCCTAAATGTAATAATTCCACAATACTATGGAAATAACATCTCAAACATCGTATGATGTAAAACTAATATTTCAAGCGTTATAAAATAGTTTTCTTGTCACAGATTACGAAGACTCAAATATTATAAATCAGAAAATGGATTCCTTGGAATTGAAGTATAAGACGGAACGAAAGGAGAAAATTGATGAACTTCAAGAAACATCACCCTCGGAAAAGAAATTCATAACTGACACCCTCCAAAAAGAACGAACAGGTATGATATTAATTTTTATTTTAAGACTCGTTTAATAAAGCGGTTTAGGCGGTGAGATTATAGACACGAGAAAAATGCAGAGAGAATACAAAAAATTTCGAACAACGTGTTGAGTATAATATGTAAAATTGTTTCATCGTTATAACGATATATCAAGGGAACTAACGAAGAGGCAATTTTTAGTTAAAAATTCAAAGCACAGGGTGCAAAAACGAAAACCCGTACACAGAAATGTCTGCAGACATTGAATATCTATTACCCTGGTAATCCCAGACTTATGATATGATGTAATAAACGCAAGTTAAAGAGGAAAACTGAATGATTAATATTTCCACTAATTTCAATACAGTCTGTAGAAAATCGCGAAATCGATGATCGTTTTTTTATTATCACTAAAAATGAAACAACAAAATTGCAATTTCAATTCCATTTTTATTTAAGGCAAGGAAAAAAAGTAAATCTGCTTATGGCTCGAGCGTCGAGTAAGGCTTCTTTAATTTAATTACGCATAATGGTATCAACAAACGGCCGAACTATCTGTGACAAACTTCTTCAGTATTGTTCCGAACCTTCATTGGAAACGTTACTTCTTAAAGTAATGACTATCATCTTGCTCCGTTTATAGAAATGTGAGTTCGTTTTACTTAAACCCGAATTACAAGTTTCGTACATTTTTTTTCAATTCTGTTTCGTTCTTTGAAAATCGAGTTTATATTTTTTATCAAATTCTTACATTAATTTCCCTGTTTTTTTTTTCAATCTTCAGTTTCAGGGTTTTTTAAGTTATTTCCTAATTTCCGCTTAAAATCGGCGTGTTAAGTCTCGGAAGAGAATTAACTCGTTAAAAAATTCTACATGGAAGATTTAAGTGAGCAACAGGAAAGTAAAATGGAGACGGAGGGTGACGTTGCGGAAACGCAAGGCGAGAATACGGTATCTACGGATACAGCCGTGCATGATGTAGACTCTGTAGAACGCACTAATCAACGAGTAGAGGAACAGTGTCCAGACAAAAAGTTACCGTTGCAAGTTGCCACTGAAACGATCAGCCCGTCGAAAACAAACGAAACCGTGACGGGAACGAAGATGAAGCGTAAAGCGAGGTCGACTCGTAGAAAACTCAATGCCATGGTGAACAATGCCTCCTTACATTTCTCAGACACTGATTCCGAGGGAGAACTGACAACGATAGCGCCCCAAGCTCGAATATTAAGGCATACACCAGACTTTCAACAAGGGCCAATCATTTCCGTGACGTTGGACGAGGCGAATAGTGAAACTGGGCCGAACGAAAGTTTGCAGATTTTGTCGCCAGATGGCAAGGAAACGCTGCATTGTAACAGCTTCGCCGAACCGTTGACAGATGTTGACGAGATCTACGCGAGTGAAACCGAAAACGAGCAGAGAGATAGCCCCACTAGCCCCAGTAGTCTCAAAGTCGTAGAAAGTTGTTGTCAAGACGAAACGGAATTCGAGGACATCGATGACGATGAGGAAGTCGAAACGGCGATATATGTGAAGCCAAGGATCGATGTATTTTGCGAATATAGCGGGGAGACTATTACAACGAAAGAAGGCGATGGACCGTTCTCTGTTGAAGTCCGGAACAAAATGTATCTCGAGGAACGTTCGCAGAATAAGTTGCAGAGCAATACGCTGGATATTACGGTTCCGTCGAACACCGACGAAGAAGAGATGACTGTGTCTGACGAGGAAGACATGCAAGAAGCTTGTTTCAGCCAGAGAGAGGTACTCGACGATTTAGATGTTCTAGCAGCATCTCAGATCGTCATGAGAAATATTCATAAGACGGGCAAGTTGTTAACTGTAAAAGTCACCAGTGATGATGCGATTAGCGATTGTCATACTGATATTGAGGAAGTTGAACAGACTGAGTGAAATAATAGAAACTATACTGTGACGGTAAGAACATGGATTTATGAAGCATACTTGTACACTGAAAGGCTAAGTTGTTTCAATATTATCAGGATATTTAAGTTTTCTTCTGGAAGTTCAAGTACACACATAATATATATGACTCACGTTACGCTACATATCTTGTACCCTCGCAAGCAAACTCGACTACCACTAGAGGAAAAAGTGATGTAAGGGAAATACCTACCAGTTGGTCTCGGGAATTAGTGAAATTTATGCCAAATTAACATTCGATTTAACATTTATTTCAGTACTTGAAATCAATTTACTAAGTGCTAGGAGACTTTTTTTCTACGCCACTATTTCCCCCAGTGGAAGTTGAGTTTGCTCGTGAGGGTACACCAACGTGCAAACTCGACTTCCGCAAGGGGAAAAAGTGAGATAGGTGAAGGGCCTCCTACCATTTAGTTTTGGGAGTTACTGAAATTTATGCTAAATTAATATTCGCTTTAACATTTATTTCAGTACTTGAAATAAATTTAGTAAGTGGTAGGAGACTTATTTTCTACGCCATTTTTTTCCTCTAGTGGAAGCCGAGTTTGCTCGCGACGGTATCTTATAATACACTTGTAAAAATTCTGAATTTTAATATTATAAAATTATTATTATAATATTGTTGTGAAAAAACCTCTAAAGGATTTCAGTCGATGTGAGAATCATATTTGTTATATATTCTACATTCGTATAGAAAAGCGAGACAGCTACTTCCTTGGACCTGGTTTCTTTTCTACACGCGGGGAGGATTATTTGAACTGTTTGAGATAAAGATCAACTTTGTCTGTCTATTATAGTTGTTTGATGCGTATTTATCGAATTAATTGTACAAAATTAAAAGATATTAACAAATTGAATCGATTCAGTCACTCTGAATTTTTTCTTGAAAAACTTAAATGCATATCTCAAATTTTCGATTTGTATTTTTCTTGTCATTCAGTGTGCATAGCAAGTTGTTCCTTAATAGTTGGTAGTTTAAATTATTGTTACGGTACTAGATTATTTTTCTGGCACTTGTAGAAAATTTTACATTTTGAGACAATCACTAAGATATGACTTCCTAATAAAATAAACTTAATACACGTGTTTCGTAATTTTATTAAAATATTCCCAAATAGCACGAAAACGTCATATGTACGTGCAGAGAACGTATGTTCCGGACGTTCGGTACATTCGGAGGATGACCCGAAGAGGTTCATATGTCCCCCCTGCGTCCTCGTTAAGATCTTTAAATGTCCTAGGAAGAACTTATTTACAAAGTGGAACGTCCTGAAGACGTCCTGTGTCAACATTCTTAGAACGTTTTCCGAATGTGTAAAAGTAACATTCTCTGTACGTTTTGAACGTTTAAAGAGTTTTTAAAGACGTTATGGATGGTAATGTCTTAAAAGACGTATAAGAAACGTTTCCCAGATGTTTAAAATTACGGTTAGATTTCACAATCGAGTTGCCTAATAAAAATCAATTCTTTGTCTTTTGCGTATAAAAATAATCTTTAAACTAATAAGCTGGAATTTAATGAATTTCAGTGAATGTATGTAGTTGATTGGATGTTTTCGTTAAAAAAATTAATTTTTTCATAATTTTTTATGAGATTATTCAAAGACTATTCATTAATTTTATTTTTTTACTTATCATTGAATTTTTTTCATAATTAATTGCTGGTGCTATTTATTTAATTTTCACATTTCTGGTAAATTGTCAGTTTTTGTATATTAGTCTTTCTTTTGATATATATATAAATGTGACTCGAAAAAACGATAGAAATTTCCGGCAGACTTATTAGTATCAATAATACTTCTTCAAGTACATGTTAAGTTAATTTTGAAAAACACCCACGTTGCTTCAACTCTAGCTCTTTTAAAGACATTTCCTCAATTTCTGAATTATTGTGTTCAGAAATTCATACGTAACAAAAGAATATACTACAGTGGGTGATGAAGATATTAAAGCCACCTACATAAATTAACGATTTTACAATTTCGACTGTATGTTTTATAATTACATAAACTAAATTTAACTTTTTTAGTAAATTTTTAGTGGACAATATTTTGTTAAAAGAAAATTATCCAGTGTTAGACCTCGATAGAGTGAACTTTAACTATGCCATAGTCGGGGCTGTAGGGGAGTAAATTGGCAATGAGGTTAGAGCCCCCTCCATGCTAAGTTCTGTCGTTATAGCCTCGGCTTCTGCGTCTGCGCAACAGCTAGATCGTACTGATGCGCCGGCGTACGCAACGTGGTGGGAGAGCGAATTTTTGTGTTCGAAAATACATGTGAAGGGAAAGTACGTAGTGTGGCAATATGTTTAGTGACAATATAATTAGAGTCCACTGTATTCTGATTTTATTTTTACACAAACACAAAAGAACATACCTTTCGTAATGTGCCTCCAATAATTTGATCACCCATTGCAATGTACTACCTAAAAATGTTAGATATTCTGGTTTGCAAGTATTCAAATTCGAAGATCGTTAGAAATGGGTCGTATAAAAATCGATAACATTGACATATCTTGAACATTTATAAAAAATTGTTCTGTTGTCTCTATATAAAAAAATACTCACCGGCGTGTACAATATGTATAAGCTTATTGATTGCAGCAAGAATAGTGCACTAAAATAAAGTGAATATTTCGTTTAGTAAAATTTCAGGAAATAAAACTAAAGAATACTAAACACTTAAGAACTAACACTTTAGAAAACTAAAACGTACATGCTTCTTACGTACAATTGATTTCTATTTTATTGTGTACATCAAGACCGTCTGAAGTATATGTTTACTTTCTTTTTGCACCGTGCTTTGAATAAAATGTTACTTCCGTATGCCAGAAGTATAGCCAAAAATGAAAAACGCAGATACGCAAATAAAGCTGTCATTGTTCGGCCATACACCGTAATAAAATGTAAATATACTATAAATGTGATTATAATGAATTCGAGAAATCACGGGTAAGGAAGTAACCCCGAGAGGTCAAAGTATATTTTTATAAGATAAGAATACAAAGAATGCTGATATGCATTCAGCACTTGTTGATGAACAAATATACTTTTTGATGTTGACATATGATATTAACACAATTTTCTGTAATTATACTTGCAGACAAAACTGCTGTCCTGAACATAATCATAGACAACCGTATGGGATATTAATATTAAATCTCGTTGGGTACTAATATCTGAGGATAATAATAAAAACAAAAGAACAATCTTCATAAATTCTGCAAGAATTCAGAATTATATTTATGCATACAAATATATAAATACACATATATATTTTTTCGCTTACAGTTTCCGCGTGCATGTTACACGTTAAAAGATATTTTAAAACGATACGCCTCCTATGAACAAATTGTTATCTGCACAGCAATACAGTTTATCTTAAATGTTATATATATATTCAATTCTAACGAACATTTGTTGACAAAAGTAAAACTGTGTGTTACACACGTATACTTACTCGTTATAAAAAGTTCAATCGCATAATTCTATTAAAGTATACGCAATATTGTAAATATGCCATGTACTTTATGCGTTACATGTATTTCTTTAATAAAAAGTAATGTGAACATAATTCTTGGTTGTTCTAGATGCTGTTACTATTCATGATACCCTTGCGCAAAAAGCGGCTTGTCCCCTAGAATCTGTAGATGCTAGTTATCCCAGTAAAGTAGTCGGACAAGAGCAGGATCCGTTATCGCCCACCGTCGAGAGGCAGACGTATTCCGAGAAGAGGAAGTTCTGGGAGGATATATCGAAGAAACGCGAAAGCTACCAGCGTTCCGAGTCAGACGTGTCGAGAACGTCAGAATTGACGGCGAACGAGAGTGACAGTCAATATGTCCAGAATGTTGCCACTGAGGATACGGCGGATGTTCTTTCGCAGATCGACAAATCCGAAACGATGGAGGACCTGAATGTACCTGACATTTCCGAGTGTTCAGTGGCGGAGAAAGCTCACTATTTCGAGGAGCAAATACAAAAAGAAATGACAAAGGTCCCGTCCAGGCTGCATCAGCAAGCATCTTTGAAGTCTGAGAAAGATAAATCACCGAGGACGAAAATCACCGAGAGGGAACAAGAAGAAAGGTATATAACTGAATTAAAGGACGCGGTGGAAGACGTGGAAAGGAAAGGAGTGAAAACGTTAATTACTGAAAGTGAAAAGGAAAACTGTGAGATTAAGGGCGATGATGATATGAACGTGCGAGATATAAATATGATTGAAAGGAAAGAAGGGGACTACGCGACAGAAAAAACGGACAAACCTGAGAAGTTAGAGATGGATGCTGAAAAGGTGGATTCTTTGGTACAGGATGCAGAAGAGTGCATAAAGCAGGCAGTGGAGCATAAAGACAAATTGGAGATTAAAGGCATTAAAGAACAAGAAATAATCTTAGATAACCTTGAAGACCAACGCAAAGTAATTGTGCACGCGAATAGTGACATATATATGAAAGACAGTGAAGAAGTTCAATGGCATGAAAGAAAGGACATGCAGAAAGAAGTGGAAATCTCTACAAGCGTGAGAGTACAAGAAAGTGTGCAGCAGAAAAGGCAAGAAGAAACAAGCGAATTTGTTACACAAGAGAGCATGGGAATAAAAATGACAAGGGATGCTGAGGATAAAGAAGAAAGAGTAAAACAATCTGTTACCGTAACAATTTTAGAAAAAGAGAAATTAAAGAGTACAGAGGAACGAAAAGAAGGTACAAAAGAATTGGTGACGGAAGTCACAGAAGAAACCATGATAGAGGATACAAAACAGGAAGGAAGTTCGAAAGATTCTGTTGCAGAAGTAAGTCCAGAAAAAGAGATAATACAGGATATAGACGAAAGAGAAGAAGATTCGAAGGAGTCAGAAAAGGAAGTGACAGAGTCTGTTACAGATACGAAATTGGAGCAAACGGCGGAAATTGCAGAAAAAGTGAAACAAAAAGTTATCGAAGAAATTGTTAGAGAAGTCTCTGTGACGGATGTACAGAAAGAGCAGAAAGAATCGAAAGATAGCGTTAAGGAAATCCACATAGAACACGAAATGGTAAAGTGTATGGAAACAGCAGAAAAAAATATGCAAGAACTTCCTACGGATGTAAGTGTAAAGCAAGAAATTCTAGAGGATGTAAAAGAGCAACGAGAAGACACGCAACAATATTCTACGGATTTAGATGTAAAACCAGAAAGTGTAAAAAATGTAGAGGCAACAGAGGATCTAGAAGGACCTATTGCAGAAGCAAGGGTTGGGCAACATACGGAGAAGGATGTAAAGGAAACGAAAGGGAAAGGTCAAGAAGTAATTGAAGACATAGGCGTGCAACAGGAATGGAGTATCAAAGATACGAAGGAAGTGGATGCAAAACATACAACTGACGAAGATAAAGACACGAAAGAGTCTATCTCAGGCGTGATGTTACAAAAAGAGAAAGTTGCGGACCTAGAAATTAAAAAAGAAAACATTGTTACGGAAAAATCGAAAGGAAAGCGGATCATAACAGAGGAAACTACAATAATTTATAAAGTACAGAAAGATGGAACATTGGTCGAGGAACAAGTATTAAAGTCTGTACAAATAGGCGACGGAAGTGGCATTATGAAAACATACACTGACTTTATTGACAGTAGTGCAATACAATCGCGTGACGACATTGAGCCCAAAATACAAGGGATTCTGGAAGAGAAACGAATAATTAATGCCAAAGTTAAGGGAGAGATAGCTCCTCCGATCATGCAGGAAGAAGAACTAAAATTATCGGAGACATCTACCGACCAAGAAGCGGGTATTCGCGGAGAAACGGATGCTAAAAATGACGAAGAGCCTGTAGCGGTTGAAGAGGAAGCAGTAGCAGAGGCAGAAACGAAACAGATTAAGAAGGAGTCTCGTATACCGATTTCAATGTCGAAAATGGACAAAGATAAAGTTCAGAAAGAAGTGAAGATTAAAGTGTTCCCAGAGTCGAAGCAATTCGCAAAATCTGACGGCGTTAAAGACTCGTCCGTCGAAGTGCCGGACACAGTTTCAGTGACGATTAAGAAGCGGGAGTTTGAGTCGAAAATTCCAAAGCGCGTGATGGATGCCAAGTCAACGGCAGAGAAATCTGGGCAGAAAGATACACACGTTCGAAAAGAAAGCGAACCGTATACGATAACGGAGAAAAAGTCGAGCGAAGAAGTAACATCGAAGTTGGAGGAGCATTCGACTACTAAGAGCGAGACGCAAACATTCTCGAAGATTTTCACCGATCCTCAAGACGCGTTCAAAATGTTCGAGAATATGGATAACATGAAGAATGATTTTGCGACGGTTACTTCGAAGGTCGATCAGAAAACGTCCAGTATGTTGGCGAAGAAGGAAATAATTTCGTCGGAAATCCATAGCGGTCCAGACAAAATAATTACTCTCGAAGAGAAGGAACGCGTGGAGAAGAAGAAGTCTTCGGAGTCGCAACTGAAAAAAGAATCACCCACTGAAACATTGGAAGAGAAGAAAAGTAAACACGAGGAGTTAGATAAGACGGCGGTTCAAAAGATGTCAATGAACGTGACAGAGAAGGAAGAAATAATAGACGCGACGGCATCCGAATCAATGGCTAAAACGAAAGAAGAGAAAACGTTTAAGAAATTGTCTGACAAAACGGGTGTTACGACTCACGAGGCGGGCAGCATCACAGTACAAGAGAGCGACGCGGATGTTGCAATGAGAATCAAGAAAGATATTTCTGAAGGAGTGGGCGATAAGGATGGTATAAAAGTTACGGTGGAAGAGATTGCGACGGAAAGAATATCTGAAGCTGTTGCGGATTCGGGTCAGGTGGAGACGATTGCTCATGCAGAATCACATACGGAGACTAAGGAGAGTTTCGAAGTTACCCAATTTCAGCCAAGCGACACAACTGCACAAGAAAAAGAGCTACTGAAAGAAGACAGGATAATTACGAACGTTGAAGAGCATGTTCCAGGAATCGAAAGCTTGGAGGAGAGACAACGGCAAAAGTTTAACGAAATCGAGGCACGCACGATAGCAGAAACACTGATACAATCAATCGAAAGTGAACTTGAGGCAAAGTCTGCTGAAAGTTTAAAAACAGAATTACTTAGTAAAGGCTACTTGGAACAAATCATAAAAGAAGGTACCGAAACGGATCACGAGAAACTGGCTGACGAACTGACCCGTAAATTCGAGAATATAATGAAGAACTTAGCAGACAAAGAGACGGATCAGTGTACAATTGATGGAAATTTGATTCAACAGTCGAAACTAGGAGCATCGATGCAAGAGGAGTTATACGAAAAGGGGTCCACCAGAGATAGCATAAGCGTCAGCGAAGATATAACTAAAGACGAAGAGTCATCGCCTCAAGAAAAAGAAGAAAGTTTCGCTTTGTCCTCTTTGCAAGCTAGATTGCACGACAGAGATATCACCATGAGTCCTAGTAGCATGTCCGAACAAATAGATTTCGAGGAAACAATCGATGTCGATACAAACGAGCTAGAGGATATATCAAAATCTACTTTAAGCCCGCATTCGGAGAAACACCGGTCGGACAGGTCCGGCAAAGGAGCAGAATTGCAACGTGACCCGCAAAGCGAAACTAGTTCCCCTCAGGATAAGATTGTATCTGAACTTTCGGGCGCCAGAGTTCTGGAAATCCTTGAACCTGGCGTAGAGAGTCAATCCAGACAAGATTCTGTAGACGTGCCTTCGTTGGAAACGGACGAACAAAAAATATCCGAGCAAACTAGCAGAGGAATTCCGTCTTTGCGCGAGAGCGCGGACACGGATTCGTTTGAAAGAATGGTTCCAGAACGAGGCATAACTGTCAGTCCTAGTACCGTGTCGGAAATTACCAATGTAGACTCTTCTTCGGTGCAAGAACCACCTGTCCCAGTTACAGCGCAACAGGAGCACGAGGTTGCAAGTACAAAAAGAACGGACAGCTTTGAAATCGAAAGTCCCCCGATGATGTCTCCGAAATTGAAGGTGCACGACCTCGAAATTCAGCCTGTTAGTTGGATGATCGGGGAGAAGAAGATCGAGATATCCGAAACACTGGAGCCATCTCAAATTTTTAATCAAGAATTGGAAGCGTATGAGTCGTCGCGACAAAGGGAACGGCTATCGTCGCAGGATGAATCTGTGGATTACGAGCAGGAGTCGGGTACAAAATCGTCGGAGGAAATCAGTGTGATAGAATCGATGAAGGGTACTTGTGTCGGCGATAAACACGTCGCGACGTCAGTCAGTAGAGATGCCAAGATTACGGAACAGCCAATCAGCGAGCAGGATTTCGAGAATGAATTAGTGGAAAATAAGTTAGACGTTAGTTGCCAAGAACTAGTTGATACCTTGCAACGCGAGCACGATGCGAATATACTCAATAAAGAATACGTAGAAAGTAGCCAACCACAAGGACGACCTAGCGAACAACAAGAGGAAATGGAGAAGCGGCAAGAGACTGGCTTGGAAGATGTGAAAAAAGAAGAAACGAAAGAAGAACATATTATCGATAAGCATACAGGTGCAGTCGTAGATACAGAACATCATGAGGCGAAATCCTCAGAACAAATGAGCGGAGAAGCGATTGAAGCTGATGTGTCTTTATACGATCAATGTTCGAAAAAAGAAGAAGCTGGACCAAAAGTAGATGACGTGGTTTCGAGGCCGGAAATTGAGCTCAAGTTAGAAAGAACAATGCTATCGAAAGATAGTGAAAAACTTCGAGAAGAAGTTGCGCAAGCACTTGCTAATGCTGATAAAACGGCACGCGTGGATGACGTATTAAAAGAATGGACGGAAACTTATTTATCGAAGATGAAACCATTGGGCGACGATTACAAAAGGCATATAGAAAAAACTACCGAAAAACACGATAAGTCTGGAAGATCAACGACAGTTCCTTCCGATACATGTGCCTTTAAAATAAAAAAAGATGATTTCTCTAGTGTCGATTTAAGCGCACGGTACGCTATAACTGTTTTAGATCAGGTAGTGAAAAAGGAGATCGCCGAGGTGAAAGAATCTCTGGAAGCAGCAAAACAGGATCTAATAGAAGAGTTAAACGAGAATAGCGAAACTGTGATTCAAATTAAAGATTCTCCTTCCGAGTTCCAGTTTAAATTACAACCAGAATCCATTCCGAACGATTTACCATTTTTATACAAATCACCGTCTCCTGAACGCGATACCGAAACAAAGAGCGATTCTCCCGTCCCTGCGTCGCAACCGCACGAATCACCGAAATGGGAGTCGCGAGACACAACTGAAAGTAAAATGGACTACGAGGAATCCCCTTTTAGCAGTTTCGACGAACCGATTAATATACCGAAATGTAAGATGCCTGTGATCAAAACCGAAAAGTCTGACTCAGAGACTGCAATAACCGTCCACGACGATTCAAGGGACGAGGACGAAGAACGTCCTAGTCCTGTGTTCGCCAGTAGATCTGGATCCGATATAGACAATAAAGACGAGAGTTCTTCTTTGGCTTTACCGCGAACAGTGCTCAGAAGACGACACAAGCCGAGCAGAAGTTCCAAGAGGGTTACATCCGACAGCGACGCGGATATTGGCTCCAGCTCCGGTGACAGTAGCAATTATCAGTCTTGCGAATACGAAAGTGGTAGTAGGCCTAGTTCTTCCGATATAGAGGCTATGCAATCGTGCGGTGTAGCCTCGGCAACCGTCTCGGAATACGAGACAGCGGTGATGTCGATGGACACTTCCTCTTCGAAACCGACATCCCACGAGTACCATACGGCCGCGACCTCGATGAGCTCCCGTGAATCGATGAAATCTTTAGCTTCTTTGAGTTCGGGCCATCTCGGGAGCATCGACAGTACCAGCGAACTATCAGAAACACTGGTGGCTTCTGAAGCGGATGCGGACAAAGAAGAAATAGAAGAGAACCTCAAGTGCGCTCTCGAAGACGAGCGTACGGAACACTCGGATTCCTCGGGTAGTGATATACCAGTTGACGACGCGATTGATAAGATCGATGGTCACATATCTTATCGTATGAAGCGGTCGTCCGAAATGATCTTTCCGCAGCTTCTCGAAAGCGACGCCACGATCGATGACGAACGGAAAGAGGAATCAATGCCAAAGGACGCGAAGGGAGTGGATTTCGCGAGCTCTACCGCTACGCCGATGTTGGGAGCTCTTCAATCTGTAGATATAATGACGTCCCGAGTATCCGAGGATGGTGTACAAAGTGTGTGTACCCAAGTGATTTCGGTTCAAGCCACGAAAGACGTTCCAGCAGATGTTGGCACATTTGTCGCGGAAATCGAGAGCAAAGTCTCGGATCTGAAAGCCCCCGAGAAGGACACGGAGATCGTGTCGGACACGCAAATTACAGAATCCGATATACTAGAGCAGAAGCACAGCGCCGATGGACTATCGAGCGAAAGCCTCGAGATATCTATGCAGACGTCGACGCCGTCGATGATACAACAGGCAAGTATGTCCACGTCGTCAGCGTCTGGTGTGTCCGTCAGCACCGTGGTTGGAAAAGAGAAATCGGACCGACATTCGCCGGACAGCGATTCGTTCGAGATGGTAGACAAGCCTGATATCATCGATGATTTCGTGGTTATAGAGGAAGTAGGTCGGGAAGCCGAGGAATACGATTCGGAAGGTAAAAGTATTCGTATCAGTGCCATGCCACAAATAAGCAATAAGAATTACGATCGGGATCTAGAAAACCTTATAGCCGAAAAGAAAGAAGATTCCCAAGCGAGTCAGCCAACGAAAAACACCGATGTGTTCGATTTCGAGTCCGAGGAGAGTCCGCCCCAAGCGTCGAACGAGGATCAGTATTCGCAGTCCTGTTCAGACGAGGAGCAATACGACGCCAATCAGAAATGGGTGAAAACGCAATTTTATTCCGACCCCCGGGGCTACGACATCGAATACGATCCGTACCTGCAACGTCTGGAGGACATAAAGGAAGAGGAGATCACCGACTTTGAAGCTGGTAGCAGTAGATTCGGCAGTTTAGGTAGTCACAAAGAATCGATAGGCAGCGTGGGTAGTATGCGAGGTAGTCTCGGAAGTACTCCAGAGTATGATATATTAGCGGGTAAAAAGTGTTTCGTAAGGCCGTCTGACCACGATAACGTGTCCCTGAGCTCGTTGCAGGAATTCGAGCATCTGGAGAGCGCGGTGGCTGCGGAGAACTCGAAAAAATTGCAATGCGGCTCCCACGATTCTGTGAATAATGGCAGTCTTCCAAGAAGATACATGGCCAGCCGATCTGGCCATGGCGACGACGTTTCGTTGTCCTCGTTAAAAGACTTCGAGGGGTTGGAGAAGGCGTGCCGAGAGGCGCATTTAATTGAATTGCGCGCCAGAGAGGAAGAAGACTTGTTGGAACACGAGAGTCCTGAGAATAAGTACAAATTGGAGAGTTTAGCGCGTACGAGGGTCGACACGAGCACGGCCGGCTCGTTCAATCCGAGCACGGCTGGCTCGTTCAATCCGAGCACGTCGGGCTCGGACGATTATGAGAAAAGGATCAAAGAAATCGACGAAATTATCCGAATAGCGCAAACGAACGTGGAGAAATTCGATCGGCAAGACGACACGACGGAAGATATCTCGCAGATCGAAATTATGGATATTGAAAAAACGGAACCACCTCCACAGGTACTGGCGCAATCGGTTTCGAAGCAAGAGGAACCAAAGGACACGAATCTTCACAAAGAGAGCAATGTCATGGAGACGAGTACGGACTCTCTCGAGCTAGACGATAACATGGACAAAAAACATCATCCATTGTGTCGAAGTTCGGATTCGTTAGAAATGAAGACTACCCTGGATTTCCCTTCGTTAAGTTCCGATTCGTTGAATAATGTGCGAGATGGGAAGGAGGCGCAGTCGGATGTTGTTGGATACGCGAGCAATCTTAGGCGTATCTCGTCGGATTCCCTCGATATGCCTTTACTCGACCAGCAGACTGTCGAGAGCCAAGGGAGAACCAGCGAACACGATCATTCCGATGGGGCACCGTCCGACAATTCTTTAGATCAAGGACCAGAAACGACGGAAAACAATCTCAGAACTGACAAAACGAGAACAACGCCAAGTACTGGCACATAGGAATATTTTCGTAGGTACGTATTTTATCATATACATACAGCCTTGGCCAGGGCCGTTCCTGGCGGGAGTGCAAAAAGTGCCCCCAGGGACGGCCGCAGACCATTTATCATATGTAAAATTTTAAACAAACAGAATTCAATCAGATTAATTTTATATGTATATCTTTGGAACACTACTCGTATACAAGAATGAGCTCTCCTTATATACAGCCCAAAAAAGCATATGATATTTAGCCATACTTATTGGATTAAATTCGTGTAGGTAAAATAGATAAATAGTTCTGTAGTTATACATATATAGAATAAAATATTCATCTTAAATAACACCATTTCTTTTTTAAGGGTCTTTGTTTCATTTTATGAACATATGAATTTAGAAAATATTCCTTTTCTATGATAACTGTTGAAAAACTGTATGTATACAGGGTGTAACAAAAATGTTGGAGGACCCGGAAATGGGAGACTCGTGAGGTGATTTGAAACTAGTTTTTCCATAGCAAAAATGTTATCCGAGGCTTTGTTAATGAGATATTAACGAAAAACACCGAACAATCAGAACGCGAGTCTGCCAGCCGAGTTCCCGCAGTAACATTGACTACCAATCGCAGCTGGTAAAAAACCATAGCAATGTGGCAGCAAGTCTTGCAACATAACCTGTGTCATATTGCTGGCAAAAACGGAACAGAGTCTGCGCGAGCCCATTTGCTGCCTATTTACTGCCAATGTGCTTGCAAGTTGTTTATAAACAAATCTTGCATCAAACTTGTAGTCATTAGACAAAATTTGGCTTTGCAGCAGGTTTTGCTGACTGGGGAATTCCCTTAGTAGATCTATACACTCGCGAGCAAACTCGGCTTCTGCTAGGGGAAAAAGTGGGATAGAAGGAAAGTATACTCCTACCACTTGATAAATTTATTTCAAGTACCGAAATAAATGTTCAATCGAATGTTAATTTAACATAAATATCAGTAATTCCAAGTACCAACAGGTAGGAGCATGGTAGGAGGCCCTTCTCCTATGTCACTTTTTCCCTTAGCGGAAGCAGAGTTTGCTCGACGGTGTACCATTCTAGAAGTATGAATACAAAATTGCGGATGTTCATTCATAGTTTTTATATTTCTTTGTTAATACATAAATATCCACAGTTTATTAATAATGACTTGACATTACACTGATGTGGTTACATAAATATTAAAGCACTGCTGTTTAAAATGAAACTTATAAATTAGTTACTTATTAAGTGTTAACATTTACTGTTTCGTTGCAGATAGCGGACCATCACGATTAATTTGTCACAAGATTGGCTACACGGCCACAACGATGTATTATCAAAACACTTTAAAATGCTTTATGTGTACGACATACATACGAAATTTCTACAAGATATTAATGCATTTGTCTTCGTTTTGTGCAATATCTTCTAAAAAAACGTTTACCTTATTATGCTTAAGTAAGATATTTATAGTACTTAAAGTGTAAGGTTGTTATTGAAATGAGATAGAAATATGAACGGCGCTTAAGTGTTTCATATTACATCTAAATCAATATATTTGACCTTAATCTTACGTTACTTATATTTAGGTGATTGCAGGGGTCTTGCTTAATTGTTTTTCGATTGTTCTCGTAATATTTAAGTTATATTTATGAAATTGTATTTTTAATGTTATTTACGTATTCTATTTGTATAATAATAGTGTTATATAAAAGTGATATGTGTTGTACATTTTTTTTTGTTAATTTTTTATTACTACGTATCTTTCGTCGGTACGCTTTCGTAAGATGTTGATGTTTATGAATTTCAGTGCCCGTTAATATTAATTACAAGTGTTCACGAACAGACAAATTTATATTAGTTGAATAGAAAATTTTATACGCGAATTGTAATGTTTAAGATATTAAGAGAAAACTAATAGGAATACATTCTGTACTTAATGTAAGATGCGTATAAACATATTTAACATGTTTTATATGCGACAACTTGAATCGACAAGGAATGTTACTTTGGTTTTCTTGCTAACGATAAATCGAATAAATATTATCAGTAATGCGTGCCCTTCGATATTTCAAAATGTTAGTAATTTTTTTTAATCGTTCTGAAAAATCTTTCGTTCGATTGACCAGAATATAAATCTATACAAAAAACCATTTGAACGTTATTCGAACCCCCAAATACACACTACCCTGTGGCTAATATTATCGAAAATTTAGTTGTAATAAAAATTCGTACTTATATGTCCTGCACGTACATTTTCGTCGATTTGAAAACTGTTAATTACTGCTTTCCAGCAAAATGATTTAACACCAACGAAATAATACCAGATTCGTAATAATTTGTTAAGGGGTTAGCCCACCCTGACCGTTTAAAAATCGTAGTTGCCTTTGTGAAATTTTTCTGGGAATACACGAAGGTACCTATGATTTTCAAGCGGTCAGGGTGAGCTAACCACTGAAAACGATCTCAACAAATTAAAATGTTAAGTTCTATAATTTCATGCATTGGAAAATCTTTAGTACCACTACATATTTACAGAAAAAATATCTTCATACATTTCTAAATAACTATCATACTCATCTTATCGTTAATATAACAATAAAAATCAATATAAGAATTTAACCGTGTTGTAATTTACTAGAAAAACCTTTTTTTTATACCGATCGCAATATCATGTAAAATTACTTTCAGTGAACATTTTGATAAACTAATTATGTGAAGTACCTACGTACTTTACATATGATGAATATCAACGCTATTTCTTTCAGGTAATTTCAATACGCTTTCTTACGCCATATATATTATTTTATAATTACATTCTTTTTAAGATTCAAAAGATTAATTATATTTTTAATTATAAAGCGTCATTTTTACATTTTTCATCATACATATTTCGTTTATAATCCTGATGAAATGATAGATCCGTGGTGAGACTCGAGCCCGCAATAAAAAAAATTGTTACCTGATCAGAAAAAGTTTCCTGACCACGAACATCTCATGCGACCAGTCTCGAGTTCTTCATTTAATCTTTCTTCGTTGGGAAAATCTTGTTTGGTCTATGCATATGAAATGTCGGTGTTTTTAACAGCACTGAATGGTTTATTGAATTTTAAACAAATTGTATAGATTATTATTTAAATATTTTACTAATATTTCAAAATTATATAAAATTTTATGAATTAAATTTAAATGGTACAAAATTTTAAATTATATTTCAAAAATTTATTTAATTTAAAACTAGTACTTAGAACAGTATATTAATTGTAGTCTTATTGCTGACCTAACGTATTTAACTTAATTTTCTTAAGTATACGTGCATATAAAGATTTCAGCCAAATTTCAACTGAATCTATCGATTGTTTTCATTTTTCTAAATAATCTTTAACACTAGAATTACCGACAATGAACGTGTTAGATCGATGAAAATGGCAGTAATTCAAAAATAATAAATCCGTAAATTTGTTAAAGTATCTCAAAAAATCCACTACTAGAACCTTTTACTAATCTTTTAGAATCTTTAGTTTACGAATCACCCTGATAACCAGTTGTGTCCAAGTTTCGAGGAAATTGTCAGCAAATAATGACAAAATTTGTCTAAAAAACCATATCCATCTATTTTCGCATTTGACTTAAGTTTTGCAGACAAGCCTGCTGGCAAAATGGTAAAGCAAATTGGCAGCAAATTAGCAGCAAGTCTTGCAACACAACCCAGGCTATATTGCAAGACTTGCTGCTAATCTGCTGCCAATCTCCGTGCGAATTGTTGATAGCAGATCTTGCATCAAACTTGCAACCATGTTGAGTACGTAACATTATAACACGCATTGGACAAAATTCGGCTTTGCAGGTTTTGCTGACTGGGAACCTAATAGCATGCTTTGGTAATAAAATCATGGTAAAATAATATAAAACAGTAGTTTAACAATAATAAATACTTGCGTGACGTTTATAGGCAAATATAAACTCCGTTACTGTCCTTTTGTTTATTACAAGTGTTTTTTTATAATACGAAACGTACATCGATAAAATAGACTCGTATTTTTGAGAAATACTTATTAGATAGAATGAATGTATAGTAGTATTAAATTATGTATCATTTATTATGCAATAGAATCTTAATAACATATAAATTATAGAATTATTCTTATCAGTATTAAAGAATTATATAAATATTCTATCTCGTTCTTACGGTGGTCATCTTTGATTTCATTTCACAAAGAAAATATGCTATCCAAATGCAACAAGATACAACGTATACATAATATATGCATACATTTATTGACTTATACACCGTTGAGAAATATAAATAAGTAAGGCATCGGATAAGTTCTATGGTCCCAGCATACTTTGATTTATCAAATAGTAATCCGATCGTAGTAAGAGCAAACAAATCGTTAATAATCGTAAATCCAGTAGATACGGTTTTTAGATTCTGTAAAAGACATGTTTTCAATGTTTTATTCATTATTTAAAAAAAAGAGAACATTTTTACATTTTAGGAATATTAGATTGTTGCGCATGAATTGAACATGTGTTAGCTTACAAATACTGCGAATCTCCTACGAAGACGTGGTTTAAATTAAATGACTAGTATACAATTAAAATAATTAGTATGCAACAATGAAAATTTTAAATTGAACTCGAAAGTAATCTTTGTGAAACTTCATTTACTTTACTGGTAAAAACTACTCTAATAATAACATCACCCAACAAGCAAATAACAGCTATATCTTCGAAATATTGCTTTTACATCGAAAAACGTTTGAATTTTAAAATTACGTACTGCGTTCAAGCTCAAATTAACTTAATAATTCGTTGAAATAGTAATAATTTCGTACACAACAATTTAATATTTTTCGAAAAATTAAAAATGTTACGTTATTGGAATTCTTACCTCCGTTTCGTGTATGTGAAGATGATTGTAAAAAACTAAGCAAAAATGTACAATTATGTAAAGATTTTGCCACGTGGGTACGACGGGGTCATATTTAATCCTAGATGTTACCTAAAGAATATGGAAATGAAATTATAATTAAAAAGAAGATAGATGAAAGTGAACATAAAACATGTAGCTACTAATCAATACCAATAAGAGTACTACATTTATTCAAAATAAGATAATATAATTATTAGTGAATCATAATAGGAGTAAAATTATTATTATGAGGAAGATAAATCAATGTAGACATAGAGAATCTACAGTTACAAGTGTCACTGTGCTCCTGGTAGAGATGTTTCTTTATAAAATCAAAACCGGTTTACTCGATGTTACTGTAATGCATAACTGGTACTCATATTTGTATGAACTCTTAGGAAGCAATTATATAAGTTCATTAGTAGTTTTAACCTATTATCCAATGGTATATTATAATTGTGTGAGTGATAAATTTTGATTGGACAACAATGCCAGCTCATTTAATCTTAGAGAAGTTTATTATTTACAAAGCGTGGTGTAAAATATATTGAAAATGAGGGACACGATAGAACATAAAGTCTCAGATAGATGCCTTGAAGACGCCCATTTTACGGCTATTTTTTAGGTCTAAGGCGCCTTTAAGCCGTCTTCAAGGCATCATTAGGCGTCCTGTGCTATGTGGGGTGTTTCTGAATGTTACTCAATGTTCCCTTCGCGATAATAAAACTTGAATAAGTGTGTTACAAACACAAAAGAACAATTATATAAAATTCAGAACTTACATTTATTTTATATTCGTCAAGACCTAAACGAGGACTGCCTGGAAACCAACTGGGCCCTTTCCAAACGACAGCCAATTTATTTCCTAAGGACGGTATGCGTACACTTTTCGTTATCAATTGTATCGTATAAAATACCTATAACCGTTAAAAATTTCACAGTTAACGAGAAATAAGTTTGGTTAAAATAATTGAAATTGTTACACGACACAAACATCTTTATAGAGCCATTCAGATGTACATAAATGTGGAAAAAGAGAAATTATAGAATCGTTGCATGTTATTCCGAATCATTTCGAAATGTGGCGGCGGTGTTTGATCTATGAACCAATTATTGAAATTCGGAATAAATCACCATTACAAGATAAATCGCATTGGTTTTTATGTCAATTGAGTTTGCATTTGCATAACTGATTCACACTTTATGTAACAGGATGATTACGCATTTCATCAGTTGTTAGATGGAAACCATACAGGACTTATGTACAATTAGCGAGAAAGAACAGTTACATGCACACTCACACGAACAACAGTTGCTTACCTGTAAATACAGGGGATTAAACGATCGAGGACTGACAACCAAGCCATAAATTATTTCGTCTTTTTTCTTTTCCTTCATGAACGTACCAAACAACTTATCCCATATAATGAGAACGCCGCCGTAATTTTTGTCCAAGCAATACAAATTACAGCCTGCAAGAAATTCAGAATATAATTATTAATTTGTAGGACACGAGCAAACAATTTTCTATGTTTACGTTCTTTGAATACGCGACGCCTTGTTAGATAAAACGAATTTGAATCACTTACCATGATGCACACGATGATGTTTCGGCGTATTAAATATTAATTCTAGCGGGCCGAGGTCGTCGATGACGGTTGTATGGATCCACAGTTGGTAGATTAAATTAAATTGGTTGTGAACGATGAAATGCGACGGTGGTAGAATTAACGCAAGGGGCAAATAAAACATCTGTAAATAGATTTTGCGTCTGTTCATGGCACTCCCTTAGTAGCAATTACTCTTGGCATTTTGATGGGCCTTTGATGCACTATTGGTTGGCCAACAGTTAGGATTGTCACTTTTTTTTGCAACTGGGCCAACAATCTACCCAACGTAGGGCCCACGTCACTATACTACGAAGGGCCAACTGGTGGTTCCTTTCTGTAGGGCCAATTGTTTAGTATCTACAATAAACCAACAATAGGAAGACAGTTGGCTATACTACACTTCCATAAAATCCTTTACAAATAATTCACAGAGAATAACACTGGAAATAATATTTATAATAATTATGTACATGTATAAATTGTATATGTATATTAAACAGGTAAACAAGTGTTTTACCAGCAAATATACCTTTACAATTTATTATGTACAATTTATACATGTAGCTAATTATTACGAATAATTATTATAAGTTGTTTCCAATCTTCGTTCCCCTGACTCTACTTTCACAGAATGTCAAATGTCAAACGTGTTGCGCGACACTAACAAATTGTGAGTATATTCGTAAATAAGAAACCAAAAAAACCAATTTGAAATGTAACAACAAGTTTTTGGTTGTAGCAACGTTTCTGACGTCTTCTAGACGATATTTATAAATGTTGGCAAACTTTGGGTGGGCCAATGTTGTATTATCATTGTCAATTTCTTGTTAATTAATCAACAATAATAAGTGTAAGCCAAACATTGGATATTCGTTGGCAAATTGTCATAACTTTTTCGTCGTGGACCCTATTTTGGGAATTTGTAGGCAAAAACATTGACTACAATATACCAACTAACTCCCAACTGTTGGATACCGTTGGCCAACCATAAATGCTACTAGGGTCACTATACAGACGAATGTCACGAACCGTACCAAAGAAACGTTTTCGGACAAAACCCTTTGCTGTTATCATTCGAATTGGGGATATGAAAAACAATGTACACAATACAAGAATATTTATAGTTACACGATCAAAATTTACCAGTACGTTTTATGAGCAAGAAATAAGAAAAAATATTGTATAATCGTATGTTCGGTTTATTACTAAGGTATGACAAAAGTTTTATTATAATTAAGGTTATGGGTTTGTTGGGATATAACTGTGAAAAAGTTATTTGGCCATGTTTACCAAGTTCATTTATTTCAACTATATATTTATTACTTGAAAGAATTGGAGCTTGTAATTATTATATTACAAAATAATAGAATAGGGGCGATATCTGTTGTTTTTTTTTATTAACTATAGATTATTAACTGTCAATCAACGAAAAATTTAATGAATCAGTGTTGAAGTAGTTTCGTTTCGAAAAGTGAAAATTTAGTCCTTTTTTTGTTTTTCTGCTATAAGACTTCACCTGAGTAGGTAAGTCTTAAATGACTAATTTTTTATTTTGTAGAATTGTTTCAGCGTTTTTTTCATTCAACAACTTGATGGACAAAGGGGATTTTAATACATCCACTGATTCAAATCTTACCATCTTCAAAATTTCTGATTGTTTTTCCAAATATTTTGTCCCCGAGTGAAAGAATTTGTAAATATTCGTGTTTGAGAAACTTCATTATTCTAGAATTTAATCTGAAGAAATCTATTTTTATTCTAAAATTTGTAACATTTTTATCATTCAAGATAGACAGTTTCGTTTTAAATTAGGTAAAATTTTGTAGATCGGCATAATAAAACGATCCTTTTATGTGGAACAACCGAATGATTTATTATTCGAGAGAATGCCACTGCAAGTTCAGATAGCGTGGAGAGCATCAATTGCAACCGCGTCCAGTTGCGGTGTACCTTCGAGACCGCCCGCAGAATTCTGTGCACGTAATACGAGCGATACTCACGAAATTACACCAGTGTTGCAAAACGGACTGCCGAAGACCAACCGCGAGTGTGAACTCCTCGCTGCTGTGATGTACTTGATGGTGAGCCCATAAAAAGTGCACCTCTGCAAACGGGCGAGAAACACTATAAATTCGTCAACTAGAGGGGACGAAGTATGACACACATGGTTGGATTAGGAATTTAACCGTGGTTACTGCGGTGAACCCAATAGTAACAAAAATCCACTCCGACGGCGGTTAAACACCAGGTCCACACCGAGTTCCATGGCAAATTCCACCAGTGATATTTCTCGTGAATTACGATGTACAGATAATATTCAGCGCTGCGGAAGAAGACGCTGAAAAATTCATTAAAGATAAAAACAAAAAGAAATCGATATTAAATCATTCAAATTATTCCATTCGTTCGAGTTCATTGTACAGGATGGGCCCATGGGCGTAGCCAGAGGGGGCGTTTTTACCCCACCCTACAAGAAAAAAATTTTATTTCGCCCCCTCCCCCTTCTTTCCGAGAGTTACAAAATTTTTGCGTAATATTTAATATTGCAGTATAATTTGAAACACGACCAACAGCCTTTATTAACAAAACGCATATATTTGCAACGATTTATGACTTTAACACTAGAACTATCAAACAAGTCAAAATGACTTGTCAATACATTCTTATAACGATGATTAAAATGATATAGCAATACATTTTCTAAGATCTTTGGAATTTTTATTACGATTTGAAAGTGAAGAAATTAGTTAATTTATAAGGTTATCAATTTTCAACAGTTTGTCATATTTATCAATCGATCAAATTATACATATATGCGTTTATCATCGGCAGTTCTAGTGTCAAAAACAAAATAAAGCGTGTCTGGTTACGTACAGCCTTTTTCACTGTGGCAGTCGATGTGATAATATTTTTGCCCCCCCCCCCCCGACTGATAAGCTGGCTACGCCCATGGGTGGACCAGTGGTTTGTAAGCTTTCTCGAAGTCGCAGAACACTTCTGGTTACAAGACAAATTTGCGGAAAGCCAAAATCACTGAGGTCGTAAAACTAACAATAAAAGTATGCATGAACATGCCTTGATTAAAAAAATTTAATTATTCGTTAAGATTCAAGCGTAGTTTTCTAGCGCCAGTACACCGCTTTCATAATTTTACGGAGCAATTGTAACAAGATCGTGGAACACCGGTTAAGAACCACTGGGGTACACCGTAAAAAAAATGACCACCTTGAATATTTCTGAAACTGTGGGAACGAGAGAACATTTGTTCAGTCAATGTTATTTAGTGTAAATATAGCCATAGTGTGGCGTTGATAACACTGGTCAACATGAGTTTTATCCCAAAGAAAAATGTTTACTGATTTTTATATATTCTCTAGCCGAGCGGCAGCCGAGAGACAGTCGAGCGACAGTCGAGCTCTTGCGCTTGCCGCCTTTGAGTACCACTGCCAGCGTCGCAGATTTGACTAAACTATTTCGCTTCTGTATTGAACAGAAAACGTGTCATATCATTTCTGTTAATGCTTTTCGGAAGAAAAATGTTTACTATATCTGCTGACGCAGTCAGATTATGTCTTGCACCCTTACTTTTTAAAATAAATCAAAAAATACCTGTAAAAATTGGTGCATTTCGGGTGTCCTTTTCCCTTTGATCGTTCTTGAAACATGTTTAAATGTTGATAATGCGATAACAACGTATACCATTTTATTCGGGAGAGTTTAGAGAATAATTTGACGCAACAATCAACTGAATAACTATTAATGTTTGAACACAGGAAATGTTCAAAATTGAAAATTTGCATCTTTTTTTAAATGAAATTTCTCGGAGACTGAGGGTGATGGCAAAAAACTGTTTCCGGATTCGTACGCAGCATAGAAGAATCTATAAGAATCAGCAACGATTTCGAAGACAAACAAAAAGTTAAATTTTGTTGACCAGTGTAATTTTATTGTACAACAACTAACAGTTACCCAGATAGCACATGACGCCTTAAAGACGTCTATTTTACGGCTATTTTAGGTCTAAGGTGTCTTTAAGCCGTCTTCAAGGCGTCATGTGCTATCTAGGATATACTGTTTCAGAAATATTTTTCTGGTCCCTATCATAATGCTGGAAACCAGAGATGGGCAAATTCATTATTTAGATAAAGAGTTTCGAATAATCCGGGATAGCGCATGACGCCTTACAGACGCCCATTTTACGCCTATTTCAGGTCTAAGGCGCCTTCAAACCGTCTTCAAAGCGTCATTGAGCGTTATTTGGTATCTGGGATGAATAAAAGATGAAAAAGCACTTCGTCATTTTCAAATTCCAATTTTTATAACAAAATAATACTTCTTCTTGGATGAATCATCATTTGGCAAACAATTACTTAATCTCATTAACTGTTTAAAGCTCACAATGACGCCCTTAGATACCGTTGCTTTTCACTATGTATTATTCGAATAAAATTGTACCCAACTCTGCTGGAAACATTCAAGGTGGTAATTTCTATTGATCAACGAATTGCAACCCAGACAGCAGATGACGCCTTGAAGAAGTTCGTTTTACGGCTATTTTAGATCTGAGGCACCTTTAAGCCGCCATTAAGCCATCTTATTCCGCCTGTGTGCTGTCTGGGAATGTACATTCTATACATTACAGACAGATTAAGGAAATAGAATTGATAATTTGTTAATCGAATAAATACACTGCTCTAACCTATTGCACCCACCAGGCGAAGGAAACAAAACAAATGCCTTAAATTTTATAAATTACAATAGTACTAATAACGAGTTATGTTTCTGGATGAGAAACTTTTGGGAGATTTGTACGTCGTATTGACGAGCACAGCGACTGCAATTGCATGATCCTCCAATTGGTATGGGCTGTGTATAAAAGTCTGTAGATTCGTTTGTATTCTTGTATTTCTTTTTATCATTTAGGAATAAAAATACACGGGGGAACGCAGTAGCTAAAAATATGCGTTACAAACAACTGCACGAAAATAGATCGACTGTCCATCTACCTTATCCACACCGTCATGGATGCTGCCCGTATCTTAGGTAGATAGATTATTTGCGGTAAGATGCGCGCAATATTTGCCGCCTAGCAGAATAATTATATGTACTTTATAGTATATTCGTTAATACATTAATTTTTGTAACGAAATCACGTATAATGCTATCGAGAAAGTAGCCGAATGAATGTTAATTTTTTTTTACTATCAATATTATTTACTTATTTCATTAGTAGAAGTCGCATATATTGCATAATATTATCAATTAAGATGTAACCGTTATTTCATTTTCGTAAGAAACAATCACATATAACCACTAGCTTATTTTTATACAGAATAGATAAGAATACATACAAACAAAATGTACTTTGTATAACATTTGTATAATATTTGTTATGCAATATTAAATTAGATTTTATTTATAAAAATACTTTTCTGGACGATAACCATTAAAAAATTACGGACGTTTATTTAAACTGAAGATTGTATGACTAATTAAAAAAAAAAAAAATAGAAGTTACGAATATCATTAAGGTAAAACGAGAACGTTACTAAAGTTTCTGAATTTCTCTGCTTTTCCGCAATTTTTTCGTTCGAGTAAGTTATGAATACATCAAATCCACAGGCTAGGCATTAATATAATAGGCATCACTCTGGTGTAGTGTAGGCAGTAATAACACTTGAACAATAAAACTACGTTCACCGGTCATTTACCTATGCTTACCGGCCAGTCTCTTGAAACAACCAATGAGACAGCGACGTCATTTGATCGTTTAAACGAAATTTCTTTTTCTTCGAGGTCAATATAACTTGCTCCAGTATGATAAGAATGAAGAACGGGAACCATACCTGTGCAAATGTTTAAGTAATTTTAATGACGATGCTATCAAGCGTCTGTATTTAACCGCGATACTGATAAGGCTGCTCAATGCCAATACAATAAAACTTTTCAGGGAAATAAAGGCTTAAATGTTACATCCAACAGGTCGTTAAACTATCAAAAAATTATTATATATTGTGGTTGAACAAACCTCTTATTTATGGAAAGCATAAATTCGAATTATATAATTTTGTCAAAAGAAAACATTGCAATGTTTTGCGTTCCATTTGTTTATTATACGATCGAGTAACACGAAAATGGTAGTAAGTTTGTTGCATACATAATTATTAATACGTCACCACATACATTTACGTTATTCGAATAGGTACAAAATCTTTTGAAAACTTTGCTCACTAATTCGAATAAGTTCTACAATTCTCGATACCGAAACTATTGTTTCTCGTTATTATAAGTACATCGTATTGTAAGTCTTAATGCAAGTATAAAGTGCGAAATGTTTAATCATCTATCTATAATAATAAAAACATAAAAGGTACTCAATAATACGTTAAAAAGATAACATGATTGCCACGAATCGAATAATCAATAATAAATTCATCAGAGAGGAAACAAATAAGCGAATTGATTAATTTTATACGAAAATATTTCAGTAATTGGCAATTGGACATGAACACAATCTTCGGGTTACGACATATACAAAATATATGTATGTAATATGGAAACTAGTTACCTGCTGATGGTAATCCGGAACGTCATGCGTAAATTCGAAGATCGAGTTGTAAGGGTTAACGACATACCAAAGTTTTCCTGCGTTCTTCAAGTGTCCAACGAAATCGCCATGCGAAACGTTCATCTTGTGCACTCACCTATGTACGTTGTACCACTGATTTTGGGCACTATTACTCTTAAATCATGACCAAAGAAAAAAAAATGTAAACAGACTGAACTATGCCGACACCATTCGATGGATTCTGTTTTAATCATCGTCGTGCAGCATGCACGCATCGTTTATATATATAAGTTCGAGCTAACCGAGGACACGTGAGTATGCGCGCGCGATGTTTCTTTCACGGCCGTATGTGATAAAGGCGCGACAATGAAGACGTAACAATTATACTAGGACACAAACGATCGTAAATATTTGCGTGAGCGTGTCATCAGAATTAATTATTGAATGAACGTTGATTGCTTTATTATTTACATCGAATTATTTACAAGAAAGAAATTTTGTTTGAAATATCACTAACATTTGAAAATGAGGGTCGCTTACATCTACATTTGATAGATTGTTAATAGTACGATTATTAATTATATTCACCCCAATATATCAATGAAGACGTGTTATAACTCGAAAAAGAACTATAGAAACTAATCATACCACCAACATTGCAAATTTATTACAATTTGGAATAACTTATGAGTAGTGAATCGGTCGATAGTTGAACGATCTAATCATGTATCATATGAAAGTACCCTTTTTTTTTGCAAAATTCACTTTGTGTATAAATCTATGCACTTCTTCGTACTGTCGTTTACAGTAATGAAATTTTCTAAACATTCATTTTGTTCTAGCAAAACTATATCACATCGCTTCAACACCGCATTACAGAACAATTACAGATATCGTAATCGTTTGATTATTGCCCGTTACGTTTTCTAGGACATGTCGTAAACTACAAGAATTATTAATTGCATCTCGTTTGTACACTTTCATTAATCGTTAATCTTACCGTTTTCTTTAATACAGAACATTGCGAATGCGAATGATACGAAAGAAATGTTGCGTGAAACGTGAAACGATTCGATGAGGCAGTACAAAGAGTTCATGAGATTGAGAATCTGCGTGATACACCACTGTATGCAAACCTTCGGTATGTCAGACACTGCACTGACGGCAGACGGGGTGTTTCATAACGTGCATTAATTATTCGCGCAACGGTGGACAAACCAATAAATTATTATTGCTGTATACGAGGTTGTACATAAATTTCGTACGTTGAATTGAATCTTCTAATTAGTGATTAGTATGCAACATAATATAACCATATCCGTTCATATTCGCTTTTTCATAGATAATTATTAACATTATTTCTGAACTCTAATTTTCTTATGGTTAACGTATAGATCGATTTTAAATTGACAAGGAAAATTGGTACAAATTTCATTTTTACTTTTTGTCTACTTCAATGCCAACTACATGTGTAAATAAATAAATATTTTAATTACACAAGATTTACTTGGAATCTCAAAAACTGAATTAATTAGAATATAAGAATGAGAAGCATGTAAAGAACATGTACATATATAGAATAAAAAACGACACAAATTTCTATTATTTGCGACGCTTTAACTGTTTCCAAATAATAGTATCGGTAAACAATAGTTGGTAAATTTTTAATGCTGAATACAAACTGCCTAAGTCCGTCGAATATAATTTTTTTCGAAGTATACCCAGATAGCACATGACGCCTTAAAGACGTCCATTTGACGGCTATTTTAGGTCCAAGACGCCTTTAAGCCGTCTTCAAGGCGTCATGTGGTATCTGGGTATTGATTTCAGAAGATAAAGTAAGTACATGTACAGTATTCTTCTCCCATAATTGTATTATCGATCGGCTTATGTTATGATCGTTGAAAAGACAAAAGCGAGGCGCTAGAAAAGGAAACCATAGTAAAATCGTATCTTCTCTCTGTAACCGCTTTACGTGAATCTCAATTTATGTGATTGTATGGTGGAATATTATACAATTCGTTTATATTATTTACATATGTATGTATGCGCTTTATATACATATATTATATATGTACGTTTAAGTATTATTTTCACATTTATTTATTTATGATTTATTATTTATTTATGATTATAATATTACATTTACTTTAAATAATATATCTCAGCTATCCTGTGTAAAGATCCAAACCACAATAATGGACTGTGAAATAAAAAATAAAAATTTATTTTATAGTACATGGAAAGTAAAGGCTGTATATATGTATAATTTACGACCAATCATCGTAACAATCATTATATTTATTCTTTTGATTCAAGGATTATTTTGTAAAAAAATGTTTTCATGTCATTAGCAGCTTCAGAAATACGTAAGTAGAATATATACATTTAAATGAGATTCAGTGTTTACGCGTGATTGTAAATTAAATAAAACATGTTTTATTGTATTCAAAATATCAACAAAACTTTTCTGAAAAACAAATGTTTTCAGAATTTTTCGATAACAAATAATACAAATCTATTTTTTTATTATTATCTTTATTTTCGATATTTAACTATGCAGAAATGGTTAGAATGTATTGAACTGAAAACAATAACGATGTGTCACTTTGTTAAATATTTCATCCAGAACAATGTGTCAGTGAATGTTTATATAAAAATGAAAGTATTGTAGTAATTTTACACTTAATTATAAAGCATACGTACCAATTAAAGAATTAAGCTGGCGTTAAACGCGAATCACAGCAAACACAGAGTTATATGTATTGTATTTTACTAAACACTATGAATATCGTAGTAAAGTTAGAATAAGAATGGTACTGTTAGATTTATAAATCATTATAAAGAGTTTCGAAAGAAATAACTATAGAACGTTTAATGATCAGTTATTCTGTTAAACTAAAAATTACACATATTAGTACTCCCTCGCAGTTACAATAATCGAGAGCATGACCCTGCTAACACTGCCAGATAAGAAAACACTGTGCATAGCACGCTGCTCCGATGCGTCACAAGATAAACGTTTCCTGCTACGAATTCGTTTAAGGGGTTTCCTTCCTCATTTAATCAATTTCAAAACAAAGTGTCACTTTATAATAATATGTTATAAATGAGCTCATAAAACAATTTTCTTAAAAGAATTTAATATTTAAAATCGACAATCCCGTGACTATATGCGACACGTATATATAATCAATTATTTTTACTTGCCACGTTTATATTATCGGAAATCAATTATCACGTCTTTATTATCTTAATATATCGATAATCCGATTATTAAAACCCTGATAACCAGTTGTGTGCAAATGGTAAAGCAAATTGGCAGAAAGTCTTGCAACATAACCTATGCCAAATTGAGGACAAAACCGGAACAAGGTTTGCGCAAGCTAATTTGTTGCCTATGTTGCTGCCAATGTGCGCGCAAGTTATAGTTTATAGCAAATCTTGCATCAAACTTGTAGCCATAACTTATTTATAACATTGGACAAAATTTGGTTTCGCAGGTTTGGCTGACTGGACGCCACATTAACATGTATTCTTATTGTTGTCATTAATTTTCCAGTTAGTTAATAGAATGTATGTTTTGAAAATTTCCATAAACAAATATTATTACACTTAATCCTTTATTTTGTAAATATTGTTTATTGCAATTTGTTTGCATATTATGGTAATAATCCCATTATTCCTATGTATTAATGCTTGGCGGAATAATAAGTCTAAATAATGGTATTGATAAATAAATAAATATTTGTAATTGCGTAATATGTATATGTATATGTAATTTTGCACTTTAAAAGTAATTTCTAATTCCTTCTTTCTGCATTTTATTTTCAGTCTGTTCCATCGTATTTATTCTATATTATCTTTAAAAACTTATAAAAATAGAGAAAAGTGTTTTCAATGTGTATCATTTACACGAAAATGTGTATACATGTATGTATGTACATACATATGCGCATATTAGTGTGTATGCATATCTTTTAAATTTGACGATAAACACGGTTTCTTTCTTGACTACATTGAATGTTTACGTCAGGTTATACACGTGGGCATTCAAAGGTTTCATTAGTATTATTTGTAAAATAATCAACGGTTCTGAGTATCGGACGCTTTAAATTAATTATTGCAGAGAGGTAAGCAAAATATTATCTTTCTTTTTTTCTTAAAAATTGTACACATTATGTTCGTCAAGGAAACAATAACAGAGTAAGAAATTTGTAAATAGTGATTCGATTTTTTTAGGTTACCTGCATTATTGGAGTATTGAAGTTTTACTTAAATAATGAAAATAAAAAGTACAAAAGGTGTTATCAAGAAGTCAAAGAAGCCTGGGACGAAGAAAAAGAAACACTTAAGTAAAATAACAACAGATGATTTTTTCAATCAAGACTTTGAAACTGATGTAAACGTTAATGATAATAACGATGAAGGTAAGACTATATGACTTTACACAAGGAATTTAGAAACTGTTGATTGAATATTTAAATTTTTTATTTGAAATTATAAGTTGAATTGTACAACTGAAAAATGAGAGACAACTCTTGCAGAGTAACAAAAATTTATTGGAAAGTTGATAGTCTTTAATCTGTAATTCTTGCATTGCAATTGAAAATTATTTCATATTTCTGATATTCTGTGTAAAAGTTTTGTAATGTAAAAAATATTAATGACTTGAGAAATTTTATTATTCTTTAAAAATGAACAGAATGTCCACGTAATTATACAATAATATTGCTCACATTACTAAATAATACACCTATCGGTTTTAGAAAGAGTTTTGATTTTTATTTAAGGGGATATTAGTATACTTTCCACACAATATAAATATTTTCTCACAATATAAATAATTCTTTTATGTAGTTGAAGAAAGTATCCATAATGATGATCCAGAGAGCAGTGACGAAGACGTTGATCCAATACAACATAAGAAATCCTTAATGAAATTAAAACAGACAGATCCAGAATTTTATTCGTATTTAAAGGAAAACGATAAAAGTCTTTTAGAATTTAACATATCTGATGATGATAATAATGATATTGATGATGGTAATGAAACAGAAAGGAGACATATACCAAACACCGATTTGGAGGTACAATTATAAATCAAATAATAAAAGTAAAAAAATAATGAAAAATGTATTACCATATTTCAATAATATTTCAGGTTGCTAGTGATGAGAGTGATTATGAGGTAGATGAAGAGAGTAGCGCAGTACAAAATGAAAGAATAATTACACTGCAATTGTTAAAGAGCTGGCAAGAAGAAATTCAGAAGGACAGGTCGTCTTTTTTATTTCAAGACTACAATTACTATGATTGTATGCTGTACTGTACTCACAAAGTAATATTCATGTTAATTAATTTTACAGATCGTTGAAAACTGTTAAATGTATCATAGAAGCTTTCCATGCTGCATTAGAAACAGTGGCAGAATCTCCTAATCCAGAACCACTGCGGTATAAAGTAGAGGGTGGTGTAGGTTGGTTCTTTTTAACTTATTATTATAGTTACAGTTAAAATATTTCGTTTCAATGCGTATTTTTATAAACCATTATTGTTTGAATCATAAATGTCCATAAATACAAGCATATTAAAGCATACATGACAGGTAAATGTGAAACAGAGTTACTTTAGAAGGAAAGGTCTGGGTTTAAATTTATTAATCATAGATTCATGTCTGTAAATCAAAGTATACATACACTGCATTGCCTTATGGAATATTAAAACTTATATTCCAAACTGTATTTATTTATCTGCAGTCCCAAAATGCATCTGTTTAATATTATGAAGATTCGAAGATCTATTGTAGCTTGCCTTGTCAGATCATATCTGACATGTCATAAATACCAAATAATACATAAACAATTTAAAATCTTTTTAGTGTTCAACGGAGTTGTCCAATTATGTATACTACATTTGCCCAATACATTTAAACGATTTTTAAACTTGGGTTCTGAAACTCAGTTTCAACCTCATAAGTGTAAAAGGTTTGGTAAAGTTAAGGGTATTTTGAAGTCATATCTAACCGATTTAATTAAGGTATGTATGAACGTTAACATTTGAACATGTTGAATGGTGTATTTATACTGAATACTTCATAATTTATTCTTTTATAGATTTTACAAAATGTAACATCATCGAATATACTCACAGTGCTTTTAAAACATTTGCACCAAATGTTACCTTACACACAATCGTTTTCATCACTGACTAAACCGTTATTAAAAATTTTACTGAATATTTGGTCAACTGCAGAAGAAACAGTTCGTGTTGTTGCTTTTTTAAGTATATTACGTATAGCAACTACTAATAAGGAATCGGTTTTAGACATGTTATTCAAGGTAAGCTTGAAATTTTAACATTCCATTACGTAATAAAGTATCCAACAAATTCATATAATAATCTTTTTAATCAATTTATCGCAGGCAATGTATGTAAAATATGTTGAAAATTCAAAATTTGTATCTTTTACAACATTACCCGGAATTAACTTTATGAGGCATTCTTTGACGGAAATATATTTGCTGGATACTAATCTAGCTTATAATCATGCCTTTTTATATATTAGGCAATTAGCTATTCATTTAAGGAACGCTATAACTTTGAAGAAGAAGGTAATAATTCGTACAGTATATATGTTACATTTAAAATTTTGCAATTTACGCAATAGTAACTGTTATTGTTTTGATGCCTTTAAAGGAAAATTTCCAAGCTGTATACAATTGGCAATTCATAAATTCATTGCGGTTTTGGTCGGAATTAATTGAACAGTCAAACAGTGATTCCGTGTTACGTTCCCTTTTATATCCTCTTGTCCAAGTACGTATGAATAATTTCAACACAATAATTTACCGGGATGATCATATTTTTGATTACAAGTAAAATGGCATGCTTTATTTACAGATTATTGTAGGTACAATAAAAGTAATACCAACTCCTCAATACTATCCCTTGAGATTTCATTGTCTACAAATGTTAACAGATATTTCGAAAGAAACTGGAACATTTATACCTACATTACCATTCTTATTAGAGGTATTGTATTTAAAAATTTCCAAGATTTTTTCGTCTTTATTTATATGTATATAACAACGGTGGCCAAACTGCGGCTCGCGAGCCGCACACAGCTCTTTTACACCCTTACTGCGGCTCCCACATATTTGTACAATATTTCTTTTATAATCTTGTCACATAATACATACACGTATGTTTGCTAACTTTATTGTTCAGTGTGATATACACACAGACTGTAAGCGTAACTCACAATTTAATATCGTTCCAATAGAGGATGCATCTCTCGAGTATTTGTAATAGGCGATATATGGTTCCTATCTGGACTAGGTTTAGCCACCACTGGTATATAACTTTAATTGGCAATTACGTTTAATTTGCTCGTTTTATAAATTACCTTCTTCCTTTGTAGATATTAACTTCTTATGATTTCAATAAGAAACACAAGGCAGTTTCAATGAAACCAGTACCTTTTATTTGTATATTAAGACTGTCAAAGTCACAATTACAAGAAAACGGTTTCAAGGATAATGTTATTGATTCCATATATAAACTTATTTTGGAAAATGCCGCAAAGGATAGTCATACAATATACTTTCCAGATTTATATGTACCATGCATAATGCAAGTAAGTTCATAGATATGGTTAAAAAACGTTAACTAACATTATTTCAATCGTGTATAAAACGTAATACAACATCATTTCAATATTTTATAAAACTAAATGATACTTAAAAACATCTGCTACTGTCAAGTTTTACTAAGTGCATTGATTATGATTTTTTTTTTATAATTAGTTTACTGCCCTTATTTCTAGATAAAAGCATTTTTGAAAAAATGCCGTATTGCGAACTACTGTAGAAAAATGAAGCAGTTGTTAGAAAAAATTGACGAGAACAGAAAATATATTGAAACAGAACGTAAGAAAACAGTAATTGATTTAAAAAATATGTCAGAAATAAAGAATTGGGAAAACGGAATAAAAATGCAAGGAACATCAATATCAAAGTTCTATGAATCATGGATAAAGATTTATCAATCACAAAAACTCAAAATGCTTACAAAGAATGACGCCATAGCGGAATATAATTTACCAACTTTAAAGAAATTGAAGAAACGGAAATCAAACGAAGAAAGTGCAGAAGAAAGCGACGAAGAGAGTGATTTTGAACTGCGGATAAAGTCGAATGAGGACAAACCTGAGGTGCCTACTAAAACGAAAAAGAAGAAAAAGAAGATTAATAAAGTTGTTCCCACGAACAACATTGATTTACCAACAGAGATGACAGATATTGTTCAAGATATAAATAGTGATGATTGGGATTAAATATGAGGTCAAAATGTATGAACACAAGAAATTGGTATAAATTTAACAAAATATCATTTTTATATAATATTATACAATAATGACACTTATTAAAACAGAAGTAAAAACAAAACATTTGTATTCATTAAAATTCTTATTATTTACAGTGATATTTTAGCTAGTTCATTGAATATGAGTTCGTAATTTTTTACCACTTACATTTGTGTAATATTTTATAATATTAGTTTCGATGCTTTAAATACTGCTGTTTATCTATTATATTTACAAGTATATTACTTGTATAGCGGGGACAGGAAGAATTACAAGGTGTAACAACATTGAACGTGTGTGATAACTTCTGTCGTGTAAGGCGGCAGCCACCGATTCCTAAGGTGTCGCTTTCTGGTAGTCTATTTTTACCAAAGACGACTCAAGGCAGTCGGGAAGTTGGTATAGCGACGGTTGGGCGCTATTATAAAGCACTCTGTGCTGGCCGTGCAGTAATTCATCTCATCTAAGTGAACGTTTTAAATAAGAAAAAAAAGAAAACATTTTTCAAACGGAAAATACCGGTGTTTTATTTATTGACAGAAAGGTAGCAATAGTGAGGGAGGCTTGCTTAAATAAGTGACAAGCTTATCCTTCGACTTCGGTTAAACGTTTGGACGACTCCCTTTAGAAGAGGATTCTGTTACGTATGTAGGTGAAACACGAAAACCATCGAATGTTTATTAAAGGATGTAGCTGGGGCATGAAATATACAAGTTCGAATAACAAAAAATTAATGATATCCTAGTAAATGTAAAAGTTTCTTTTCTCTATTGTTTGCTGTCCGTTTTGCGAACGTAAAACCTGGCTCTCGGTTATGAATGAACCACTGTCGAGCGATAGTGGTGACTGCTAGCCACTTAGTGCCGTGCTGACGGAGTTACTCGTGGTTGTGTGTGCCCAGCCGACCACCTCTTGCACCAAACCGACGATACGTTCGTGCGTGCCAGGGAACATATTGTAAGATGTGATTTTGTCTCATGGCGAGGGAGCCTTCGTCGTGAGATTCGTGCTCTTCCCGTACGGAGCACTTCGTTCTGAGTATAGTACGGTCGCGGGTTACGTAAATTCGTAAAAAAAGAACATATCGAAAAAGAAAACGACATAACGTTCAAAAGAAAAAGGAGAGGATCGAGCGAAACGTGCGTAAAACGTCGAAATGAGGAAGGCACCGTTCGATAAGTAAACTTTCATTTTCTTTGTTTTGAAAAGAAAAGTCTGGGAGGGAGAAGAAATGAAGAAAGACTTTTTTTTTCTTTTTATGAAAGAACGGTCTTTGGCTTGTCATTAAGTGGCTACGTTTACTTCTTGCTACGAAAACGTAACTCGAATTAAACCTCTCTAACTATGCGCTGTAACGACTAAAACGGACAGTGATGTGATTTCTTTTCAGACTCAAATTAGCGTAGGATAATTTTCAAATTTTAAGATTTATCGCCAAGTTTTGGTGTTCTTTATTAAAATTGAAAAGTATTGTTTGCAATATTTCGAAAAGTTTCCTTCTCGCCCACCTGGAATGCACTATTTTCACATTTAAAGTATAAAACAAATCTGATAATAAGTGTATTAATGTATAAAACTTATACAACAGACCCGAAGATACCTTGAACTATTAATACTAAAAATTTTGTTAAACCAGTAAGCATGTGATAAGGGTATTAATTCAAAGTATGTACACACATATTCCGTTCTAAGAGTCTTATCGTTAGAACCTTTGATGATTTCTCTCGTAATAATGGATTTAAGTACACATGTAAAAGGTCGATGTAATAACTCCGTTTAATTTACGATGAAAACTGAATTCTAAAATGATTGTTCTTTATTATGATTCGATTAGAAATATTTCGTGTCCCTGTTTTCTTTAAATGTTCATGTATCGAAGTGTTGGCTGAACAGTGACAGTTTGACTGTCGATAATATTTCGCTAATTGCGTCTAAAGTGATTTAAACGTGACACTGAGGACAACGTCAAAAATAATTCATGAAATTGGAAACAAGTTTTATATGCGAATTAGTTACTTTTATAAAAGTTCATCGGTCATAAAGAAGAATTTCGTAGCAATAGGCCTTACAATTGCATCCCTAAAAAATAGAGCACAGGTAATACACTTGGAAGGAAAATGTTGAAAGTGTAACTGCGTATTACGTTACACCAGATAAATTTAGCATTTCTTTTGCACAGAACCTCATTGTAACGCTGCCAATACCGCAACGCGGAATTAATTGGTTGTTTGGAAGAGAACCAATTCCCTTCGATATAAACTGATTTGCTTCTGTGTCTGGTATCGATTGAATTTCTTTTCGTCGTTCATCCACTTTTTATTTTTATCAAGTAAGAACTGCTGTTACGCCGACGAACAACTGCAAAACGATCGAAAATATCACCAGTTTTAGTTCTGTAGGGTTCGCAGTTTCTCTATAATTAACTACATTTAACTGATCCATGACAGGAATGGTATCGCGTACGTATTTATAAGTTCACAACGCGATGTGTAATCTTCGATGCAAGAAGTAATGCGTGATGAATTTCGCGGATTTAATTTATTCAGTTCTGTTAGATTAGACTTTAGACGATGAGATTCATTTGTCGCGTTTACTTTCCGCAGTTTCGCTCTTCTTCTCCCTTTTATAAACAATACTACAGCATATGAATGCATTGGTTTCGATTAAATAATATTTAATCACAAATAACAGTATTATACAAAATTTACACGCTGTCGCTGCTAACAAGAGTAATTATGCTACCCTTCCTAATAACGCTTATTTTTTTTTTTTATTTCAATACTTTGTATAGGGCAATTATTTTATTGTATCAATGTTTGGGATAATTTAAAGCAGTCTTCCCACATAGCACATGAAGCCTTAAAGACGTCTATTTTACGGCTATTTTAAGTCTAAGGCGTCTTTAAGCAGTCTTCAAGGCGTCATGTGCTATCTGGGTTTGTTTTTCATTGTTTCTCTTTATCGATCTTGCAATGAAAATTAATACCATTCTTTGATAGTTTATGCAAAACAATAATATAATATAGTAGGTAGACTAATGTTGACAGTTTCTATTTCGACAGATATAATAACGAAAAGAAAAACGTTTTAAGCACGACATACAATTCGTACGGTTTCGTGTCTAAAAATTCGAAGGATGCTGAATATCGGTACAGCGTAAATTATAGTAATACTCAAGAGAAAAATTATCTGCAACGAAGTATTTCCGCGGATAATGTTGTAATACGTTCCCGTGGCTTTAAACCCTCTGATAGACACGACCCCGTGAAGAGGAATTTCCTTGAGAATCTAACTTCGAAGATACTGCACGTCGATATGGTGAGTTTATAAATTGCAATTTAAAAAGTGAAACTAGTTTCACAATATCTCTAATATAATATATTATAAATTGATTATGTCAAATATTAGATTCTCGAATTCCTTATTTCTTCTTCAAATTCTTGACTCCAAGTAATGTTACCTTAAATTTTAATATTGATATGCAATATTATTCTTCAATAGTTTAATATCCAGATTTTCTCGATGTTATAAAAGCTATCAAATGATTATCTGCAGGGTCATATTTTCCAATATTTAAGACAATAATAAAAATGTGTCTGTGTGTGTGTGTCGTCTGTGTATTGTGCACAACGTGTGCGTAGTAAGAATTTCTTTCTTAGAAAACTTATTATTGTGTCTTTTACGGAAATGCAAATAACTTTGTTTTCAGTTATAAATCACGTTTTAATAGTAAACACTTGCAATGTCTGGTACTTATTGTTACTTCTTACTTGGAAGTATGTACTTCTGTTTTTTTTATATAAATTCTGATTCTATAGAGCACATTATAATTGTATTGTTCCCAGAAATTTGTGTTGTCTCATCTAAGCACTCGGTTATTTCTGAACAAAAACATAAAATACGAAAAGAAAGTTATTATATAATTCATAAGTTTTTATAATTTATAAGGGTACATTAAAATTTGTTACATCCAATGAAATAAAACTTTTACAATTAGAACTAAAATCTGTTACTTTTTAAAATAACATTCTTATTAATGACAATCTTATTGCAATCCCAGATGGCACATCACGCCTTGAAGACGTCCATTTTACGGCTATTTTAGGTCTAACCCGCCTTTAAGCCGTCTTCAAGATCGTCATTAGACGTCGTATGCTATCTGGGATGTAATTCATGTAACGAAAATCGTTACCTCTAGAAATATTTATAAGAATTTATTGTGGTCTGTATATATTAAATAGCAACAAACGTTTATTACTATCGTAGTTTTGTTTTATTTTATGATCTGATTACACCAAATAAGAGATATATGAAATGTTTATGAACCCAATAATTTTGTATACGATTAACTTGTCATACATAAAAATAGCCAAGTGTTTAATATAAAAGTTTTGTAACACATTGTCGGTTGGTAGGAGAGCAATAGCAGTACTCCAGTCAACTTGCAGAAACTGCTTACTCCGGCCTCAGACACGGAGGGGGTTATGCAGTCGAAAAATAGTAAGTCAATAATTGATAACAGGCCACAATATAAAGAACCATTTTCAGAAATGTTTACTTTAAACAAAAATTTATTTAAAGGGAAAATGTTCGCATCTTCCTATTTTTATGCACCAACGCATCCAACTGTCGAGGATCAGGTGGAATTAGCACGACGAATTTCACATTCATTGAGCGACGTGAAAAACATGAAGAGTAAGGGTCAGTCTATGTACGTAAACAGGAAGAAACGATCCGTGAAATGGATTCATGATGGTAACGGTACGTATATACTGAAATTAATGTAGATTCAGTAAATTTATAAACATTACACACACACACACACAAGATAAATATATATTAAATTGTCGAATTGAAACACAGTTTTGAAAATTTATATTTAGTAATTAAAGTTTATTAAAATAGACCAATTCTCTACGTTAATTCGTTGAATTATTGTATTATAGGCTTAGAAGACGTAGAAGAGCCCTCCACCCCTTCCCAGAGGGTAAGTTGTATATACTTTCTTTCAATTTTCAATCTGTAATCCTTAACGAAAATGACAAAGATTTTTATGGGTGAACAGAGAAGGGAGTGATTCTTTATGGAAGAATTAGTCGAGTGTTTAGAAGAAAGGTTTCCAAGAAGAGCTTTGTTTTCGAGAAAAATGGCATTGAAAATTAGCTTATACATACATGCAAACGTACGAGATGAATGTTCAAAGATGATTTTTTCGAAAACGAAGGTCTTTAATTAATAGCTTTTCTTTCACACTTATAACTTTTTTCCGGAAAAATCTGTCGGTTGTATAGCCAATAAAAAACCACCCTGTACATGTATATTTTTGGTCTGCAAAGCGTCCATTTTCTTGAACTTTTATTTTACTTAAAAATATACATGTACTTCATACTTACATTTCATTGCACGACAAATGAAATTTTCCAGAAGAGAATATTTGATTTATAGAATAAATGCATATTCAAATTTTACAATTCATTCATTACAATATTTTATTTTAAGATTACAAGACCAATCTACTTTTAAACTTTTAATAAAATATGAAAGGACTGAAAATAAATTTCAGAAATTATTCATCAAATAAATTTCAGAATTATTCAGAATTAATCATTTATTCGATCTATTTAATAAACGTACATTTTTCAAGTTATTTTGGTTAAAAATCAGTATGTCGATATTGATTACTGATGAAACGTTAGTACATTCTTATACATATCTATTAAAGGAGTAAAGGAGTCCAGTATCAGTATGTTTAATGATTATTTATAGATGCACCGAATGCGATTCTTTTTTTGTACATCGTACGACAAGTAACATTCATTCAGAAATGTCAAGCATTCAAGGGCTGCACATGCGCGAGCATAGTGCACTGATCTCTGATCAAGAACATTTGCTTCCCTCTAGAGATAAATGTATTTTTACGATCTTTGTTGTCGTGTTCATTTTCGTCAGATCATTTAGTATCAAAAACTTATTTCTTCACTTGTTTTAAATAAATACTATTGTTCTGTATCGATCATATATTTTATTTTTCTGACTGTTTGCCTTTTGCGTGTGTAAATGGTCTATATTTTATCGTTAAAGAATAAGTGAAAAACAACCAAATTTTCTAGTAATGGTAATAGTAATGTTTATATCGTTTTAGAGGTCTAATAAAAAGTAAGAAATTTTATTTTCGTTGGTAAAAGATATTCCGAGCGTCATATGGTTGTTTTTTAGAAATCTAGAGGAGCACTATACAGAGTATTCGAGAAATGGGTATAAGTCTTAGACTTTACAGGCTTATAGTATATTCACTAAGCGGAGTAACAAATGTCTAATCAACTTAAAAGAAATCCTTTCGATGTAAAAACAACTTCTATATTTACGAGCGTTCAATGTCGTAAAAGAGTCACTTCGTAACATATTGAATGTAAATACTTCTTCTTCTTTCTTCAATTTGGCGTAAAGGCACTTTTGACCATCTTATCCAGCTATACCTTTTTTAGCCTGCGTTTTAGCGTAAGCTTATATTCTAGGTCTTGAATGATCCACATTCATTATCTGAGAGTCAAACAAATACATAATTCTACTTTACTTGAAATGTTTTTCTAGGATAAAATTCCCCTAAAATGCATGATGAATCCACATGGAAAAGTATTGGATATACACGGCATTCAAGCTTTGGGCGAAGAAGTAAATATAGAACCAATGCCAAAGAATCCTGAGAAATTCTTTAACATCGTGCGTGATCTAAACACTCAGAAAGGCCGCGGTAAGAACTTATTCATGTTTATAGTTCAAATAATTAATTGTGTGTTTACTTTTATTAATTGTGTATTACATAATAATCCTAATGAAGTTTCTTGTCGCTTTAGAATTTTATAGCAATTCTGGTTAACTTTTCATTACAGTAGAACTCCGTTCACACGAGTTGTGATGAATCAAACAATCTAATATTCGAAAATCAGTAATAAAGAAAGTCGTTCGTTTCGTCACCTCATTGGAGGTGCGTTCAGATTTTTAGGGTAGTTAATTATTAAAATCTATATTATTATTGCATTTTACCAACCTTCTTCGCAGCTCTGTTGGGGTGAACAACTATTGTATACATATGTATACGAGGCAGAGTCAATATGTAACTTTCTTATATTGATAGAAACTGTAAATTTAATTGTATACAGTTTTATTTCAGGTATACATATAAAACAATTCATCTTTGGGAATTATTTTATTAGATGTACCGATAAGTAATTCATTGTAGCTTCAATATGGTGGTATATGTATAATAAAATTTTAGACTCAAAAGAACTGTCTGTTTAGTCAAAATGACGGATGATGATGGGAACAAATAACGAATATTGTTACGAATATTGCTGTTGAATTATTTCGAATAAAATACAGAATTTCACAGAAAATAGTGGCCTACTTATTGGTACACATAACAACTAGAGACGCGTGTTTTGAACTCTTTGAGAATTCTTTGAAACCTGGAATCTAGTTCAAACGTCGTGACTTACTTACAATCAGTAACCTCATGGCGTGACAGTATGACAATGCAAGGCCTCACAAACCGCCAGAGCTGCCAAAAACTGATCGAACTGCGGTGTCTCCTAGATCCCATTTATTCACTTGACCGCACACCGTGTGATTACCATGCCGTTAGTCACCTCAAGGAAATTTTTTTCTCGAGGAATTGAAACATTAGTATTGAAGTATTAGGCTATCTTAATTAAAATTCTTTTTCCAATAAAAACATGTAAGATTATTTACTGACTCAGCCTCGTATTATATTCGTGGGTGTACTAGTAATTTATGTTGTATAGCTTCAGTGCTTCTAATTCCACATTCTGTCATTCGCCATTTCTCATCTCAACTCTTTAAATTTTGTACCACATAAATAAGAATCAAAAAATGTATCTTCCACCATAAAAGCATTTACAATACATCCCAAATGGAGTGTTTATAATCGAAGAACAAAACATTTTAAATTTATTTTATGTAATTATATATTTTATTTAATTAATAATAAAATATAGTAAATGGTGGGTAATAATAAACGAGCAAATATTAAGGAGATTTATTATTGGTGGGGATTATGTAATGCGAAAGGTGTGCCTGTTTCACTGAACATGTTTAATATTACTTCTTTATTATTTTAAAATAAATAAGTAATTTTTTTCAACAGAAAGGTTTAAAACATTTTGCGTAAAAATTGTACCACCAAAAATAACATAATGTACCATTAGTGGTACATGTAGGTACCACAGTTTGAGAAACGCTGCACTAACTTTTTAGTTCTCTTAACTTAACAATTATTAATCGGTTATAAACTTGTAGCGTTTTTCAAAATGTTTAGCATTCATCTAGTTCGACTAATCCAAATTCTACTGCTACTGTAATAACATCGTAATCGTGTTAATCTCATGAAAAATATCAACAGTCAATGAGTTTGAATAAACTTCGCTGGGAAGATTCATTTAAACGTAACCATGTACATTAAATATATGAATGATTTATAGGTGCTGAAATATTTGCGAAACGTAGGAAACGATCCGAAAAATGGGTTGTAGATAAAGATCAACCGCAAACACCCAGCACGCCAGGAATGCAAAAAACGCCAGTGTTTATAAGGAAACAGGTAATGAACACTTGATTTTACGCTCCAATTGATATTACGCTCAGACCATTTTCAAAAAACAAAGTGAAATTATTCGTTAATTATTAAGTTTACGGCTAATAAAGGTCAGTACTTTTTTACTCAAAATTTAACGCTTTTCGATATTTTGGCATAAAAAATATAGCATTCTATTTGAAAAAACGAAGTTTACCTTCAAATCTCCAAAACGCCTGTACTTCCAAAAAAAATATATGCATTACATAATGTATTCCTCTAAACCATACAACTTTTCTATCAAAAGTTTATTCATACAATGCAAGCTTCAGAAGTTATTCAGGGTGAACAAGTTGCGTGGACCACCCTGTACATACATGTATAGTATTTCTCTCTGTAGTGAAATAGGTACCACTTTCCAATACTTCATTATAATTCATTAAGATGGTTTTATAGTTATGAGATGTACCGTATATTAACGCAATTGTTTATTGTTTCCACAAAACCATAACGATCATATTATCCATCAAAACTTTTGAGAACATAACTTTGATTCTCTACAGGAAATGAATGGCAGCTCGAAATTTTCATCCGCATCTCCGTTTTCGGTTTTTGCGCCAGAACCATACGACGAGAAACCATTTTATAACCCGTTTACCGTGGATTTGTCTTTGAACGACACGTATTCACCCACGACAGGTATGCAAACTACAGAATCCCTTATTTCACAGAATTTACTTGGCACGTCTATTTGGCAGCGCTTCATATTATATTTTAGTTTGTTCGTATTGTTTTCGAACTATAAACACAAAGCTAACCGCTTCCAAAGACTTAAATTTAAGCTACAAATCTGACTTCATAGTTATTCCTGTTGAAGCTTACTTATTCTCTAATCTGCGTCCGTTTGCAACCAGACCTGGGCAAATTTCATTTGAAATGGAAATAAGAAATAACTATTTGAAATAATTTATTTCGGAACTTTATTTTCAATACTGTTATTTGAAAATGCAAATAGTATCGATGCATTTGAAATAATAGCAATTTCAAATAATGTATTATTTCAAATTTGGAAAAAGAAATAATACTCAAAATAATATGTAACAAAAAGATTTTATTTTAAGAAATCATTATAGCAATTTACTTTAGGCAGAAGCCTCTCTTCAAAAAGTTGATCCATGAGTGATTATTGCTTGGGCCCTTCTAATATTGTCGCAAAAGAAAATAATAGTTTCACTACTAGTGTGGAAGATGGAAGAGGGCTGTTACTCTTCAGAAAAATGTCAATATCTAAATTAAACGCAAACCGAGTCACTCGATATAATTTCAATGAACAATTTCACAATTATTTCTACGAATTATTTCTAATGATTAGAAAATAAAATAACATGCTTTCGAAATAATATTTCAAATATATAATATCATTTTAGAAGTGGCCAGGTCTGTTTGCAACGTGGGCTTGTTTGTACCTATATAATATATAATAATTGATGTATAATCGATATGTATTCAGAAAGAATCGTATCGATGTATTGTTTAGATACGGACCGATGGTAAATTTGTGTGTCGAGGGTTCGCGAGGAGTGCAACGACCCACAGGTGTCAATTGGCAAACGCAGTCGATGTTATTCAGTCGATGCGAGTCCGTTGCCTCGTTCTTTTATCTTGTATATCTAAAATCTAAAATAAACAACGGCCTGCACTTCGTTGCCAATCGAAAGCTTTATATTGATTAGGCGGCTCTAATTAGAAACATAATGGCATTCAATCTTACTACAGTTAGTCTTCTAAAATTAACTTTCGTATTAGTAGGATAAATTGTATTTTTGGTAATAGGGCAAACCAACCTGTGAATAGCCGAATTGTTGAATTTCTGGACGTTTAAGATTAATAGTTGAATGTATTTATTTATAACATCAAAACAGCTGTTAAAATCGCAATTCCACTTATTTTTCTTGGAATTTTTATAAAAATAATGACTTATTCTTGTCGTAATTTTCTCAAGATTATTTATAAAGTGCAAAACGTGTAAAACCCCAGTAAATGACTACTACATTTCTGAAATATTTTTAATAATAATTATACTTACTATGTAATGTTTGCTTAATACGCTAATCTAAAAATATGGGATATTAAAAGTGCAACAACGCTCCATTTATAAACATTTAATAATTATTAAATTTATAATTTACATTTCTTATCTAATGGTCATTCACTGGAATGCAGGCAATTACTGGTTGGTTTACCCTACTACTTGGAAGTACTTGCACTTTTTTTTTTTATTGTCTATACGTAACAATAATCTTCTCTAGTGCAACAAAAATAAATATTAGGTATAATATGATGCACATAATACTTATTTAAGGAGGTATTCTGGCGTAGACGCCATTTGGGATTTTTAGCAAAAAGACTATAACTAAGACTTTTTACAATCAACGTTTCAGGGTATATTTGTACATATTTGAAGAACATTTATAAATTTTTATGTCGAGAAAACATAAAACTTCGTAACACTGCAAGCCTTCGTACACAATCGCTTACAGAAGAATGGTGTCCGTGATTCCGGCCGTTCTGCCTCTCTGAAATAAAAAAGGCAAGAAAATTCTTAATTAGGATGAGCTTGGCTATGACAGGGACCAGAATTAAGGAAAAAAGTTGATAATTAGAAATATGGCAGCACTTTGAAATTTAACTATCGGTGTTTTCATATTTCTTTAAGGGGATTTTCTCATTCAAAATTGAAAAAAAAGACACTTCTTTAATATTTCTTTATAAAAAAACTATTATATTTAGAAACATAATTCCTTTAGGACGCTATTATATATATATTATTAAGAACATAAAGAAATTCTTTCTAGCACTTTTAGTTCACCACGACCGCTGTAGAGGGCGTCTTCCAAAAAGCCACGTTTTAATCGGTGCGACACTTTGCAGACGTCCTGTAAAAAATTAAGTGAAAATTCAAACGGGATTCTATTCGTGAAACTTAAAACTAGACAATAAACCTCTAAAATATTTTATTTTTTGTATTTTTTATCGTTTTATACATATTTTGCCGAAAAATTCGAAAAATCACTCTTTTTTGGGGGCAATTCACCCCTGTATAAAAAAGGGGGGGTAGGTTTATGAACTTTTAGAGGTTTATTGTCTAGTTTTAAGTCTCACGAATAGAATCCCGTTTGAATTTTTACTTAATTTTTTACAGGACGTCTGCAAAAGAGTCGCACCGATTAAAACGTGGCTTTTTGGAAGACGCCCTCTACAGCGGTCGTGGTGAACTAAAAGTGTTAGAAAAAATTTCTTTATGTCCTTAATAATATATATAATAGCGTACAAAAGGAATTATGTTTCTAAATATAATAGTTTTTTTATAAAGAAATATTAAAAAAGTGTTTTTTTTTCTATTTTGAATGAGAAAGTCCCCTTAAAGTGTCGGCTTTTTAATAAATAGCATTGATATTAATTGAAAGCCATTTTTATCTAGTTTCTATTGTCAATAATAATTAGACAATACTGAAAATCTCAAGAATTTATAAGAAGGTCTATCACATATTTACCATATATATTTGGAAATTTTTTTCGACCGATTTCAATGAAAATTTCAGTATGTACCGTATAACTATGTTACGAGCCAGGGCTAAGCGGCTGCGAAAGCCGAGTAAATGGCGAGTTCGGTTTTTTAGAGTTTGTTACGTGGACGAACCTGTGCCTATTTCATCACAGGGAGCCACTGGGATAGGTTGTCGTGGACGAACCTGAGTCTATTACATCTCAGGGACCCACTAGGATTGTTAGTATGGGCTTCGAAACTTTAAGAATTCGGTACACTTCGAGAGGTAAAAGTGTGCCTTTGTGGGTTCGGTTCTAACTGGGAATTTAGACATTATTCTAGAGGTGAAATGAACAACACTGTATTATAAATATATAAATGTATAAAAGTATATTCAGGAAAGTAAAGGTTTTACAAATGTTAGTGTAAGTTGTGGTCGCAGAAGCTAATTCCAACGTTCTCGGTTTTTCATGCACTGAGAAATGCGGAGGTTTGTTGTACAGAGTTTAGCTTACTTTTAAAAATGCTTGAAAGGGACTTTAATACCCGATCTCACCAACTAGACTTCTGGTATGAGTATGATCCGCGGATGAGCTGTACCTACGCGTCCGTTTTTATATCCCGAAAACGCGAGTCAAAAAGTAGTGTGGGGGACACGCCTGTTCCTCGACGGAAACAGTTTTCCAAGAAAATCTGGCCACACCATAACACCCCGTGGGCAATTACGTAATCTGGCCGAATGCATTCCAACTCCCGATAGGGTTAAGAAGTCACGAGAGTGTCTTCGTATGTAACAACTAACATAAATCTTCGATACGTATTTATTATATTTTCATTATAGCCTGAGATTAAAAAGTTGTAAAAAACGACCTTCACTATTTTCTTCGCGATTTGGACCAATTGTAAGTTTTTCAAGTTTTTTTTTACACGTCATTTAGTAAACTAATGTCTCTAATTTTACAAAAGTACTCAAGTCATTTGGAGCAATTTTCGAAAAGTTGTTCCGTTCTAAAGGGTGTACGAATACTTTTGACGCCCACTGTATTATCAATCTCATATCGGAGTTTCGAATGTAACGTCGAATAGAAGTTTATACTTCGATCGTTATACGTTTCAGACAGGAATCACTATCGATGCAACGGTAAAGAATGCAACCACTTAACCGAGGTGAAAAAGATATATCTCCGTGAAGTGGCCGTTGGTACCGACAATGATTTTCCTATTGACAAATATCGATCGTCGACCGTCGAGAAATCACGGCGAGCTACATTGGAGCCTGATATCGAGCGATATAACAATTACCACGCTAAAAGTAACAATTATGAAAATGCTTCGATGGCGTTAACTAACACTAACAGGCGCAACCACAACCATAACAAGGCTTCGCTGAGCAGATCTTATTATCCTAATACACAGGGCGCTACTAACAAAGACAGTAAAAATTACATCAAAGAGCAACGCGTGACGGAATGCGTGCAGAGCACGATCAATAACAGAGAGAAAATTGTGAATGGCCAACGGGAGACCGATGTTATTCGTGTCGATAACGAAGGAAACGAGTACACGCCAGTGCCAGTTAAACAATTGATACAAGAATTCGAAAAAACCTGCAGACCAGTTCTTCAGTATAAACAGATCAGTCCAAAGGTTATACCGATTGTGCAGCAATGTTCCGTAGATAACGACTTGGCGCGATTCTTTGAAACGCATAGTTCCGTCAAGTACAACGCTGAAGAGGACCACAGGAGGTGAGACAGAATGAACTTTTCACTAGAGATGGCGTGCAAAATCACTAACGGTGATTTATCACAGTGATCACCGAATCACGATCACGGTCGTGATTTAACTTCATTCACAACCGTGATTGCGATTTTTTTATCTTGAGTGAATTTACTCACTGCGATCGTAAGTCCTTAATTTTTAAACAGAAAAACGTATTCAATATAATTTTACGATGAATTACATTACTATTTGTGTTTGTAAAAATCAGTAGAAAAAACAAGAAATTCTAAAAGAATGATTTGCTAGGTAACATGTAGATTATAATTTACAATCATTAATTTATTCATTATTCTTCATTGTTTCTAATTATTCCTTCAGTTTATACGATATAACTCGAATTTTTGTTTTGATGTCGTTTATATAAAATATACAGATTATGTGTCGCGTGTAAAGAACTGTTAGGTTTCTCCACCAATCAGAAACGATCACGAGAAATTACGAATCACTGTGAATAATCACCGTGATTGGGAACGAACGCGATCGAATCACGAGTGATTCACAAGTAGCAGTTCACGCCATCTCTACTTTTCACAGTATCAAAACAACGTATTATTTTTAAGGTGGCTTCTGCAAATTTTTAATAATTACACTGTTCAACAAATTTTAACTTTTTTTCGTTTTTGTAACCTCCAATAGGCGCGTTTGATAGATCTTTATAAGCTTAATACGAATCTACAAACCGTTCCTTTCCAGCACGTCCAATTTTCGAAAAAATTAATTTTTTCCTGAAATTACACATTTTCTACTTTGCAACTGTGTTGTGCTTTTATAGTTATAGTTATTCAATTTTTTTTTACACAAAATAGTTGTCTGGACTCTTCCGAACAAAATGACCTACGTATTTATTATATTATAGACATCTAAATATGGTTAAATAATGTTCAAAATGAAAAGAACATCGAAAACTTAAAATTTGTTTCAGGTGTCAAGGATAGTTACAATATCTGTTTTGCTTTGAATAAAGAAGCACTCTTCCTTGGCAGAAAGGTCTGTTCTATCGCGTGGTATGGTCAGATTTTCTCCTAGTCCCTTAGTTTCTGAAATAAATTGACGAATATCAACAAAAGTTGGTGCGTTTTCGATGTCCTTTTCACTTTGAACATTATTTAAATATATTTAGATGTCTATAATATTATCACAAGGTATATCATTTTGTTCGGAATACTCCAAAGAATTGGTTTCTGCCAAAAGAAACAGAATAACTATTCTTATAAAAACATAACACAGCTCCAAAGTTGAAAATTTGCAATTTTCTTAAAAAATAAGTTTTTCAAAAATTGAACGTGCTGGAAAGAAACGGCTTGCAGATTCGTATTCAGCTCATAACGAACTATCAGAAACGCCAATTGAAAATTGCAAAATTTCTTAAGTATTCAACAATGTTATAAATTTAGTGGAAAATTTAACAGAACATTCTTAAAAGTTCAATATCAATGACTCCTATTTTTGTTAATATTTATAAACATTAATAGGGTTTTGTTTTTTCTTTTTGTTGAAATAGTAAGGGATTGTGGAAAACGAATAGAACAGAATGAGTACTAGACCGACTACCCAGATAGCATACGTCGTCTAATGACGCCTTGAAGACGGCTTAAAGACGCGTTAGACCTAAAATAGTCATAAAATGGACGTCTTCGAGGCGTCATGTGCTATCTGGGTAGTCGTAGTCGTATTCAAAAATACGGGCAACTAATTTAATGTTCATATTCAATTCGTTCATATTAATTTCGGAAATTAATATCCGTAAAAAGATGTAGGTACTTCCTTCCTGTACATTTTTGATTTGATCTTGTATCTTGGATTAGTCCTCTATTGTTTGTATTACAAATTATGGCCGATCCGATATAAGAAGCTGCTAATATTTACATCGTTAGAATGTAAACATTGGACAGGAATGAACGAAGATAAGATGGTCGTATCAGTTCCCAGATAGCACATGACGCCTTGTCATTGCCATTTGAATTACCCAAGAAATTGACGGTTGCTTGACGGCGGCTAGCCTGCCGCCGGCTAGACGGCTAGTGGGAATTGGCCTTTAAAGACCCGTATTTTACGGCTATGTTAGGTCTGAGGCGTCTTTAAGCCGTCTTCAAGGCGTCATCTGCTATTTGGATTATTGCCACGAAAGTAAAGAACTTGCACGTACCTGGAAGTTCCAAAGGTTTTTGATCGGGTAGGATATTAAATAAGCACACGTAATGTCATATCTATGGTTCGTACAAAAAGGAAGTGACGTAGTGCGTTTTATTACGTCGAAAGGAAAAGAAAACATGTCACCAGCTCTAACAGAGCGTACAATATAAAAAACATAAATTGGTTTGATTCACATTTTTTAACTTCTTTCGTAGAGTATAATCCTCTCTCTCTCTCTCTCTCTCTCTCTCTCTCTCTCTCTCTCTCTCTCTCACTATAATCACATTTCGTTACCTGCTTGTAAATACGGCACCACTTTTACATCGTGGCGGCAGCTATGTTCCAGTAGCTAGCACCAGGCCGATTTTGTCAGTTTTTCCAATCCCAAAAGAGTGTAGGATAAAACTAAATAGACAGTGCGCACCAATTTTAAAGAAGACTCGATAAAAAAGTATTTTTTAGCAATTCTTTATTTTATCTATTGAATTACATTAATTGGGTCATTTTTCTTTACAATTAACTATGTACACTGACGTGCAAACTCGGCTTCCACTAGGGAATTTGTCATTTACTTGAAATTTTTATGTCTGTAAGTTTATATGCAATTTATGTCTTTTACTTGAAATTTATGTCAAACTAACATTTCATTTAACATTTATTTCAGTACTTGAAATAAATTTATCAAGTGGTAGGAGCCCTCCCCCCTCCCTGCACCACTTTTTCCCCTAGCGGAAGTCCAGTTTGCTCGTGAAGGTACTCCTTAATTATGATCCAAACTCGGGTAAGATACCTCATCCATGTGACAAAATGTTCCCACTATACATATTATTCTTATTTTAATTATAATTACTCTGATTCGAACAATTCTTACTTGAATTATGATAAAAATCATGTGCTATCGCAATGTGATCTCAATCAATTATAATACAGACTAAGCGGTCAGCAAGCATACGAGCAGTCTGTAAAACTTCAAGACCACCGTAACAACGGTTATGTGTCCACCGACGACACAGAGTATACGTCGGACGACAGCGATTCCCAAACGAACGATTACGGTAGCGAGGAAATAATTTACCGTGAGAAATCCGAATCGTCGAGCGTGATGAACGGTGATCAGGACTACTCATCCATGTACCATGAGGAGTATAACTCTAATCGGCGCCGTTCAGTGACGTCCCAAGAGGTTGAGAAGTTCTGCAACAATGGCGGCGACCCGAAATACGTGAACACCGAGTCGGAAATACCGGCCGAAGCAAAATCGTTGTTACTCTCGATGATAGCTTCCCAAGAGAACATTCTGGAAACGATTAAACATTTACGAAACACACCTGTTCTCGACAACTTGTTGCAAGGCGTTTCGCCGGATTTTAAATTCGATGAAATTTGCGCAGATGACGGCAAGTTAACCCGCATGTGCTTTAATTCGCTTTAATCCACCTGCATGTATTATTCAGCTTTCGTTTTATTTCTATGTAATATATAGGGTGTTACACAAAAATGTGACCTTTCGCAACATATACATATATTCCTCATGCAAATACAAATCGAAAAGTTCTTTACTGTTTTGTAACCTGAAGCTCCATTTCCGAGATATTGGCAGTCAAACGAACTCCAATCAGATGAGTGGTGGGCCACACGGACGTGCAGACACAGTCAAGACGCAGAGGGCAGTGGGGATAAACCGATACCGTCAAGGTATCGATACTTTTACACATAACTTGTATCGAAAAAAAGTATCGATATCTACATATTAAAAGCATCGAAACTTACTTGTATCGTAGGAAAATGAATACAAAGTTCTCTTTCATTAATATGATAGATTATAACCGGAGTTGAGCAGATTTTTATTCGAATAATACATAGTGAAAATCCACAGTATTTAATTGTATTATTTTCTCATAAAAATTAGATACTTTTTCATGTTTTATTCGTTACTCAAAACTCTTTATCTAGATAATGAATTTGCCCATCTCTGATTTTAACGAAGATATATTTTATTAATGAACATTTTTTAATAAAGTAATATAACTGCACGACACAACTACCTTCACATTCATTAGCTTTCTAATCGATTACTCGCTCCATTCGATATGAGTACTTCTTTTCGATACCGAGTATATACTGCAACCGAAAGTATCGAAATTAAAAATACTTGGTATCGAAACAGTATCGATACTGAAAATACTTGGTATCGAAACAGTATCGATACTAAAAATACTTGGTATCGAAATAGTATCGATACTAAAATTACTTGGAATCGAAACGAAAGCATTTAATTGTATTTACTTGGATCGGTTCGTCCCTGGAGGCCAGTGACTTCGGTCGTGCTCTTCTTTTCTGCGCCTGTATGTACGTGTGGCCGTGGAACCCACCGCTCAGCTATTTGAGTTCGTTTAACTGCTACTAATATCTCGGAAATGGAGCTTTAGATTACAAAACGGTAAAGGCCTTTTCGATTTGTATTTGTACAAGGAATATGCATGTTGCGAATTGTCCCATCTTTGTGAGACCCCCTGTATACAGTTACTCAAGAAAGTATTAGACACTCCATAGGAAGGTTCTTTTGATTAATATAAACAATAACTTTGGTTAATATCATGTATATTTATTGACATATAGGGTAATATTAACTATTATATAACAGAATGTATTAGTCTGCAGAAATATTTTAACAAATAAGAAAAAAACGAATTAAAACGTCATTTATTGCGGAGAAAGTGTTAAACCAATTTCTTTGAAACTTTGAGAATACTTTGCCGCGCAATTAAGCTGAATACAACAATCTTTCTTTTCACGACAAATCCATAAATGTTATAGTTATAAGGATTTATGTGGAGCCATCTTCAGGAACATCTTCACAGCATGAACGTATTATGAAGCTAAAAAATGCAAAATTGAAGAACTTATTACATTTACAAAAAAAAGGCAACTTTTAAAAAATATGATTTATTGAAACAATAAAATTATAAATGTAGGTTCATGCTGTGAAGATGTTAAAAAATGTGTACATAAGTTCTTATAAATATTATAATATTTGCGGACTGTCGTAAAAATAAAATTTTTTATATTCAATTTAATTGTACAATAAAGTATTATCAAAGTTTCAACGAGATTGGTATAATAATTTCTTTAGCGGATGTTCCCAAAAATTCATTCATTTTTAGTTTTTACGTCAGTCCCACCATAAAAGACCAAAGTTATTCTTCATATTATATCCATTACGCGTTCAACATCTAAGCAAGAATGTCAAACTTTTTAGCTTCCTTGAGCCACATTTGAAGAAAAAAAATTGTCTCGGGCTGCACATGTAATATCCTAATTCTAACGGTAGTTGTTAAGCAAAAAAGATAGTAAATAATGTACAATTATGATAACTACCACGACAAATAAGCAAAAATGTCGTAGCATAATAATCTTTGTCTTCCTTTCGTTCAGAATTTAAAAAAAAAAATCTGAATCCGCGGGTTGAACTTTGGAATGTGTTATCTGAATTTACATAATATGTTATACCCTTTTCATTTTGCAGGTAAGAAGCTTTACGAAAATGATACTTATACAGGACCGAAGGTCGGCAATGTCTGCAACCTGACAAACTATAATACCGCGCCACGTGGCTGGGATCAGTCTTTGACATTCTATCGACCAATAAAGTTTGAAAAACCACAAGAAGTTGTGTATTCTGACTTTTAGACATAGTGTATTTAGTAAATCGCCACACCTGGGTATGTTTCTGACAGTGTAAATATACTTCTTGTTTCCTTTTTTAATGTTAATATAATTTAAAACAATATATTACAGAAGATATGTACACCGCTGAATATTGAAGTTTGCAATTATGAAAATGTAACAGCGTAAAAGAAATTTTTTCCGAAATTTATGGTGCAATTACGGATTTGTTTTCCGAGCATCGTAACGCAGGTTGTTTTGATTTTCTTCCCCTTTTGTTAATTCGTTTTCGTTATTGTTTCATCATATATAACTGTAACGAATTTCGAAAATAATGCTGAAGTTCTACGTTAAGTATCATACATATACGTATATGCGCACATGTTAAAGCTTCGTGTTGTTTGATGTATCTACCTCTTCCATTATTAAAATGTTGATTTTTAATTATGCCGCTGACAGTGTTATTGCATTTTACTTTATAAAGTATTAATATTATATTATTATATGAATAAATGTTGTTTTCATAATGTCTGGCGTTTTTTTTAAATGACACGTTTATTTCATAACTAGCCATTTCACCAATATTATTAATTTGAATATTTTTTTGAGTTGAATTTTAAACAAAACACAATATGCGGGTTTTCTTGAAGAACCTATTCTCTAAATTTCACATCTCCAACTTTAATGGATTTAGAGACGGTTATCCTATGAGAAAACAATTTACTCCCTTTTCACCTCTATAAGGGTTGAATTTCGAAAAACGTTCAAACGTGTTTGTTTATTTTTAACTAGTAGTTTATATGCCGAACTTCGCGTATATAACTTTAGCGACTCGTAGGATACTGATATCCCTTTAAAAATAAACTTGATCCCCTTTTACCCCTTTAGGGTCTGCATTGTAGTATGTGAGCGAATGTAGTATAGGTTGGGGTATGTGAGTGAATGCGATATAGATCAGTCGTGGGTACATACACATACATATGTATGATTCTAGATGAGCAGGGGAGCTTTTCAAGAGTAAAATGCAAATGACATCTGTTTAGTTTCGTTATTTCTTTTTTATTTTATCTCCACTTACTGTTACATTATGCCTACCTGACATTAGAAACTATTTATACATTTTTGTTACACTCATACATTTTCACTCCTTCCAATAGGTATACTATGCCGATTCTGGATTTCGGATCCAACGGAAATATTGATCACGCTATTGCCTTCGCACCTAAAGCAGACCAAACCTTCGGCTCCAACGGAAAGTTCTCACGCTATTGCACGCGCAAATGAGACGGACCTGACATTGAGAGAATATTTTTTTAGATAAAAATTCTTTTGTGAAGGTCGTTTTCGTAAAAGTCGGTGAAAACTGCCTACTTTGACGCTCTGTATCTTTTAAACAATTTCGAAACCAGCGAAATGAGGACTAAAACCCCCCTATTTTCACATGGAATGCAACATATTTCAATCTGAGCAAAATCCCAGACATCGTGTACAAAAGTGATCCACTTGGTGTGAAATGACCTGTACTATTGAATATCTTTATTTCGCATAACCCGTTTTGTATACACATATCATTGCTTTCCATAAATAAGTAAAAATGATCTAGAAACATTGCATTATCATTACTATTTTGGAGATTATATGTATTATAGAATGGAATGAAACTGTATGGGGAACACATTCTCATGATATTGAAGCTACAAAATTAAACTACTTGTTTTCATTAAGACATCATGGTCTTGCCACGATTATCTAACAATAAGTGATATAAATCAAGATGGTAATCATAAATTTTAATTTGTAAAAAAATCAAACTGAAGTGGCCCGTCAAAATAATCTTTAATTAAATATTTATCTATATTATTGTCATTTAAATAATATCATATATTTACGTATTTTTCCATTTACAGGCTTTCCATTACTGGACAGACAATATTCAATCAAATCGTGGAATATAATTATTGCAGAAATGGGTTACGTACATACAGTAGAGCAAAGTTGGGCAAAATTTAATGGAATTAACGATTAACAATTACAATTGAATTACAAATTTTAGATTTCGATTAACGATTATCTACTAAAATTCTCTTTGTCGTGACTTCAATATCTGAGCTTTTTCATGTGACTTTGGCTCATTTTTTGTCACTCGCGGCCAAGAGTCGATGCAGTTGACGATAAAGTTTTTGAAAGAAGATGAAACCTGTTAATCTGTGAGCCATGAAACAATAGTAACGTTTAAAGGCAGGTCTGCACTCGTTGCACAGATTTGGACTTGCTTTAAATATATACAGTGATGAAGATTTTTAATTTTTACTTCTTTCTTCATGAAACTTTGATTAACATATTTCTAACATTTTTCTAATCAAAATAATGCCAAACGCAACATAATTTAATCGCCAATCGCTCATTAAAAAATATTAATCGTCAGTTAATATTCGTTTTAATTTTTAATGACAATTAACTAAGAATTTCGATATAATTAAAATTCCAATTGAAATTATTTTCATCACAGTTATCGGTTGAATCTTGGAATGTTATAGTGGAGTACTATGTTCCCCCTTCGTTTTTGTATCAACTATTCCTCAGTGGTGATAGCACTTTGGTCTTCGTGGTTATTGTTAACCTTGTAAGAGAAGAAGACCATCCTACTGGAGGTCTAAACTTATTTGAACCAAGTGTGTTATTAAGTCGCGGCAGTATCAAATCGATACAAGTAAATACGACTACATTACTGGATACTTTTGTTTCGATACCGAGTACATTTGGTATCGTTACGTACGGTTGCGATACCAAGTAATAGGTATCGAAAAAAAGTACTCGTATCGAATGGAGTAAATGTCGACCCATCAATATATAGTATTGTAATTATTTTCAATACAAAACAGTGTTGTTTATATATCAATAATTAAGCAATCGGCATTTAAATATTTTCAATATCAGAATAATATACGTACCTATGTACATGATATGTTTAGGTGTGAGCTTTCAAAAATAGTATTTTCAAATATAGAACAAGTTTTCCCACATTGTTTCCTGTAGCATCCTGCATGTTTGACATAATCTTGTTTAATATATGCATGCTACCTCCTCAATGAAATGTTTTACTATTTAAATTCAGCAAATTTAATTCACTCGCGCAGTCAAAGACTGCGTTTTCCGTTTCAGTTTCTATTAAATATTTAATTTAATTTTATCATTTTTCTAAGTACAACATCATTGTCTTGTTATACATATATTCTATATTTGACTAGGCTTATTTTTGCAATATAAGTACTTAGAAAGATGGATTGGTTTGGTTTGTCTAAATATTTTTCGGGCCGCCTTGCGTCGCAATTCTTATGCCCCAAGTTGAATATTTTCAGAATATCTCGGAAACTAAGTATGCTTGTACAAATAATATCTGATAATCTGATGATATGTATATCATATATTACATACATTGTATATACTTTATACATATATGTTTATGTTTTATATTAAAAATTCAAATAAATATTTAAAGTATAGTACTGTATTTTATTTTCTCTCAAGGTATAAACAACCTTTATGTTGGGTATCAAGTTTAGGAAAATATAATTCGATACTTTTGTTTCGATACCGAGTAAGTATCGATACCTTCATACAATACCAGCAATGTGTACAAGTATCGATACCAACCTTAGTATCAACCTGCTGCGCCCCTCAGAGTTACACGAGCGGTTATACTCAGTACACGAAGTATAAATATTTTGATATTTTCATTTGACTGTCAAATTAATACAAACTATTTATTCAGAGATATAAGATACATATTATACAACGTAAATATACTTCATATACGTAAATTTCATGTATATTAAACTAATTAAATTAATTTTTTAGCGGGCGCTGACGGGTACAGTGAGAAAGCAGTTCAGTTTATAACGCGAACCACTAGTTTATTATTACTGTTACTGTTATTATTATTATTATGAAGCAGGGCAGCAGATTCTTTATTTCATAATAAATGGGAAGTAATTATACGCATATAAAAATATAACACAGGCACTTACAACAGAAAAATAATACATATATTGATTGGACAAAACTGGAGCAATTGTTTTATTATCTATGATCGATAACTCACTGAAGATTACATATATTAAGTACATATATTATAGGTACAATGTTCATGAACAATTGAATACCGCGTTTATTCAGTTCGCCTGAAAAACCTGAAAAAACGTTAACAACTTTTTTTGTTAGTTCCAGAAGATACATAAATAATCAAAAATCATTAAACAAAGCACGCTACTAAAAATATCGACGTTTGATGATAAAACAGATATCATATCATTACACTATATGTATTATGTAATATTAAATTTATTTACGTGCACCTACTTAAAAAATTATTGAATCTATGAGAAGAATGTTTACGACCGCAATGATCAAAAGCAGCTTCTAATTTTATTTAAAGTAACTGAAAATTCACATACTTAAGAGGTCTCCCTACTGTGACAGGTCAAAAAAAGACGATTTTTTTCTTTTTTACATTTTCTCAAGGCTTAATATTTCAAAACCGTAATCCCAAAAGGATTTCGCCCGATTCGAAATAATAAGGAAGTTATTGGCTTTTAACCGAAGCGGCGCGCCGCGGCATTCAGGTTCTAATCGAAACTTTAAACGCGTTTTTCTCAAAACGACATTTTTGTAATTGACTGCCACGATATCTGAGAAACTATTTGACGGAGTCACTTGAAACTATGTAGGCATTTTCAGTAGGTGCATAGTTCTCTCTCGTACTAGAATGGAGTTGATATTTGCAAAATTCGAATTTTGCAACTTGAAAAACAAGCGACTTTTTTCGCGAAAATCGGCACTATTCTGTAAGACTCCACCATTTTGTTATTTTTCAATATATTTTATTGCGATAGCCACGTTCATACAAATGAAGAATCTTTCTCAATTTTTGATGTGAGATAACGTGTACAGCTGACATAATGGCAGCCATGGAGGCACTTTTTCTTTTAGGCAATCCGGGAAAATTACAATAACTTTTAATCTGTACTACATTTTCAAATGAAAAAAATGAAGCTTATCCTAATAGTGTACACAAATTCGTATAGTTTTTTCTACAAAATTTCCTGAATTTCGCCTAATTTTGGACTCGTCACAGTAGGAAGACCCTTTAAGAATTACCTACGTAATACTTTTCACCCGTACACGCTAAAATGAAAAGAATTAAATCTCCAATTGAGAGAATTATGATGTTCACACATTTCAATATTAACAAACTCCTTACAAAGTAATTTTTAACGTACGAAAACTGAAGAATGCATATTTCCGACTACTTTACGAATTGAAAGCATCAGAAAGAAAAATCATTTCTCGTAACAAATACATGTATGTTACACTCAATTCTTACAATAGTTAGCTAGCTAAATGTATAGGAAGCAAATGTGATAAATTACCAATACTTTGACCACCCTCGATGTTTTGTTCTCAACAATGTGTATCAATATGCAGTGGTAACCAGATTATCTTTTCTCCACGACGCAATCGCAGTAACGCCCGTTGTAGACAAGCAGTATGTATAAGTACAGAGAAGTGGACGATTATATCATTAGTTGTGACTGTACGCATCCAGCAGTGATCGGTAATGTTGTGGTCCGCATTCCTTCTTCCATTTCTTCTCCTCCCACTGCTCTTCTCCGATGGAGACGCTGCGAGCATACCGAAAAAAACGAGCAGCAAAACATGCGGCTACGAGGTATGTTAATAAACTTAATAACTTTGATTACTAGACTGCGATTTTTCTTAACAAACGTAACTTCCTATAGTAATCCATAAGGACAAGAGCAAATCTAGGATTATATTTTTTGTCTTGCGTATTATCTTCTGGGGATCGGAATAAAATAGAAAATTCGTTGCATCTGACGAAAGTTTTCCCTTTCACTGTATTCCACAGAGCCCCATAAATGCATAAAATTCGTAGTCTACACTGTTCAACAAATTTTAACTTTTTTCGACCTTCTAACCTTCAATAGGCATTTCTAATAGATCTTTCTGATCTAAATTTCAGTTTCAAAAAAAAAGATAAATTTTTAAAACATTGCAAAGTTTCAAATTTGTATGTGTGTTGACTTTTGACACAAAATAATACTCTGAACTCTCCTGAACAAAATTATGTAAATTGTTATTACATTATAGACATCTAAATATGTTTAAATAATGATGAAAGTGAGAAGGACACCAAGCACGCACCAATTTTTGCTGATATTCTTCAGTTTATTTGAAAAACTAAGAATTTGGGAGAAAATCTAACTGCAGCATGCAATAGAGCAGATCTTTCTGCTGCGAAAGTGTCAACGGACGTTTCAAAATCTGTTTTGTTTTCAATACAGAGACGAAATAGTTCAGCCAGCGACTACAGGTATAATAAGACTACGGACGCTATTGTTATCAATGGGTTGTGGATTTTGGATGCCTTGAGAACCCCAGAGTGAAGTAGTTTTTGAAATAAATTGAAGAATATCAGTAAAAATGGCTGCGCTTTCGGTGTCCTTTTGATTTTGAATATTATTTGAACATATTTAGATGTCTATAATATAATAACAATTTACATCATTTTGTTTTGGAGAGTCCGGAGAATTGTTTCATGTCAAAAGCAACTAAATATAATTATTACTGTAAAAGCACAACGCACTTTGAAATTTGAAAATTTTCAGTTTCTAAAGAAAAAATTAATTTTTTCAAAATCTAGCCGTGCTGGGAAAAAACGATTTGCAGATTCGTATTCAACTCATAGAGATCTGTCAAAAATGTTTATTGAAGATTATAAGGTTTTTCAACAGGTTTCGGGAACTGAGGATAAAAATTTCAATTTTTCTTCTGTTGAAAAGCAAAGTAATTGGAGTTTGAACATAGACAAATTTTTAAAGTAGTACGACATGACAGTTAGTAATAATTTTGGGTTTAGTGATTACTAGACTGCACATTTTATGTATTCGTGACGTGTAGAATGGAATGAAACAGAAACTTTCACTAAGTGTAATGGATTTTATATAATTTTTGAAATTAAGAGATTTCTTCACTGATAAAATAAATTTTTCTTTTACTTTTGTAATGTTTGTGAATGTTTCGACACCGTAAACTTGTTGTACAATAAGGTTACTTACAATTTTTTCTGCACTTCAACCACGTAATAAAATATTCAACAAATAAAATCAACTTCATACAACACATAACTGAATCAGACATGTTTATTTTCTTAAGTTTTGACATTGTAGAGCGAATGTATACAATTAATACAAACAACTGCCAAGACTTTAAATTATTTCCAAAAACATATATTGTACATAGAATAATCGAACAGTCTAAAAATGCACAGTAAGAGTTTGTTTAAATGTTTTCACATTATAAGTATTAATCAAAAACTAAATGTCAATGACTAACTTAATATTAACATGTTTTCATAAGATTGCGCCTGAAACAAGTCTATTTAAATAATAATGAAAGTCAATTTGTCTCGTCGTTTCAAGTTTCAATTAACTTGATCATGATTAGAGGCTACGAAACTAAAAATGACTGAATAAAATTCCATGAAGTTTTGTATGTACAAGTGTATCATAAATTAAAGGATTAAATTTTCTTCATACATTTCACGAGTAGATTTAGAAAAAATGTTGTATAAACATGGACCTAAAAACTTGTTATTGCATTTTGATTTGTTTACGCAAATTCGAACATACACTATAATTTCGTTTATTCAAAACGAATGCAAGACACTTTTGTAGGTCATCCAGGAAATCATTTTGGCGATGAAATAAATTATAAATGAATGTAGATCCTACTCTCAATACGTAAATAGTTATAACACTTTAAAAATCATAGCCCCGGGCCCCATGTTCCAGGGGGGGGGGGGTGTTCTGAACCTACCATTTCGTTATGATTAAATGTTATTTACTTTTATTGAAAATGAATTTCAATTTTTTATGATTTATGTATTTTATTGTGCTGTATTACATAAAATCCACCCCTCTCCCCCCCTCCCTCCACCCCCGAAAATCTAATAGCTCTGGGCCAGAAAAAATCTTAATCCGAGCCTGGTGAACTAAACATTGTATCTTCTGAACGAGAAATAAAAAGTTATTCAAGAAAACTGAAAGAAGAATATGATCTTTTTGTACAAATGGGTATATCAACTTTTCTACCGATCACAGTATTAACACTTTAACAACAGGGCACGTCATTTGGCGTTCTGTTTGATAATGTGTAACATTATGTGTGATGTGTAAACATTGAAACAATTTTTTGTTAAACAGAAGAGAATGTCAAGTTTACACTTTTTATAAAATAAAAGAGGATACAATATACAATATGTATAGATATGTAATGAGTGAAAAGTTCTTTCACGTATTGACTGTTTCCCCAAATATATGTTACGTAACAGTGAATTATTAAACATTTTCTATGCTTAATTTTGAAACATAATGTGTAAATATATTTGTAGTATAATTTGAATAATGTTCAATAATAATCTGTAATAAACTATAAAAGCATCTTTCATATATCTTTACATGTTGATATCAATATCTGAATTAATTTAAATGAGACGACAATTTGAAGAAGATGATTAATCTTTTCTCCTATTTTCTGCAAATGCCCCCGGTAACAACAAGTCATTGTTTATAGTGAAAGCGCCTTGTCGATAACATATTGACATACATATCTTGTCTCCAACAAATTTTCATCTAATCTGGAGTTTACCTATCTCTTTCGCACGATCAGTAATTCAGAAAGTAGGGCAATTATAATAAGCGCATCGGGGTAATTTCTTTTATCCAAGATCTAATTAATCGTTGAAAAAGATAGCTATATGTATACAAGTGAATGATAATTTTTTCGATCGAATTGGTGATCATGGTCATCACTTAATCCTCGGTTACGTGAAAATAACGTTGTTACGTGAAATACATCTCTTTGTATAATTTTATTAAATATCGATATAATGTTTTTGTGAATATTAATAATTTACATGAATAATACGAATAATTTAACTTGAACGATCTTTAAGTTTTTGTAAGAAAATGTAAAATACAGATGTTTGAAAACATTGGTGTCTTTTATCTCGATACATATATTATGATACAATAAACGTTATTAGTAAAATTATTTAAACTATATTAATATTTCAGGTAATCTTTCTTGACATGTTTATTTTAATTTTTATACAAAAGTATTGAGTTTTGTTTCAGTTATAGTAATTTCTTAAAGTGTAATTTTAAATTGAAATACATAAAAACATTTAAGGTTTGTAGATGGCAGCTGCAACACAAAATGTATTAAAACGATAGTTCTCGATTCCAAACCAATCGAATCTATATTTGTATATCTCTTTTCGCTTACTTAGAATGACCTTTCAAATAATCTGTCAGAAAGTTTTGTACACGTTCTAAATTACCCTATTTGCCAACATCTAATTACCCTATTAACAATGCTTAGGCAATGATAGACTCTTGCATAAAATTGACTTTGTTTTTCTTCCAATGAAATTAATCACCACAATTTCTACTTCTAAACGATAAACACTGCTTCACCTCTCATTCGATTCGAGACAGTAATCTGTTTTACACTTTCCGTACAATATTCAAACCTTCAAATGTATAAAATAAAGAAACAATTTTTAATCTAATCTTGCATTAAAATTAAAGTACATATATCTAGACACGAGACACACAGATCCAAATTTTAGAATAAAATGTTTTTAAATATTTCAAGAAAAAGAAATGTAGAAGTTTGTGCTAGTAAACAGGACTTGGGTAATGTGTCTGTTAATAGCTTGTCATTTCTATATTGTATACTGTATAGGAATGCATGCATATCAGATGAATTTTACATTTCAACTTTCTTGGAAGCAGAGATCTATGTACAAAAAATGAATATATCACTTTCACCTTACTTTTCCATGAATAATAACCCCGCCTTCTCTTATATGAATTTGTCACCATATTTAAGTGAATGGTTCAACATGTACTTACAATAATTAGTCTACATATGTATTGCAGGCATGTACAAAGACGGATCCCAAGCAATTAAATATTCATCTAGTTGCTCACACTCATGACGATGTTGGCTGGCTGAAAACGGTGGACCAGTACTACTTCGGAAGTAAGTATATGAAATGTTATCGTCGAAATGTTCTATTTATTACAAGGATCGTTGAATATTATCCTTTTGTTTCACCCCTTTCAAGGTTATTCACTTATACAAAAAGCTGGCGTGCAATATATTCTAGACAGTGTGATTCAAGCATTGCTAGCTGATCCTGAAAGAAAGTAATTATGAATCTTTTAATAACTTTAAATCATCTAAATAGTGACTTTTTACTCTAATATACCTATTTTTACATTAAATAATAATAACGTTTACCATATTATACGGCGGATTACCTCATCCTTATCTTATAGTACGTATACTACCGTTCAAAATTTCAGGAATTTAAAAAGTTCAGGAGTCAAAACGCTTGGGGTGAAAGTAACATTGTAAATAATTCAAAATCTCTTATAGAGAAAGTCTGTAATACTTTTTGCGTAATCGTAGTTTAAAGTGAAATTGTTGGTTTCGACCCCTATCTGCCATACTATAAAGGTGGATATAAAAACAAAATTCATTTTTATCAAATTTTTGTCTCGTCAAAATACTCATCTTTATTCTTAATAACTTCCAAAGAAATTTTGGGTAGCCTGTTTATTAATTTCTTTTAAATATTCTTTATCTATGTTTTCCCATTTTGCATTAAGATACTGTAATAAGAGAATACGCACATCAGCAATTTTCGAAAAAATAGAGAATTGTTGAGAAATATGAAATCAGAAAAAGAAATTCTTCAGTAAACTTTTATTACAGGCGGTTACTTATAACTAGACTGCGGATTTGATGCATTTATAGCCTATAAGGCTCTGTAAAATACAATAAAAGACAGAACTTTCAGTGGATCTAACGAGTTCTCTATTTCATTTAGAACCCACCCGGATAGCACATGATACCTTAAAGACGTCTATTTTAGGTCTAAGTCGTCTAAGCCGTCTTCAAAGCGTCATGTGCTATCTGGAAATAAGGCACTTAAGAGACATTTTCCATAAAAACCCGCAGTCTACTTATCTCTTTAGGGTTAGGTGGGTTAAAAACTACCCCACCTTTTGCTTAACTTTTTATGCATGGTGGGATATATTTTAACCCACCTCGAAAAGTTGAAGTTACTCATAGTCATACAGTTTAATATTTTATTTTTATATAATTTCTTTTATATTAAAAAAAATTCTGTGCAACTAGAATTTTTATTTTCTTTGAAATCGTGTGCCTCAAAGAGTTAAAACACATAAGTATACTAAAAGATCATTTGTTTACCTAAAAAAAATTCATTACGTTAGGTTCATGTATGTAGAGACAGCTTTCTTATGGAAGTGGTGGTTGCGTCAAGATGAAAAAGTCAGAGAAGATGTCAGAAATCTAATAAATGAAGGAAGATTAGAAATTATTAGTGGAGGATGGAGCATGAACGATGAGGCAGTCACTCATTACCATTCCATCGTCGATCAGTTCACATGGGGCTTCAGGTATGGAACTAAAATTTAAATACAAATTAGCGAATATTCCAAGTAATGTAAATTAATTATTCAAGATCATTCAAAGTTACATAAAAAAGTGGTTCCATTTAAAAAAATGAAAGTGAACTTAATATATCTAAAAAAATTATATAAAACCAAAAATTTGTTTGGCATCGTGTGAGCCCCATTGAATCATTCAACTTTGTCCTTAAGACATTTGACGTATCTTTAAAAACAACAAAGATATTTGAGGTGCAAACGTTAGATGACTCACCCTGTATACAAAGAAAATCAACAGGAAACTAGAGCCCTAAGTTGTGGAATATTTTCTGGGACACTCTAATGAATAATAAATGAACACTGAAATTTTATTTCATTTTATTCGCTGTTGAAACTCTACTTAACATTTTTCAGAATTTTATTAAATTGTAATGGGTCACAATAGTTATAAAGGAATGAAATTATACTTTTATAAAATGGTTATTTATCGTAATATACTTTGTTACACATTTTTACTCTAAGAAATTTTTATATTAAAATAGTTATATTGAGCTTATTTCTATCGACACAAATAGACTAACAGTAACATATGCTTACCAAAGTTTATATAACGTACATATTAAGGGATGATGTATTGTAGCATTTTTTGTTTTTATTTCAAACGTATAGTACACAATAATGACCAAGGGGGACGTTAATGTGGTAATAAAAATGAGTGCAATTACATAGTCAGAAAATACATGTTGAAATCATTGACAAATTTTTTTACAGATTTACACTATATAAAACGATAAAATTAAGAATAATGTCAGTAAATATAGCTTATCGCATAATAGTTTTTGACAAACCAGACACGTGAAATTATACGAATGAATTATAATTACAGATATCTTACCACAACAAATTATAATTTTTCGTCTATTCCACATGGAACATTTATACATACATAAAAAGGTTAACTATAGTATGTATTATAACTGAATAGTACTATACATATGTATTAGGATAAATCTTATTTTCAACTACTGAACTTCTGAGTTCCAATTAATAAAGAAATAATTCGTGAGAAATGTAAGCTTGATCGGATAAGGGGAAAAGGGCTCCTAGGCCCTTAAACATTTAAATAATTATTTAAACGCACACAAAGTTGATTTTACTCGATTATCCTACAAGTCATTGATTATAACAGAAAACAAGTCAGACAAAAGTTGTAGATCTAGACAAGGAGCATCTTTTAGGCTCTACTACTTTTTTCGTGCGACAAATGGTTTTCGTAAACAAAATTTTAAAAAGTCTGGAAAAAATTGAAAAGAATTTTGTTAACTTTGAAAATTGAAATGTGCCTTGATCGTTTTTTTCAAGAATTTTATTTGAACGCTAATTATTTCGTGTATAATATATTTCCTATGTAAATGTTTACAGACGACTTAATGATACATTCGGAAGTTGTGCAAGACCAAAGATAGGATGGCAAATAGATCCCTTCGGTCATTCTAGAGAACAAGCTTCAATCTTCGCTCAACTGGGATTTGACGGCATGTTTCTTGGTCGTCTTGATTACCAGGACAAGAAAAAAAGGCTTAGAGATAAAACAATGGAGTTCATCTGGAAAGGCAGTCCAAGTTTGGGTAAATCACCCTTTTTTAAACACCTACAATGACAGTCCCTTTCATTAAGAATTCAGCGACTATAATTATTCAAGATCATTCAAGGTCACGGAAAAAGGGTGGGTTTATTTAAAAAAATGAAGGTGATCTAGGTATCTTTAAAAAAAATTGACATAAAAATAACATTTTATTTGGCATCGTGTGAGCCCTATTGAACCATTTAACTTTGTGCTTGAGACATTTGACATTGATCTTTAAAAACAACAAAGATATTTGAGGTGCAAACGTTAGGTGACTCATCCTGTGTATAGAAGTGCAGAAATTAGATAGACTTGAGCTATTGAAACAGTCCAATTTAACAAGGAAAGATCCACAGAGGGAAACATTTTTTTCGTTCAAACTGGCATGAATTTGCAGAGAATTGGAAGTGTTTGAAAAATGGACTTGAATTCCATGGTTAATTATTTATTTTCCAATTATTTTATTCAATATAAAAAAAAAAGATATAATAAGGAAATTATGTAGTTAGATCCATTTTCAAGGCTGTTTGTGGCGGACATTGCGGTTACTTTTCTGGTCGATATTGAATTTTCTCAATAAACGACGCCGAGTCCTATAATTTCCAATCATTCTTTCAAAACAATTTAGCATCTGGTTAACTTCCTCTGTAAGAAAACTTTCACCAGTCGATGAGATATATGTATAGCTTTTGATGAAGAAATTGTATGTACATTATCCATAATTAAAAATCATCGTAAGACGATGCTTTAAAAAAATAAAAAATACTATTTATGTTAGCGTTAAAAATACAGTTATTACTATTGAGGCTTTCGTGTATAAGGCGTGCCCAGGTGGAATTTTTTCTCAACATTTCGCAACCATTGCAACTATGTAGATAGCTTCATCAAGGGGACACGGCTTATACACGAAAACCTCAACAGTAATAACTGTATGATGTCGGGCCAAGAGGACCTGAACATTAAAAATATTAAAAACTTTTGGATATCGCACACACATACATTTGTCTTCCGAATTTTGTTATAGGATCTCGCGGAGACTTGTTCACGGTTGCACTATACAATACTTATTCACCACCGCCTGGTTTCTGTTTTGACGTTCTGTGCAACGATCAACCCATAGTTGATGACCCTGCTAGCCCGGATTATAACGTTGAGGAAAGGGTACGTAGCACATTATACAATCATTCCAGGCGAAATCGGACACTTTTTGGAGTAACATTTCGGATTTTGTTGACACTTGGATACGTTATAGTCTTTAGTGATATAGAAATGTATCTCGAAGGATTTTTGAAAATTTTTAAAGTAGTTAATGTTTGAAATATAGTGTTATTACATTTATTGATTTTTAAAGGACTAAATAACTTAATTTATTTATTTATGGTATTTAAATTTATAAATGAAAGAAATTATAATTTGCAAAAACTGATTCAAATGCAACAGGAGTATTCATTGACCGTACATTTCCTTCCTTTTTGCCGCCTGTATGTATTGTTGAACGCAATGCCAGTGTCTTAACTATAATTAAAAGTTCAATTCACAAAACTGATGCAAATATTTTCAAATTTTTTTTAATTTATTTGAAATTAATATTCTGTTTATATTTCTATATTGTCTTGGCATTTGCACGTGTCTTTTCGTAATTACAAATATGAGTTATTATTGACTGATAACTGTACCTCTTATGGAACAGGTTAATAAGTTTTTACAATACGCAGTTCAACAAGGCGAAGCATACCGCACAAATAACGTCATATTAACAATGGGAGGAGATTTCACTTATCAGCAGGCGGAAATGTACTTCGTTAATATGGACAAATTAATAAGGTACTAAATTCACTAAACGTAGATTAATTTCGTTAAGTAATCACTGTCGTACGGTTCACATCAAGTTGCGGAAACAAAGGAAGGAAAAGGTCTAAAAATTATAATATATACTTAATTCTATTGGTAAGTAAAATATAATGGGTACCGACAGGTCGAACAGTTTTTGTCCTTTGCACAACGCCAAGCCTCAGCCTACAAGACTAATAACATTATACTCACAATGGGTGAGGATTTTAATTATCAACATGCTGAAATGTGGTTCACTAACTTGGACAGATTGATCAGGTAAAGCACAAATGTTTCAAAATTCTACGGACACGGAACTTTTATTCGTCCTTTTTTAATTTTTGTTTTAATTCGTCGTTAGTTCAGCCATAAGAATATAAGATTCAGAGTATCATCATCTTCTTTCAAATTCAAACTGATGCTGACATTTTAATAGTAAAAGTGCAACGTGTAATTTGTTTTAATCAATTATACTTTTAAATAGAATGCATATTATTACTTTATTAACACTCCATATATTAGTCATACTAGAATGTACATACTAAGAGAAATGTTATAAATAAAGAGCGCGAAAGCTTGTGGTACTTTAAACATAGAATTTGGTGAGAAAAATATGGGAATGCATCATAAGTAATTTAAACTGCACAAGGTTAAAGGTCGATGAATGAAAATAAAATAATAATAATGAAAGTACTTACATTTAAGAACGATTGTCAAAAATAAAAGTGAAGAATATATAGGATGTTATACAATATGTATTTATTAGAGTCATGGATGTCTATTATCCATATCATTGATAGTCAGTTGGAATTTGCAGATATAGTTAAATATTATTAACACTCACTTTTAAATATAAACGGACCGATCAGAAGATCGAAAACCACAAAAAATTTATTTCTGCTGTCTTATGATTCTATTTACTTTTCTTGTACAATTTTTTGTAATTTGTAAAATTTTATTTACGCCAAGTGAATGGAAGTGATCGCCTGGGAATACGTATAATGATGGCACTTTCTACTGCTTTAAAAAAAATAACTATATGCACGACTTTTACCCAACTATATCCGTAACAAAAAAAGAGAGTCAAACAAACAGCTCTAACGATCGCCTAAAAGTTCGTGCTTCTTATTTGATATCTTTTCATGGATAGAGAAGCACTGTAACATTAAATTATAACGTTTGACTGGCCAAACTAACAATGCAGATCATATTTAATTTATCAGTCGCAGTTGATTATCTTAATTTATTTCTTATTATATTAATAGAATTTTATCTCATCGTACATACTCTACCAAATCTATATTTGACAAGTTCATTAATAATATAAAATAAGAATTTTTCACTCGATTAATGGTAACAATGCAGCAACTGGTTATTTGAAATAATTTGTATGGTAATTTCTTATTTGTTTATTCTTTTTTTTATTAATTCCCCGGATAATTTACAATTTGTTTTTTACAAACATTAGGTAAATTGTTAGATCAGTTGGATGTGTTTTGTGTAGCCTTTCTGTAATATCACAGTGGATTCTAACTATATTGGCACTAAACATATTGCCACGCGAGGGACTTCCCCTTCAGACGTACTAAAAACGCCATTAAATAAAATTGTCAAGAATCTATAGCTAATAGCTTTAAAGGAAAATTTCTTAACACTTCTGAAAGACTCAGTGCCCAGGAGCCTTCGAACACTCAACAAGGATTCACTGTACATGAAACTGATGAAAAAATTAACTTCATATTATTACTATCGTTTAGCACTCTACGTTAGTCATTAGGTCTATGACTCAAGCATACTTCTTTATTTTATATTATCATAGATACATACGGGAACGAAAGGATTCTAATGTGAATATATTTTACTCGACACCTTCGTGCTACATGAAAGCGGTACACGATTCGAATCTACAATGGTCAACGAAGAGTGATGACTTCTTCCCATACGCGAGTGATGGTCACTCCTATTGGACTGGCTACTTCTCTTCCAGACCAACAATAAAATTCTTCGAACGAATGGGAAATAATCTTTTGCAGGTAAAAAAACACTGTATTTGCAATTAGACATAAATGGATAAGCGAAACATAGCAATATCTGTGAAATGAAAATAATATTGTAAGTATTTGTGTCTGTGTTTAGTATAAGTAAACATAATTACTAATAAATAGACACATTGGTCAGTTCTATATAGAAGTGCGCGTACTCAAAAATTTAATTTAATCGAAAAATAAGTTCTTATGAAAAAAAATGTGGAATTTTATTTTTCTCGCATTTATCGAAGATTTCATCACACTCTGTTTAATTTTGATTCTAAGAGAAAATATTTAGTTTATAATTTCGTATAGACACATGGAGTTGAAAGGTGATTAAGAAGTAAATAAAAAAATCTAAACAAAGTTCTATCTCAAAGAATATTTCAAATTGTGCAATTAGTTTTATAATGAAAGATTAATGGGACAATATTTTTTTTCCATTTTCAGATTAGTAAACAGTTGTCCGTATTGACTGGCTTGAAAGGATACGATGAACAATTACAACATTTCCGCGAGGCAATGGGTGTAATGCAACATCATGACGCAATAACTGGGACCGAAAAGCAACTGGTTGCTAACGATTATGCCCGCTTATTATACAAGAGTATGGAGCAAGGAGCAGATATTGTTTCTACAGCAATAAGGTACTGTAAATATTTTCTTCAGTAATATATTCAATTAAACATACATATGTGCATAAATAATTTTCAATATGTTACAATTTTGAGCATGTAACGCTATATGTATATTCACGAAAATAACAAACAATAATATTTTAGTAGATATTGCTTGTTGCCCGAATACAGCCCGAATACCAATATCTTTATCAAAGCTCTTTTTTGTTAAGAGAAATATTAGACAAATGTTGATATACTTTTATATGTATATGCATGGAATTAGTCTTAGACATTCTCAGTTATTACTAGTGATTACAAAACAATTTGTTTCTATTAAAATATAAATATAATTTGTAAGAACGATAGAGATTTTGAGATTTAAGGAGCCAAGAAAACTCGCGTGAACTGTGGTATGTCTTTTCACTTCACTTAAGAGAAAATGTGGTATAAACAAAAAACAAGATTTCCTGTGCATAATAATGGTTCTGTTGTTACGTCCCGCGTTGCGGTCGTTACTTTCTTTATAATTACGGGTCCTGGCTCTTTTAAGGTGCTAAGTGAAGTACGCAGATAATAACAAAAATATATTCTAACAATCAAATAAATAAAGATACAAATAAATCATACCGTACCAATGATGATGAAGATGAACGATAGATTCGTTGACGCTTTCAATCGGTTCGTTCGGGATTTCGGGTCCTTGAAAGGGTGGAAGAGTCGCTGACGCTCGAAGCTGTTACACAGGGTCTACATAGGCATTACGGGATACGTTGTCGCCATCTTGGACGTTGCACTTCGCAGTCCGATGTCTTAGAAAACTCGCCTGTAGGTAGTGATGGGATTTGGAACGCTTCGAATCGATTCGAAACTGTCTTGAATTCGAGCGACAAATTCGAATCGCTTCGAATCTGATTCGAAGCTACAAAAGTCTTGAAAGTCTTGAACGGATTCGACGTTCCGAGGCGATTCGAAGTCTCGAGCGGCTTCGAAGTCTTGACCAGACTCGAAGTCTTGAACGGATTCGAAGTTTTGAGCAGATTCGAGTCTTGAACGGTCTTGGAAATCTTGAGCGTTTCGTAATTTGTAAGTCTTGGAAGTGTTGAGATGTTTTTATAGGTTATATTATTATTCAATATCTTACAGGTTACAGGTTACAGGTGCAGGCTTTTTGATTACTTTTATTCAAGCAGTATCATTGATATAAGGTATTAAACAATAGTTGGAAATTTCGAATTATCATAAATACATTTATTGTTCTAATTATTTATTTATTTTTTTTTTTGTGGGAATTGAGGAATGTGAGAAAGGAAATGTAAAAAAAGTGAAAACATTTCCCAATGAATAAGACACAATTTGTGAAGAAATAAGGTTATTGCTTATATATATTATTTATTGAATAACAAAATCGTATTTAAACTTAACATAACGTGGGATATAGTTGAAGGGAAAATATCAAACAGTAGTGATTTTCGGAAAACTGTATATGTAAATGTTATTAAGTAAATACAGCAAATTTGACTAATTTATTCAGTATTTGCATAGTACTTAATTTATTACTTTAGTCTATTAATACCTTATTATTTGTTTATTATTACATACGTTATTATGTAGTATGCTATTAGTCTATTACATCATGTTTTGTTGAAAATAGTAGTTTAATTAAAAATGTAAATTTATAAGTTCATGATTCTTAAATGTGTTCATTGTTTTTAATTATTGAGAAAGAAAGTAAAAATTCATTTATTTCAGTTTTCGTTGATATATCGGTTTCGGTAATACTGGTTTGGCGATATATTCGGTAATACAATTACGTTCGTTACATAAAAAAAATATTTCGGTATCACTTTGTTGGCATAATGCCGGTACTAAAATCACACCGACACTAAGTTTCTTCCCTGAACTGTCCCTAAAACCTCATATTTACAAGACTAAAAATTTACTCTCCGATGTCGGCTGGCCCGTACGCGTCTGAAAAATTTCCGTCACTGGGCAAACGATACGGCATGAAGCCGTCTCTTTAAAAAAATTCTCTCTCATGGCACGGATGTGGCATGGCAGGATAAAATTGCATTTGCAAGTTTGGCAAGATTCGGATATTTTATTATATTATTCTTCCAGTACTGCAATGGATCTGACAATCTATTAATATAACTGTCTGATAAACGTGTGGCGTAAATGGAAAGACTGCAGGATGTAAGAATGCGTGTGAGAGGGCGAATGCCCTAATGTTTAGGTTAGAAGATAAGAGGCACGGACGGTTGGCTCAAGATTTCCAAGACCGTTCAAGACTCGAATCCGCTCAAGACTTCGAATCCGTTCAAGACTTCGAATCTGGTCAAGACTTTCAAGACTTTCAAGACTTTTGTAGCTTCGAATCAGATTCGAAGCGATTCGAAGTTTTCGTCCGTGTACAGATTCGAAGCGTTCCAAATCCCATCACTATGTACAGATTCGAAGCGATTCGAAGCGTTCCAAATCCCATCACTACCTGTAGGTAGTGATGGGTAATCGATACAGCCCGAGCCGAGCCGAGCTTTAGAGGGGGAAGCTCGGTTCGGCTGGAGCCGTATCGATACCGGTTGACATCATCGTTCCACCCTAAGAAACGCTGGCGACGGGCCTCGGCGAGGCGAGATGTTATTATAAGATAACTCTACGCGCCGAGGCTTCGCGTGCCAGAGCCTCGTGTTTCGGCTGTCACCTCATGAAACTGTCATTTCGGCCGGTTTGACCAACCGAGCCGAGCCGGTGAATCGAAAGCTTCCGATACAGCTCGAGCTGCTCGGCTCGACTACCCATCGCTACCTGTAGGCCGCACGTAATCGCGAGGTCGCGTCGCGCAAGGAAGAGATATCGTCGCGAAAACCCGAAACTGAACAGCTGAATGACCGTTATCACTCGGCTCGCTGTCGCGTGTAAGAGATTGGAGCGAAGCCTGACTGTCGAAGAGCGAACGAACTTGCCGTTGCAGAAGCAACACACGAGCCGAAACTGAAGAGATAAAAAGCCGAAATTGTCGTGAAATACAATGAGAGCAGTTCCCGGTTTTGAAGAAACGTTTTATAGGTTCTTAAAAGGTTCTTAACACCCCCTCTTCCTTTGTTGGAAAGCGTGGGAGATACGGGGTAACAACAGGCTATTGTTTGCGATGCTTAGAGAATCATCGAGTCGGCGAGGCGGTCTTTGGAAATTGCTGATGTTTCCGTTCCGCTGGTCAACGTCTCGAGGAAAGTCAACTACGCGCGTAACTTCCAGGTGTCGCTGAATCGACGGTTCTCGTTCGCTCGTCGCGTTCAAAGGTGGTCGGAAAAAATGTACAAGGGAAAGACGAAATGAAATTACAGGATGTAACGCTGTAAAAAAATCCTTACAAAAGTTTTTTTAGATTTTATAGAAATTGTAATCCATCTTAAGAGATATCACTAAAATACTCCATGATTTTCAATTAAGCTCAAATTCTTCACCTTTTTTATTATGTTTTAAGCACTCGGAATATTGCCGTTGATTCGACAAAGACAATGGTCTCGAATAAAACACAAGTCTATTTAAAGTAAAAATCTATTTTAAACCAAACTCACTGCTAGTCGAAATTGTTTCTAAGATACTGAACGTTAATGTTTAAATGGAATTTAACCAAGTCACTTGACCGAGAAGAAAAGTCCAGTTTTATGTTCTTCGACCATAGTATAGGAATATATTTTTGAGCTATAAATATGAAATATGGAAATAGTATAATTCTTCTCCCAAAATTTATTCTTATCTGAGAATTTTCATTTTATTATTTTTTTTTCTTTTGTACAGAAAGTGGAAGGTAAATGGATGTCCTGTCCTTACGAAGTCATCGCAGAAAATGTATTCCTGCATGCAGTTGAACATTAGTTCTTGTGCGTATACCGAGAATCAAGACTCTATGCTCACTATCTACAATCCCTTGAGTTACAAAATCAACGTACCCATCCGCGTTCCCGTTCAAGAAGCCAATTACACCGTTATAGATATTGCAGGTATGTATGCTATCGCTAGAATATCTTAAAGTACAGTGGACTCTAACTATATTGCCATGGTCGGGGCTGTAGGGGAGTAAAATGGCAATGGGTTGAGAGCCTTTCCATGCTAAGTTTTATCGTTGTAGCCTCGACCCCAACGCCTGCGCAAAAGCAGGATTGTGCTGGTGCGCCGGCGCACGCAAAGTGGTGGGAGAGCAAATTTGTGTGCCGAAAGTACGTGTAGGGGGAAGTGCCTTGCGTGGCAATATGCTTAGTCGCAATATAGTTAGAGTCCACTGTACTGAAATAGGTATTAAATCGAATGTTAATTTGGCATAAATTTCAGTAACACCCAAAACTAAATGGTAGGAGGCCTACCTCACTTTTTCCCTTACCGGAAACCGAGCTTGCTTGTCGGTGTATAAATATAAACAACAAACATATGTGACATCAACCTATTTCAATTATTTATTATTTATTCAACAAATTAATGTACATTGAATAGATATTTTGTTGTTGTTTTTTACGAATATTCGAGTACAGGGTATCATTCCGCTTGCATACATTTTACACATGCAAGATACTACAGTGGTACTTCGACAAGAAATCTACCATTTTATAATTTATTTCACCATTGACAATAATTAGAGTGTTACGAGCTCGGGCCGTAGCAACGCGAAAAGCCGACGAGTGTAGGTTTTCCATGGGATATGGTTAATCAGTTTATCATTAACGTACAGATCATTTACAAGAAACAAAATGAAATTATTCGTTAATTATTAGGCTTACAGCTAATAAAGCTCAGTACTTTTTTACGCAAAATTTAACGTTCTTCGATATTTTGGCATAAAAAATATAGCATTTTATTTACAAAAAACTAAGTTGACCTTCAAATCTCCGAAACGCCTCCACTTGCAAAAAAAAATATATATATGCATTACATAATGTATCCCTCCAAACCATACAACTTTTCTATAAAAAGCTTTTTCATACAACGCATACTTTAGAAATTATTCGGGGTGAACAAGTTGCGTGGACCACCCTGTATAGTACAGCCGTCGCTACTTATAGAGCATAGCTTTCAGTTTCCTGTACTTTCAAATAAGAATATAGCATATGTAACGCGTATACAGGGTGTAACAAAAATGTTGGATCCCGCGGCAGCGGTGGCTATGCGCTGCGATTGGTAGCAAATGTTACCGCCGGAACTCGGCCAGCAGACTCGCGCTCTGATTGATCGGGGTTTTTCGTTAATATCTCATTAACAAAACCTCGGATAATATTTTTGCTAAGGAAAGACTTGTTTCAAATCACCTCACGAGTCTCCCACTTCCGGGTCCTCCAACATTTTTGTGACACCCCGTATACTTATACAGTAACAAGCATGTCAATTTATTGTTAGAGTAGAGTTATCATTACAGGTCTTGGGACTCGAATCATAATAATGAAACTGTTAACAGAAGTGTTCGATTTTGCGGACGTGATTACAATAAAATAATGTAGACCTTCACGAGTAACTCTTTTTGTTATGTTTTTCTTTTTCTGATTAAAACTTACGTCAGATATAGCGATTTTTACGTTTTTATGATTGTTACGTTTTCGCTTCTTTAACGCTGTTACGACGTTTGACACTTTTTTCACATAATCTTAATCTTGTATTTTCAACAATGTTCTCAGGTTTGCGAACCGTGTAACGAAATTATTACTACACTGCGGATTTTATGCATTTATAACCTATGTGTAGGTCTCTGTGAAGTACAATGAAGGACAAAACTTTCGCCAGATGCAACGAGTTTTCTATTTCCTTTTGTGTCCAATAAGATACTTAAAGGAAGAAAGAAATTTGCACTTTTGCTTTTGCCTTTATGAACAACCTTCTAAAATAGGATTTTGCATAAAAATCCGCAGTCTAATTATTATTACTGACCCGCGTGTTTCTCGTTACTCGTCATTATTTCGAATGTATAGGTGGTCTGAACACAGTGCCAGAGCTAAAGAGGTTCATTAATGAAAACTACATAAAAAATGTCAACAGAATCATATATTTATTTTCAAGATGGTTCCGATCTTACGTCACAACTGGTACCCATTCCTAATGCTGTACAAAATTTACCGGGAAGAGAAAGTGCCGCAACGCATGAACTTGTATTTTTTTGTACGGTACCAGCTTTGGGTTACAAATCTTATAAAGTTGTTCGAATATTGAAGGACACAGACGAACAATCTGCTGCTGCAGCCCCCATTAGTAACGAGGTATTAAACTGTAATCTCGTGTGAATCTTCGAAAAAAACGATTGTCGATACAATACCCAGGTATTATTTTTTTTTTTCAGTTTTACGATGTATTCGTTGACGATGATGGTCAAATCGTGGTGGAATGGAAGAAACAACAAAATATGAGTATGGTTCAGGCATTCCACTATTACGAAGGAATGACGGGAAACAATGAAGTATTTCAAAATAGATCTTCAGGCGCGTACATCTTCAGACCCAAGGGGGTTCTGAAGAATTTTACGACGAACGGGTCTTACAAAATTTATAAAGGTAATATCAAAGAGAATGATTTAAAGGAAACGTCACTGCTACTAGAACATCGAGTGTTATTCATTTTTTCGTTACAGGTCCAGTTGTGCATGAAATACATCAGACTATTAACGATTGGATTAGTCAAGTAATTCGAATTTATAACGGAAAAGAATATATTGAATTCGATTGGCTTGTTGGACCCATACCTGTTAAGTACGTGTGGATATGTATACAGGGTGTCCCACCTAACTATACCACCCTTAATTATTCTCTCATTTGTCACGATACAAAAAAATGGTTCGGGAGAAAGTTAGTGTATTTTAGGGGGCAAATTTTAAGAAATCGCCGCCCGTGTCCTTAAGGGTTAATTAAGTAAACCGTAACTTTTTATTTCTCTCTTCCTGTCGCCTATTCATAAACCCACAGTCGCTCAAAGCTATCGTTCTTCTAAAACTACGTTACTACACTTTTACACTCTTTTATTCCATTCCAACATTTTTAAACATACTCATAGAAAAATGTGAAAAATTTCAGAGATAAGATTGGCAAAGAAATTGTCACCAAATACTCCAGCACATTGGCCTCTAACGGCGAATTTTATACTGATTCTAACGGCCGCGAAATGTTAAAGCGGATGAGGAATTACCGTCCAACGTGGAACTTAAGGCTAGAAGAAGGAATATCCGGAAACTATTACCCCGTTACTTCTAAAATATCATTGAAAGATGAAGAAGAATACCTTAAGCTCAGCGTGTTAACAGACAGGGCACAAGGTGGAACCAGCATGAAGGATGGAGAGATAGAATTAATGGTAAAACTAAGATTTTTATAGACTTCCAACCGCATTAAATTTTGACCGATCAAAACTATTTCTGTAGCAACGTTTAGGAGAAGATCGTGTCCTTCATTCATGCGTGATCCAACAATTGTCGCATAGAATTGCGATTTACCCGGGAAGTAGCTTTAGATAAAGGAATTAACCCTTTGCACCTCAAGGCTCGTTCGTTATAAACAACTAAGAATCTCAAGATATGGTGGGAACGTATAAGCGTTGCTTTCCTAACAATGATTTACAAAATCTAAACAGTGTAAATTTTATTCGTTTATTTACTCTGCTTGTTAATAAACTAATAACAAATTACAGCGCCACTGGAGTGCAAAGGGTTAAAGTTAACGCTCCTTGACTTCACCTGTAAGATAGGTGGTTTACAACTGCTTATACCTGTTTATACCTAACTCAAGTAGAATTAATACTTATAAGATTGTCGCGTAATCCTTATAAACCCAACATCGTATAACTCCAATATTTATAGAGAAATCCTTAATAATATACAGGGTGTCCCACCTAACACTGCCACCCTTAATTATTCTCTTATTTGACAGGGTGGAAAAAAATGATTCGGGAGAAAGTTAGTGTATTGTAGGAGAGAAATTAGTCTATGAGATTGTAGGTTATCTCAAGGTAATATCTTGTGAGATTTCTTTTATGGTAACGTCTTTTTAAATGGAATGCCACATTTTTTTGGTTGCCATTACAAAGAGGTGATCAAAACGTATCCAACAATGTATCATACTATGACCTCGAGATGACCTTGGGCTGAAAATTTCCCACGTAACTGGTTGAGGTGGAAGCTCACAGAAAATGAATTGCAAAAACAAAATAAACGCCATAATTGCATTATTTATTATTTTAGTGTATGTTCAAAGTGTTGTCACCCCATAGTGTGATACATTGTTGGATACGTTTTGGTCTCCTCTTTGTAATGGCAAACAAAAGAATAGGGCATTCCATTTAAAATAACGTTATCATTAGAGAAATCTCAGAAGATATGACTTTGAGATGACCTTGAATCTCATAGCCTAATTTCCCCCCTACAATACACTAACTCTCTCCCGAACCATTTTTTTGTAACGTGACAAATAAGAGAATAATTAAGGACGGCAGAGTTAGGTGGCACATCCTGTATAATATATGTATACAGTAACTCATAGATCTGTTCACGTTCTATCGAAATAACAATTTAGTATAAACACTTCAATGTGATTTCTGAGTAGTTGTCGTTCCATTTACTTTCAACGATCTTTCTATATGATAAACTTTTTCAATTTTAAAATAAAATTTATGACGGTTACGAACTTTGATCAAATAAACATGACATTTTTCTGTGAACAAATTTGTGACTATATACATGTCAACAATATTTAATGTTCAATATTTAATAACGATCCCCGCAAATATCTTCGAAACCGTTAATGATACCGGAACATATTACGGATAAAATAAAAGTTGTATGATTTCAATGAAAACGTAATTCATTATGATCAGTTTTTTTTTTACAAAATCACCTATTTTCCGCACGATCTGACCAGAAAGTGCCTTTGATCAGTACTGAATTATCACAATATCCCAGATAGCACATCACGCCTTAAAGACGCCTTTAGACGCCAATTTTAGGTCTAAGGCGCCTTTAAGCCGTCTTCAAAACGTCATGTGCTATCTGGGATATGTTCAAATCGAGTGCTTCTATCTTATAAACATATAAATTGGTTAATACTTAAGAACTTTTGTAATTTAATTACAGCTTCACAGAAGACTTCTAGTGGACGATGCATTTGGTGTGGGTGAAGCTCTCAATGAGTCTGCATATGGTGAAGGTTTAGTGGTCAGAGGTTCTCATTACGTATTTGGGGGCAGTATAAAAAATTTGGACGAATTTATGATGAAAGAAAAAGCTTTAACACTTCAGACATTGCTTCGGCCGTGGATCACGGTAACACCGCACTCGCAAAAGTCCGGAAATGACGAATATGTAGCTACGCCTCAAGTAAGTACATATAAATTGAATTCGTACACCTTTTAAAACGGAACAACTTTTTTAAAATTGGTCCAAATGATTTCAGTTCTTTCGTGAAATTAGGGTCATTAGTTTACTAAATGATGTGTAAACAAGAATTTGAAAAAGTTCCAATTGGTCGGAATCGCGAAGAAAATAGTAAAGGTTGTTTTTTACAACTTATATACATATATTATATGTGTGTGTGTGTGTGTGTGTGTGTGTGTGTGTGTGTGTGTGTGTGTGTGTGTGTGTGTATATATAACTAACATAAACCTTCGGTATCTATTTATTAGATTTTCATTATAGCCTCAGATTAAAAAGTTGTAAAAAACGACCTTTACTATTTTCTTCCCGATTCCGACTAATTGCAACCATTTTTCAATTTTTTTACACGTCATTTAGTAAACTAATGACCCTAACTTCACGAAAGAACTCAAATCATTTGGACCAATTTTAAAAATGTTCTGTTTTAAGGGTGTACGATTACATTTGTCCGGTAAAGTATGTATGTGTGTGGAAAGTACTTTATTGTTAAATCTACATGTTCACGTATTAATTTTTTGTTAGGGGGGTCCTCGAACGCACACGTCGAATAGCATAAAATTGTAACTATTTCCCGTCTGCAACAAATTCTCAAAAAATTAATTTATTTTCGTATACATGTTTACGTTTAATATTCAAAAGTCCTCGCTACTACATGTGAAAATAGTATCAATTCGTAATGATTTGGTTAATCGTATGAGACTTGTCATAAGAAAGATATGCCTATAAAAATTGTTAATAATATTAAATAAATGTAATTTCAAATTATTCAGGGATTACTTGTGTTTGAGGTACTGGATTGGGACTTATGTGTGGCCTATGAGTTAAATGTGAACTAAAATTGTTCATTTTCCTTCTTCAGAGATCAGGTCTAACTAAACCTTTACCGCCAAATGTCCACATACTAAGTTTGGAGCCTTGGAAGGATGATACTGTCTTGCTGCGGCTGGAACACATTTTTGAAGTGGGTGAAGCGGAGAACCTATCGAGACCTGTAGAAGTTAACATTCAGGTTTGTTTGGCCCTTTTAGATAATAATATCAAAGTATAATTGAATCATCGAAGTATTAAGGCCAGTTCACATTATCCGTCTAGCTACCGTCAAAACTTTCTCCAATGTATTTCAAATGCTGGCATTCACACTCCCCGTCACCGTTCCATCTGTAATTGTTTATATGTACATATAGTACGATGAGATTTTGCTCCTCTTTTTGGTACAATATGTAAAAAGTCACACTCTATATTTAATTATTTGTAACCTGCTTACATTTCTTTTTTATATACTCAATATAATTTTCTTTTCCATCAATAGTAAGATATTCATAAAATAACTTTTTCTTTTATATTTTTCCATTTTTTAATTATGACTTGCAGAGTACTCGAAAATTAGACGAAAAAACTGAATTGATTTTTGCAAAACATTTAATGTTACCTAACCCAGATAGCACATAACGCCTTAAAGACGGTTTAAAGACACCTTACACCTGAAATAGCCGTAAAATAGGCGTCTTTAAGGCGTCATGGTGATAATGATCAATGATACAATTTTTTTTTTTTATTAAGATGACTCCAATAATATGTCGAATAAAATTATCTATGGTGCTGCAGTAGCCTGCCGTCGGCTAGACAGAAAGTGTGTATTGGCCTTTAAACGTAACGGCACCTGTCCTCCTTATACGTCTTAAACAATAGTGTGATTACGTATTTAATGTACTATTTTCGTTACTTTTGTTCCATTAGGATATGTTTTCAACCTTCACGATTTTATCTATCGAGGAAACTACAATGGGTGGTAATCAGTGGTTAAAAGACATGAACCGTATGAAATGGCACCCTGAAACGAACGATGTACTTCAAGAGAGAGCGAATACGATTAACGAAATACAAATTGAAGAAGGTGTCATAAATGTACTTTTGAGGCCAATGGAGATACGAACATTTATCATTAAAATATCACCAAGGCATGCATAGTTGCAAAATGTTCTTACAAGATATTTTTGTTCCATTAATTATTATTGAAGAACATAAACTTTAAAACTTACAATTAGAATACAGTATCAGTTTTTTGAAACAAGACTGTCTTTAAAATCACTCATTTGTTACTTTTGTCCCTACCCCTAGGAATGATTGTAACACCGTATCTAAATGGAAGAAAAACAACTAAAAGATGAAAATAAACATAAATGTAACGTAAACTTTTAAAAGCTTAAAAAATACAAACATGTATGTAGTATTAACATTCATTTTCTTCCAGTCCTCAGGAATAAATTTTTCATACTTTATTGCCAACTTGTAAACCAATTTTTTAATTTCTTTTGTTGTCATACCGTAATTGATAGTGGAAAAATACAACAAATAATGTTGCAAAATTATTTCCTCTTCGTTTGAAAACACCCTTCTTGCTCTATATTTATATTTTTCCGACTTTTAATATGTCGAAAGAATGTTATGTAGCATAGTTTAACTGATTTTAAAGCGTATCTAGGACACACTTTTTTGTTTGTAACTTCTTTTGCAGCTAATATATATAATTCTGCAGAAGCCAACCCATGGTGTATCTTTCTTCTACAAATACTTTTGGTATTCTGGAAGGAACCTTAATCCCTTAATTGTTAAAATAACGTATCCGCAAAAGCCAAAGGACATAAAAAAAATCGACAGCGTATTACTTTCGTACTTTTGTCCCTACCAAGCGCTGTCTTTCATAAATACGTTACAAGGTGGTCCACGCAATTGACTCTGGTCATAATTTCGTTGTTAATGAATTTATGAGAAAATGCCAAAGGAGGAAGATAAATGGCCCAAAGAGCACTACATCTATAGACCCTTAGAATTTTTTTAAATGCAACAGTGCATGTGCAATTAACAATTGCATCATTTCTTTAAGTGGAAATGCATATTGTTTGTTGTACAGATCGATTCTTCTGTTCATTCTACGTAAAAAATTATTAAAATACCATGGCAAAAAAATGATACGTTCTCGAGATATTTTCAAAAAATATCTTTATTGAAGAAGATTCCCAAACGCTTTATGACTATGTAGTAAATGTAAACGTATTGATGATCCTTTTATTACTGTACCGTATATTATTTAAAACCACATGTATGTGCATATAATATGGTTAGCATTTATTTTATCAGTATTGGCACAGCAGATGATACTAATTGTCAGTGTATTTTTTCTGGAAAGATCATTCAGTATTTATACAATAGTTTTCATTGAACAATCATTTTTTGGCAAAATGATCAAATTTCTCTTAGAAATTTTGCATTCGATGCATCATCGAATTCAAGATATACTAATCAATTCGCATTCGTATATCATATCAAATTCAATAAATTTCCTAAAACTACAATCTGTCTTGGTACTTTTCGGGAATAACTTATTCTCCACGTGGCTGTGTTGTATTAATTGTATAATAAAAAGAATATTTCAAAATTCCTCTACGATATTCTGTCGACTGTCCCTTATCAGTCAGCATTCGATAGAAACATTTTCGACACAGTGTCTACAATTGAATTATCATTTTGACAGTTTACAAAATCTATAACCATACAAAATTAAACATTTTCATTCCAAAATTGCTGGATGTTTTATTAATATCTTATCACGACATTCCAGAAAATTTGCAATGACATCACGGAATACTAAATGTGTTATTTCGCCCGGCACGGAGATACATCGAAGAAATTACATACTATAACCTGTATATAATTTTTAGTCAAAGTAAATATTGTATAAATGCACGATAATATGAATTTACAGAACTTAATGAATGTTGCATTAGAAAGATATTTTGTATAATTTAAAATCATTTAAAAATCCCTTTCGAGGTGTTACAAAATGTCGATGAATTCAGAGCACTGGTATAAAAGCAGATGTTAAATTTCGGTTATTCTGTGTGATATTTATTCCATCGTAGATGTTACAAGAGGATGAGGTATGGGCGCAAACCGCAATCACAGTAACCCCAGAGGACACAGCAACAATTAGAGAAGTAGCAAATACGGCTATTCTGTCAGCATCGCCGGACGTACCGTTGCTTATCGATGATAAAATTGTGTACAGACGATCTTTTAGTCATATGCAATATGTAGAACTTCAGGACTCGGAAGAAACGATTATAGCATCAGAAAAACCGAGAAGTCTGACAGAGGTCGTACCAAGACCGAGACATGATGCAGATAATCAAACGTATCTGCAAGGAACACCAGACGTTCATATTTCTGCTGAATACAGGAGCGAAGCTACGCAAACACTGTACATGAAGTCACCATGTACACCCATAAAATATTTCAGGGACATTATGAGTACGTAGTGTTCTAATTATTTACGAAACATGATGAACCATGTACAGTGGGTAAAAAACGTATTTGCACACCCTTTAAAACACAACAACTCGTTCACAATTGGACAAAGTGACTTGAGTTTCTCTGTGAACTTAGAAGGATTAGTGTACTAAATGATGTGTTAAGAAAATGTTGAAAAAGATGCAATCGGTCGGAATCGCGAAGAAAATAGGGCGGATGCCCCGATTACTGCAGATATTTATAAAACGAATAATATTTAACATTGAAAGTATATAAAAGCTCTTGAAGATTAGTGATAAAATTATTTTAAACTTTATTAGATATAATTATTAGTAAATCTGTAGAGCAAAGTTGTTATTATTTGTTTTATCGTTAATTCGTCAAGACGAAGCTTTGATCAATTTCTCAATATGACGGTTCTGAACGCCTACTTAAAACACATTTATATCTTTGTTATCAACATTAGTACATATCAAGATTATTACTCCATAGAGTAAGAGTTATTTTTTCACAAAAACAGTATACCATTCATTTACAGTTTATTTGTCATTTTTATTTTTCGCCACAGTATTATGTAGATGTAGTACTTTACACCACGTGTGTTTATTATGTACTGCAGGCAGGTAACAGCGGAACCTAACCTATTTTCGATCGCATTTACTCACTAATAAATAAAGCTACAGAATTAATAATGTTATTGAATAAGAAATCGGAATAAACAAATTTTTAGTTTCCGTTGAAAAGCCTATTACTATTATTTTTTTATTATTAATATTCATATTGTAGTAAGGCTTAATACAATACTACCCAGATAACACATGACGCCTTGAAGACGGCTTAAAGACGCCTTGGACCTAAAATAGCCGTAAAATATGCGTCTTTAAGGTGTCATGTGCTGTCTGGGTATACATACCTAATAAATTAATACTTTCTGTCTTGTATATTATATCACATCATTCTTATAAATAAAATTAAATAATTTTTCTATTTACAGGATATAGGAATTTATACTAATATTTTACTTAACACAAGTCCGCAGTAATATACATGCAGTAATAGGTATTTCTTTAGTAATTGTCCGCAGTAATTCCTGAGATGCGGTTTTAATTTCTTTGATTTCTATTACATCCATCTATTAGGTGCTCCGTTCTAATTTTTTATGGAATTAATGTCATTCAACTTTCTTTAAAAACAAGAAGTAGGGATTGTCATTCATTTGAACGCTTTATCGAGCACTCTAAAGCTAACCTACCCCAAAAGTCCGCAGTAATACCCAAACTTATCCTATCTAGTAATGGTCGCTTTTTGCGACTTTTTTATCTGAGATTGTAATGGAAATTTAACGAATCCATTGCTTAGATTTATGTTAGTTATATGCATGCTGAAAATTTCGTGGAAATCAGTTAACATTGTTATGAGATACAAGCGGTTAAAAATGTTGACAATCCCAGTTCTTCGCGACCTTTGACCTACAACTGTAGTATATCTAAAGATTCTTACATCTTTCGATGCGTGTTACTCGTTTCTGTATTAACCGATTTCAATCAAAGTTGTAGCATATATGTATCTGTATAACTGACATAAATCTTCGAAATGTATTTCAGAAATTTTCATTACAGTCTCAGACAAAAAAGTTGTAAAAAACGGCATTTACTGTTTTCTTCGCGATTCCGACCAATTGCAACTATTTCAACATTTTTTTAACACATCATTTAGTAAACAAATCCTTCTAACTTCACAAAGAAACTCAAGTCACTTGGTCCAATTTTGAAAAAGTTGCTCGGTTTTAAAGGGTGTACGAATACTTTTTTGACCCACTGTATGTCACTGCTGACTAATTGTCAGTGATTAAGAGAAACTATTTTTCCTTTCAATGACGGATGACGTACACTCCCGTTCTTAAACATTAACACTTTATCGATGGTGCGGTTTTACAAACAAGGGAACATATCGAACCGAGACACACCGATGTTGATGCCGCAAAAATATGGGATATAGTTTACGGACAAATATTTGACACGTACTTTTTTATATTGGCAATCGTCCATACCGAAGGGGTGAAAAAGCCCTCAAACCGAGGGGTTGAAAACATAGTTTTCGGAATATCTCGAGGACTGGAGGATACAGCAAAAAACTTTTTTCTTTGAATTCTGTGTTTTTGAATGAGAAATTCACGCATATGAACGATTTTATTAAAAAAAATCATAGGTTTAAACAATATTTAAATGGTTTGAAGTTTTTTCTTAATTTTTCTTAATGTAAAGTATGGACCAAAAGAGGGGATACGTGTTTTTAGAATTTTCTGTCTTTTACCATATAACACTAATTATTTATTAGCTGCACGGCTTTCTCTCAGTCTATGTGAAATGAAGTGTTCCCTATTTTAGTCCATAGTTTACATGGAAATCAATTAACGTTTAACAAGAAAAATTAACAAAAAAGTGAAATTTTTCAAATATTGTTTAAACAAATGATTTTTTAAGAAAATCGTTCATATGATTAAATTCCCCATTCAAAAACGCACAATTTAAAAAAAAATTGAGCAAACACCGATCAAGTGCTTTGGCGCTAAAATTTAAAAAACTTCAAAAAGTGGAGTTACATTGTCACTTTAGCCTGTCAACAGTTCGTGTAATACGTTACATATGTGTGCAATTAATTACACCACGTTTATACATTTGTATATTACATAACCAGCTCGTTATAAAGTACAATCTTATAGATTTTGAAGACATTTAAAGGAAGTTTTAAGTTAAAAAAAAAAACGAAAGAAAATGAACATTCATAAGACCTCTTGTACGTATGTACATGGATTTGTCGATTGTAAAGAATTAAAGTGGAATTAATTCTAATATTATGCTCGAATTACACGCATATTTAGCATCCATGCATGATGATACAATGCCAATATTGAAGAAGAGCATGGCGGCAGTAACTATTCTTAGCTTTCCTCCGAATACATCGCAACACGCTGTAGCAAAGCAACTGTGCATGGAAATCACAGACGAAAGACTCGAGGAATCCGTGCCTGACTTTACCGATCGAGAAGAAGCGAATATTGAGGTTCCAGAAATTCTACACTATCTATTGGCGCGCGCACTTTGGATAATCGAACCCACAAAACAACAAATCGTTGAGACAGCTGATAAAGAAACACAAACTTTCATTATGTTTAATTTTCACACGAATACACTTATCGCTGACAGTGAAACGCAAACCGAGTTAACTTGCGAGCCGAAAGACTCTAATACAATGCTTTTGTCCACGTATTGGGACACGAAAAACATGATTTCGAATTACTTGGAAGATTGTTTGTCCGAGGGAATTGAAAATCGAATAATAATAGACGATCTACTTAATGAAATTATTAATAAATGCATCGATCGAATTAGATACCCTATGAAGGATCAAAGTATGCAAACCATAGCTACGTATCGATTGCACGGTGAAAAGGAAGAAGATATATTACGAAAACTGAGACAAGATATCGTCATTGATCCTATGGAAGCATCGATTGTAGTAGTACCATTGGTTGACAATTTGCTGCAACTAGTCTCTGATACCATATCCAGAAATGCTCCTAGGGTAGCTAGAAATATCGTAGAAGCGATTTTTCGGAGAACAATGTCTATAGTCGCTAAACTTATGAAACTGGAAATGGAAGCGCAACGTTAGTAACATTTTGTTTGATATTGAACTTTATTGCGTTGTTATTTTTCTCTGCAATCGACTAACTTAAATTATAACTTATTTATTAATAGTATTCAAGGGGTCATTCTGGTGTGACGGTTGGAAAATTGAGAAATTTTTCGTAATTCTTAATGTGGTAGTAAAATAAACTTTCTTACATTACAGGAGATGCTCGAAGTGGTGACCGTTTGCGTTAATGCAAACTTGCAATCTTCGTATCGCTGCATCACGTGCATGTCTTATCGTTTCTGAACTTATTCCAGCAGATGCTGTATTATTTCATAGGGGACTTTATTAGAAAATGTACCACTAAACGTTCGCCAAATGATGTGGTTACAGCACGACGGGTGCCCAGCACATTATGCTCGGAGAGTAAGAGATGCACTGAACGAACTTTACCCAAATAAATGGGTAGGACGTTGATTAGTTTCTTGGCCACCGCGTTTTCCAGATTTAACCCCATTAGATTTTTTTCTCTGTAGAGCATTGAAAAATGCTGTTCATCAAGAAGTACCCACTACACCAGAAAACATGAAACAACGGATAATTGCAGCATGTGCTAGAATAAGTTCAGAAACGATAAGACATGCCCGTGATGCAACGATACGAAGATTGCAACTTTGCATTGACGCAAACGGTCACCACTTCGAGCATCTCCTGTAATGTAAGAAAGTTTACTTTACTACCACATTTGACCTTGCATGACCTTCAATGATAGCTCGCTGAAGTCGTCTCAACACCGGCTATCGCATCGCGATAAAAAAAAACATAGCATTCCATTAAAAAACATAGAGATGACCTTGTAATCTCCTATATGCCTTCACCCACGCAGAAAATATTTATGTTGCAATATGCCCCCCTCTATACCGTGTAAGTTTTGTATATAACATTTTTTCATATTATTACGAATAACGGCAATATTCAAAGTGGACATAGTTATTGCCCCACTCTGTATAGTTCTTTTGTTTTTACTGCTGCAGCTTGAAAAACGACATTTCGAGAAAAACGTACTGAAAGTTTAATATACTCGATATTTGTGAAAATATCTACTCGTAACTACATAAACGATACAAGGTACACCTGAATGTATTTACTTCTGAATAATGCGTAACCTAAAACATCCATTTATCGAAAGTGTCACACCAGAATCACTCATTAAATTTAATATAAAGGTAGTCCACACAACAGATACCCATTTCTAAATTTCATTTCACAATTTTTTATGTTCTTATCTTATATTATAGAAAGGGAAAACTAAGAGTTTCGGAAAAGTATGACAGTAAAATTATTTTTTTTATAGAATGCATGCTTTACAAGTTATTTAAGGTGTGCAATTTGCGTGAACCACCGCCATACCATATGCATATATGTATACAGAGTTCTTTGTAACTAAAGCTGTTTGAACTGTTCCATGACCAAAATACCGAGAATTAAGTCGAATTGTACATGGTCAGAAATCTAGTCTAATTAAAATTTTAATACATGATTTCACTTATTTAAAGTAATTCTAATTGAAATTTGCGACAAGTTAAGGCACCGTAATAAATCATCTTTCAAGAATACAATTAAGTAGAAGAATATTCCTCTGCGTGTCAGGATGGATAAAAATTATAACATAGAAAAGTTGTTCTTTTTACAATTTTACTGATACCTGTACACTTAAATGCCATTTTACTCCTTACCGATTACTTCTATTAATGTTATTATTTATGATTATTGACACTGGTATGATATGAATTTTTACGGCCATATAAGATAGAAATTTAATGTAATGAAATGATCAAGTTGTCATCGCCTATTACACGTATGTAGTGATGGGTAGTCGAGCCGAGCAGCTCGAGCCGTATCGGAAGCCAACTATTCACCGGCTCGGCTCGGCTGATTGAGCGAGCCGAAATAACAGTTTTATGAGGTGACAGCGGAGACGAGGCTCTGCCCAGCGAAGCCTCGGCGAGTTGAGATGTTATCTGATATTCTATAAGCTGCCGTCGACCGACGCTCGGGATACAATTAGAGATGGCGTGAACTGCTACTTGTGAATCACGAGTGATTCGTCGATCACGTTCGTTCCCAATCACGATGATTTTTCACAGTGATTCGTGAGTTTTCATGATCGTTTCTGATTGGTAGAGAAACCTAACAGTTAGCGACACATGACCCTTATATTTTATATTAACGACACCGAACCAAAAATTCGAATTATATCATATAAAGTGACGGAATAATTAGAAACAATGAAGAAATTAATGATTATTAATTATAATCTACACGTTAGCTAGCAAATCATTCTTTTAAAATTTCTTGTTTTTGCTACTGATTTTTAAAAACGCAAATAGTAATATAATTCATCGTAAAATCATATTGAATACGTTCTTTTGTTTAAAGATCAAAAATCGCAATCACGGTCGTGAATGAAGTTAAATCACGACCGTGACCGTGATTCGGCGATCACTGTGATAAATCACCGTTAGTGATTTTGTACGCTATCTCTAGATACAATGTAACACTCAGAACGAATCATCCATGAATTAAAGAGCTTTTCCTCCTGAAGCTCGGCCCGGCTCGAGCCGTTTCGATTACCCATTACTACACGCACGTAGAAATGGCAAGTATAAAAAATTCAGAACTAAAATAGTTAATGTTATTTCAAATATTCCAAATTTAAACAAAACTTACAGTTACCCTGGTAGTGAATAATAATAAAACGTAGTGACGAAGTTTCGTACGAAAAATTGTTATTCTAATCTAAATCTTCGATTTACTGTTACATATAGAAGCACATTATCTCCCACTGCATAATAATTATCTCAAAACCCTTTCTCATACTTAGTTCCATACTGACAAAAATACTTCTGTTTGTTCTATATTTTCTATAGTTCCAAAGTAGAAACTTTACAGTCCTTATCGTTAATCGAATATGTATAAAAAATTTTCGTAATAATATTTCTTACGTAGACAAGCCAATAGATCAAAAATTGGCAGAAAGAAGAAAGAAAATCCTTGATTCGATGTTGAAAAAAGAAACAGAAACAATGTACACTCAGACAAGTATAGGCGGAGTTTTTGAAATCCAGAAGGTAAAAGATAAGGAGATCGTATGTTCCATCTGTAGAAGGCCATCGATGTGTCAGTGGTGTACAGACGACCCTGAAAAAGATTATGTACCACAGGAAAAGACAAAAATACTTCGTACACAAGACATATTACTTGCATACAAACCCTGTTACGTGGTTACGACAATTTCAGAGAAAGAAACAAGCCTTAAATTATCTCGTCAAACGGTAAAAAAGCTCGATCCACCGTTGAAGCCTGTAAACGTTTCAGACCATTGTACGCATGACTCTGAAGAAACAATCAATGTACTTTTACAACCGGATATTATGCCACGAGGTAAACACATTTGAATTCTTCTTGAAGTCATTAGACGCGTAACAATTATTTATGAAAGAACGTTTATCTAAATACTACTTTCCAGAATCCATCAATGAATGGTCCTACGTTATCGATGCTACATTACTGAAAGCAGCGTCAACAGAAGGTAAAAGTTTAATTTATTATACCAAAGCAATTAACATTATCCTAACGTTTTACACCAAAGAAATTCTAAAAAATAGTTTGACACACGTTTGCTACAAGCGTCACGCATGTGTGCAATCCCTAACATGCAATTTCTAACAATAAATCGGCATAGGTATAATATTCAACTGTATTTTATGTCCTTTTAATACATAATCAAGACATATTAAAAAGTAAAGACATTTCACTAGCGTGGTCTAAGAAGAACGTTTTCGAAATAATATGGTAGTAGCAAACATATTAGTGTCATTCCATGCTATGAAGATCACTTTTGTCCATGATGTCTGGCATTTTGCTCAAATTGAGATATGATAATGTTCATGTAAAAATAAGGGTGGTTTAAGTCATCATTTCGTTGGTTTTGAAATTGCTTAAAAAATACAACCTCTCAATTTTGGCAGTTTCCGTCGATTTTTACAAAAACTACCTTCCTAAAAAATACCTACAAAATAAGATATAGTACGTAAAAATCGGGCCACTCGTTAGATTGCAAAGGAATTGAAACTGTCTATTATTGACTCTTCTTTCAATTGTTTAATACTCAGAGTGATTTGACCATAGAACTTTGAAATTGAATGACAATATTGTAAACATTTTTAAGCATTAGCTGGGCCGTTGACAGTTTGTATATTTTCATGGATAGGCTGTGCGTAACGAATCGACCGAACGCATTGAAGGCACGTCCACTTAGAAGTGCACCCCCCACTGTCTTTCCTAAAAGACATTTTCCTGGTTGAAGGGACTGTGCAAGGCAGTTAAAACCAGTAATTTGTAGAGAGCAGTTCTGTTGAAAATATACACTCGTTAAATTCGTATCCGTTCATTTTGTGTCCAAACCTTATCCGTATTCGAACGCCCGCCATCCTACAGAATGGCCTCCATTATGATAAAAAAGTGTGCCTCCATTATGATAAAAAAGTGTGCCAAATTTTTGCCTAAAATATTTGCTCGTCTTTACAAAAAGTCATTAATGTATTTAAATGCGCTTGCCAAAGATAGAGAAATTCACTTTTCCGGAGACGCGTTTGGGATAAATTAATGGCTTTTTTTATTGTAATGTGGGCTATAGTCTCCTTAAGTTTCGAAGCTTTATGTTCAAATCTCTCCGAGTGTTAAACAATTGGAAAAAGAGCCCATGTTGACAGTTTTAGTTCTTTTACAACTTAACATGTGCACCGATTTTAACGTACTATAGCTCACTTTGTAGGTATTGAAAATACTTGCGTTCTTTATTTGAACCTTTTGCCTCTAAAATCATTCTATTTTCTTCTGCACGCGAAAAGATGTTTTTCACACCTTTTCGAAGTCTTTTAACAATGTTCCCCGACAATCGGAATTATTTTTTCTTCAAAGTCAAATTTGGCTGGACTATTACTCGTAAGATAAATGGCAAAAGTTATTCGAAGTTTTACTCGAAGCCTTCAAATAAAGATACAGATAAAAGACGAAAATTTTATTCGACATTGCGGATAAAACGCTCATCGAATAAAAAAAGTGTCTTTATTCGTTGGATAAATCCCAATCAAATAAATTTGTTTAGTCAATGTTCTTTCTGCGTCTTTTTTATGAAATATTATTGCATCAATTATTATTGCATCATTAGTATTCCATGTTTTTTGTATATGGAATACCCGGAATAGGTGTCATTTTTACAATTTGTATCTCCGGAATGCCATTTCAAGTATTTCCTATGTAATTTCATTGATTAAAAAAAATAAGCACTATTGCTAGTACGAATAAACAGGTTTTATCGTTACACATATTAGTACATATTGTTTCATTCTCGGATCTCTTTCGCTCGCGCCGTTCTTTTCCTACGTTCCTACGTCCGCGACAAGCAAAATTTCGCCCCGTAGCCGTGTTCCATCGTTCTCTTGATGGGTAAAATTGTAATGGGGGACACGTGGCAACAACGTAACAAAACTCTTGATACGGTCTGGCAACAATGCCTTCGCGTAGCAGAATACTCAAACTCAAATTGATGGTAAGAGGAAGAAAAATTTATTTGTAGGTACTGCTGTTAGATGACGCACCGTCAAGCCGTCCCAGTTATAGCTGCTTCCAAGATATAGCGTTAGTCATAAACGTGGTCGCGACCATTAAACCATTAGTACTCGATAATCGGGGGCCCATTGTGTCCCACCGCACTCAGTGTCGTAGGACACTTTCAGCTATAAGGTTCCAAGGAATGAAACAAAAAAGACTGGAATATTGGAAAGAAATTTATAGTTTTGTAAGCTTTCGTCAAAAATAAAAGGGCCAGAAGTATTTTAAATCTGAAATTAGTACGCTATAAGAATTTGTTTAATTACATTAACACGGAAAAACCGATCTCAAAATGACGTCGTACGCTTCTAAACGATGGTCGAGCATAATTTTTACAACTCAGGGGTATCGAGTGAGAGGATTAGGCTACCGAAACACATAAACTTTAGGGTCGGTCAGGTTTATAGCTAACGCTATATCTTTGAAACACCTATACCGATTATGTATTTTCACCAGCGCCCGTTTGTTTGCATCGGCGCTTCGATCGATTCGGGGTTGGCCCCGAAGGAGTCTGCGCCCTTACCCGAAACCTTAGCCATTGGCCAGCGGAAGCATCACATTCAGACCTACGCAAAGACCGAGGGGGGCACCCCCCTAACCCCTTTACCGTCACGCTAAAAAATTTCTCATCTCTGCATAGTATTAGTTTAAAATTACAAATTTAAGTAGAAATATTGATTTAAAAGAAATAAATGTATTAATTTTATAATTAATAAAAAACAATAAATACAAACTTTTAAAACTAAATTATCCTCAATATACTAACCCTGGATCGACACACTGTTTTTCTTTACTATCAGACGTCATACTGGCACTAAAATTTATTATAATACTTTCAAGTATCTAGTTTAGGGTTATAAAGTTAAAATGTTAAAAAATAGGAAAAGAAGTATTATATTTGGTATTATTTTGCGATATAGTAACGAAAAATAGTATTCCGCAGGAAATATTACACTTCGCGACGTGAACTGAATAAGGAAAAACGGTTTTAGAGATTTATATGTGAAAGCTGAAGCTATACAAAGAACACGCTGCTTAAAGAAATTTTTAAAAAATTACATTTATTTGAGAAATATAAGCATTATACAGTTTTTATATACTTACATATAATAAGAACATTTTGGAAGTAAATGCACGTTTTTCCTAATTTGCTGTGTAAACATTGTTTCTCTTTGTTAAAAAAGGAATGAAGGATATATGATCACTAAATCCTTAGACAAATTTTATGTACACCAATACGGTTATAACTTTCCTAACATGTCAAATAAACTTTTCATTCCAGCACACTGGGACTTTTTATGTCCTGTACTTACTTGACTCTTTTACTGTTCAAAATCCAGCTAACATTTCGTTCCCATACAGTCTAAAGATTTTCTAAAAGATAAAAGCGACCTTAACAAATAAATCCTTATTTATTTAAATAGAAAATACTGCTGGGGTCCTGAAAGTCCCCGGTGTCCCATTCCAGGGTTAAAGAGGTACAACAAAAAAGCTGACGATATTTCAAATAAACATTATACCTATGTAGTCCTCGCGACGATACAGCCTGGTTGTTGAACGCATCGAACGGCGGTGTCGATTTTTGCCGCGGCAGTCAAGACCTTCCGCGACTTGTAGCTATAGAATTTTATACATTAAAGCGGAAAAGACTGTCGTATAAATGTAGTTCATTCACTAACAAGATAACTGTAAATTTTGTTTTTAATGTTCGGAATGATTGAAAAAACTTAAACTTTGTATGAGTTAACGTGAACAGTAAGGAAGTCGAAAATATCTTGGTTCTGAATTGACATTGTACGGCACTGAACGACGCTCGAGCTCTGTATCTTTCCATTTATCTCCCAAGCTGCCTGCCGCTCGGACCATTTTTACTTTTGCGCCCGAATGATTTTACGTCCACGCCATGTCGTGGCGAGACCTATACTGTGTTCCAGCTAAGTACAAACAATCTAAAATTTACTAAAATGTAAAAACTACAAAAAAAAAACTGGCATATAAATAGTATCATAAAATATGAATATGTATAATATTAGGGTGGCCCTTAATTTTCAACATCCCATTTCTTTCTTCTCTTACCCCCTAGTATGGCTAAATTTGATAAAAAACAACGATCCCTGAACGAGTTTATTTCGATCGGACAATAGAAAAGGGTGCTGACCAGACTTTTAAGTTTTGAATTTTTCGATGTTTTTGAAGTTTACAAAAAGTTTCACAAAAATGATAAGTCTTATCGAAATTTTACGTCTTTTCAAATAGTGTTAAGAGAGCGTCAAATTTTCTATACTTTTTCCCTATATAATTTTTTCGTACTCCCATCCATTTTTAAGATAATAGCGTTTAAATACTGTAAAATTCGCATTATGCATATGTATAATACCTCGCTAATTTGCACGCCGCGCCGCACGAATGACAAGAATTTTCTTGTAAAAAGAGTGAGTCTTTTAGTTTAACACAATATCGATTTAAAAAAAAGAATATAAGAGGAACAATAAACGATATTTTACACAGTCTTATTTACGTTAATGACTAATACTACGTAATTGTCATTAAGCAAGAGACGATAGGGACTTAATACCGTATAGTTTCAATGAAAGACCGTAAACAGAAATTTGAACTATCACTTTACAAATGACTCTTGCAGTCTGAGACTCGAGGTATATCTATATGTATTTCTGTAAGACACGTACGTACAGCCCTGGGCGCAGCACGTCATCCGGTGTAGCCGTTCAATGTGTGAAATTCTCCCCTCGATATAGCGTGGTCGTAAGGGAACGCCGCGAGCGACGTCCCCCCACCATTCATACCACTCGTCACTCAGGACCGTACGCAGCTTGCAGCTGTAAAATACCATACAATAAAACGGAAAAGGCTGTCGACCAACTATAATTTATTCACTATTAGGGTAATTGTAAATTC